ACACGTACGTCCTCAACTAAATTTCCCCTTCTCTCAGCAGTTTCATCCTTTTATTTGACCGCACGAAACGCGCCGGTGCCAGCAGAGGGACGTCTCGAGACTCGATGGTACCAGTTGTTTTTCGTTTGGTTCTCCCCTTGCATGAATATCTTGGCGTGCGTCTTCACTTTTATCTTGGTCCTCACGCCATCCCCTGAATATCCAACACCTGCAGATTCAGTGCCATCGACCCGACACGGTCGCATCCTCGACGGCTCTGTCTCCACCCCGAACCTTTCCGCCACATCACACGGCAAGCAGCCTTCGCAACAGAGCACAAAATCAACGCCACCAGTATCAGGTGTCGATCGCTGGCTATCCCCCGAGACATGGTGTGACGCGTTATTCTTTCCACGTCCGTGCCTGAGGTCTGAGCGCGCACATGGGCAATACGGAGGAAGTAGCGGACGAATCATCAGTCCACCAATCACACCTGTCGCTGAGGGTGCATCACCGCGCCTCAGTCCTGCTATACGTGGCAGGAGACCACAAGTGTTGTCAGCTACACATGATGTACGGAAGGAACACCATGTTTTGTTGAAATCCAGGTCGGCCGTTGATATCCTGTCTGGCCCCTCTATATCTGGCAGACCTCGTACTGCGTCTACGCCTCAACAACGCCCAGATCCAGATCCAGACCCAGTTCGGAACACAAGCCCCAAGGAAGATGAATCTGTACCGGGCCCATCGACTGTGCAACAGGAACTCCGTCCGTCAGCCTCTGTGCCATCGTTGACCCAGTAAGCTACATTTTTTGTAGGTAGTTATCTAGTAACCAAGTGCTTCTGCAGAGTTCTTGAAGAAGGCGAGGTTCTAGAAGCACAACGAAAACGGTGGCAACACCAGGCGTCGCATTCTTTTGGGAACAGCCGAACCCGCTCCCTCTCCCGCACTCGTGCCAGGTCATTGTCACGAAGTCATAGTCGTCCTGGGCACAAGCAAGAGGGCAGCACGACCCTAGAATATCTGGCTGCATGCACGCTCCTAGGAGCTCAGAGCATTGCTCCCACCGTCAACGCTGCACGTTCTTCGCACTCCCGATCTCATTCCCATTCTCATTCCCAAACTCATTCAAATTCTCGCGGGCGCTCTAGTTCGTACTCATTCACGGGCTCACAATCTCACTCCCTTGGTAAATCCAATTCACAAAAGTCGCTCTCGGATCCTCAAAGCACTCGCCATGTCCGCAACGAGTCCTAGGGCAAAACTGCACTGCTTAAAGCATGCGCACCTTGCGGAGATCTGAGTGATTTACTCGGCACACCTGTTGACAAGAGACCAGCCCTGGGACCAGCGACAGAGGAAACCAACATTATTCATTTGAGTGACCCTGCGGGTGGTTCGCACAACGTAGCTGGTGAGGAAAGCGTCATCATCATAGGGATTTCTCCAGCCCCTACTACAGCAAGCGGGGAAGGGGTCGGTATCGCACTTTCGTCCCCCCCTCCTGTCGACGATCGCTCCAGCCATGATCCCGAACTCACGAGCATGCCCAACCATCCATATGCCACCGGTGCCATATACACTCGGTATAGTAATCCATCTTCTGAGCATGAGACGGCTCATCAAGGATATTAGAGAGCACCTCAAAAAGAAACTGCCTAGCTATGGAGGACGCTGATATGGGACGGCTTATCTGATGGTGGTTCGTATCTCGAGCAAGCTGCTGGTATGACGGTTGCGGATCAGTCACCCATCCTTGGTGAGCACGATATCAATACGCTCCACGTTACTGCTAACTATGTGACGTTAATCCTTTCTACGCCGCCGCCGCACCCTCTTACTCCCCAACTTCCAAGCTACCTCCATCATCTCCACTTTTTCACCAAGAAGGCTGGCGCTCCCTTCAAACGGTCATTTTCACCCGCCACCTCCAGCGTGTCCACGGCTAGAACGACAACGGAAACTTGCAGAGGTGCTGCACACACAGGCTGAAGCGGAGGATCGGGGAGAGGATGTGGAGCGGCAGAAGAATTGGGAATGGACGATAGAAGAGAACGAGGCGAGGAAGGCACGGAGAGCGGACTATGAGTTTCATGGTAGGGGATTTTGTAGACGATGCTCACGCGGCTCGACGGCGCTACAAGAACTCTCCGCTACCGCCTTCCCGACCAAGCATCTTCAACACCCAACGCCGCCACCTCGATCTCCACGGGACCCGCGCCCTTTTGCAGTGTTTCTTCGTCACGGATGGCTCACGTAGCTGCCGTGGGGGAGAAGCGCAGTATAATTCCTGATTTACTTTAGTTTTAGATCGAACGCTAACGAAATAACGACTCACTGGATCTTGGGGGGCCATTAGCGCTCGTGTGATTATCGATCATGCGTAGGTAGTTTGATCTTCGATAGTTCTAAATTAAATTCTATTTTTAATCTATAGTTTAAAATAAATATTTAAGCCCCCAAATTGACTTGGCTGGGGTTCTCGAGCTGAGTCAAAGCTTAAATTAAATAAGCCCGAAGTCACATGTATGGCCCCGGCTTAAACCGGCAATAAGCCGGAGCCACGCCAACACTAGGCTCAAATGACCGGACCGAGCCATATATTATGTAAGCTTAATTTGGTACACAGCTAGCCTAATTGTAGCTCCGCTCGCGGCTAAAGCCGGCCTCAAGCCAGAGCTGCGGCAACACTACGTACAGAATCCTTACCGTTACCGAAACGTCTACTGTCACCGCCCTTATCTTATCTCGCTTCCCCGTTTTACCACAAACCACCGGGTGTTGACTTAGGTCAAAACCCTGCAAAAAACAACAACACGCTGCCTCCTCGACAACGTACCATTCTCCCACCCACTACAATCAATACTCGTAGTCGACGAAAAGGTGTTACGACAAGTACCGCAATCGTCGCTTCGAATACAATACCTCGCTGTACACACCCCATTTGGCAAGTATGAATGGACTGTCATGCCCATGGGTGTACGCAACGCACCCGCCGTACACCAACGACGAATGACGTCGGCACTTCGCCATTTAATAGGCAAAATTTGCCACGTATATCTTGATGATATTATCATCTGGTCACAAACACTGAAAGAACACAAGACTAACATTCGTCTAGTTCTACAAGCACTCAAAAATGCCCATCTGTATTGTTCGCTCAAGAAAACAACCCTGTTCTGCACGGAACTCGACTTTCTCGGCCACCATATCTCCCGTCGGGGCATCGAGGTAGACAACTCCAAAGTCGCTCGTGTCTTAGATTGGCCTCCACCCCAAAAGGCGTCCGACGTTCGGGCCTTTTTGGGTATGGTTCGATATCTCTCTAATCACTTACCGCAGGTCGCCACATACACTCGTGTACTGGCTTCGCTAACAACTAAGGCTGCCGAACTCCGGTTCCCTTCATGGTCGAGCGAACACGAAGCTGCTTTCGATGCCATTAAGAAACTGGTGACAAGTCCACAATGTCTCACGTGCATCAATCACGACAACCCGGGCAAGAACAAAATTTTCGTGACGTGCGATGCATCGGATTATGCAACGGGCGCTATGTTGTCGTGGGGTGAAACTCGCGAAGACGCACGACCTGTTGCATTCGAATCCACTCAGCTGCGTGGCGCGGAACTGAACTATCCTGTTCACGAAAAAGAATTGTTAGCGATAATACGGGCATTGAAGAAATGGCGCTGCGAGCTTTTGGGTATGCACGTGAACATCTATACTGATCATCGGACTTTACAGAACTTCACAACCCAGCGTGATCTCTCGAGACGACAAATGCGCTGGGCAGAATATTTATCTCAGTATGATTTCGATATTCATTATATTAAAGGAGAAGACAATGGTGCTGCTGATGCTCTTTCCCGCCGTACAGACACCATATCAAACAAACAGCTGACCGCCGCGATTCTTTCCATTCATGCAAACAAGAATGTGCACGAACGAATCCTCGCAGGGTACGCAACAGACCCTTGGTGTGTCAAACTGAATGATCTCCTAGGTTCGTTACCTGGACTGTCACGGGACGCTCAAGAATTATTCTACATCGCCAAACGCCTCATGATTCCACGCGTTGACAACTTACGTGAAGAACTGTTTCATGCAGCTCACGACTCAGCAGGTCACTTCGGTGCAGACAAGTCCTACAACCTCCTTCGTGCTTCGTACTACTGGCCACATATGCGAAAGGACTTAGTCGAGTCATACATTCCGTCATGCTCCCAGTGTATGAGGAATAAGTCCAAAACTACATCAACCGCCGGTCCGCTGCATCCTCTACCTGTCCCGGACGCTCGTGGAGATTCTGTCGCCGTGGACTTTATTGGACCGTTGCCAGAGGATTCGGGCTTCAACATGTTGATTTCAATGACAGACCGACTTAACTCTGACGTCCGACTCGTCCCGTGCAGAGATACCATTACTGCAGAGCACTTCGCCACGCTGTTTTTCGATCATTGGTACTGTGAAAACGGCTTACCAAAAGATATCATCTCAGATCGCGATAAGATTTTTCTGTCTACGTTTTGGCGCACTTTACACAAACTAACTGGCATTAAACTTAAGATGTCATCCTCTTACCACCCCGAAACGGACGGCGCTAGCAAACAAACAAACAAGACAGTCAATCAATGTCTACGTTATCACGTTGGGAGGAATCAGAAGGGTTGGGTCAAAGCCTTACCACGTGTACGTTTTCATATTATGAATACGGTCAACGCAAGCACTGGTTTTTCTCCCTTCCAGCTTCACCTCGGACGTTCACCACGTATGCTTCCCCCCCTATCGTCGTCACCTCCTGCGTCTAACGACCTACACGAACACAACGCGCACGCCTTCCTTTCAAGACTCGCGAACGATGTACTAGAAGCGCAGGACAACCTCTTAGCTGCAAAAGCATCTCAAGCTTCACATGTAAACAACACTCGCGCAAAAACACTTGTACTGCACGCTGGGGATCGCGTAATGTTAGCCACAAGACATCGTCGCCGGGAGTATATGCAAAAAGGCGATAAAAGAGTTGCTAAATTCATGCCTCGTTACGATGGTCCCTACACTATCCTCGACGCCCACACGGAGACATCTACATACACCTTGGATCTTCCCAATTCGCCCAACATATTTCCCACTTTCCACGTCAGCCAGCTTCGCAAATACCAACCAAACGATCCCGTGTTATTCCCCTCGCGTGAACAACCAAAACCTGGCCCTGTTGTTACAGAAGACGGTCAACTGGAGAATTTCATAGACCGCATATTGGATGAACGAAAAAGAGGTCGAGGGACGCAGTATCTGGTGCGGTGGGTCGGTTTTGATGAAGCGGACGATGAATGGCTACCTCGCCGAGATTTGGAGGATTGCGAGGCGCTGGACGAGTGGGAGAAGAAAAAGCGATCAGAAAGATGATGGGAAGGGGTGTAAGCTCACGCTTACCACATGACGTAGACATCGCTCATGACGTAGGTGTTCTGTCTGGCGTCCTACTCACTGCTCGATGATTGGACACCTTACTGTATTATCGGCTATTTGGCTATAGGTTGCTTTTCCTATATATACGCCATAGTTTACGCTACTATACTTTAGCTCCTCACCGTCCCGTCAATCATACGCTTTTCCTCGTACCGTTTGTCTGTCTAGTGTTCGCCGTCGCTGTGACGGTGTTCCATCCGGGCGGGTCAATTTTCTAGTACATATTGGTTGTAAGTATCTAGAGAATATTGTCTACAGTCGTATCTCTACGATGGTGGCGAGCGGCACATGGCTGAGGTGAAGCACGGCAAAACATGACGGGGTGGACGACAGTCCATCACTAATGTCAGCGGATGCATATGCGTGCTGAATATATACGTAGACAATGCATATCATTATATTACACCCCGCCAACCACTCATTCGTGTATTCCTGAATCCATGTCTCCAGGAATATACGCCTAGGGCAGAGGGGAGCATTGCTAGTACATGATGCAGAAGCCTTGCAATTTGAAGCCTATGTAACTGATTGTCTTCCTTTTAATTGTCTAGGGGAGATACTTGTGGCAATGATATTATTGTGGAAACGTGCCAGATGCGAGACGACGCGTAATAAACAAGGAACGAGTATCGTTGTTCTATATGGTCTGCCCAAGGGAGACTAGAAAGAACATAAGGCCATGTTTGTGACGTGCTTTACCTTGATACTTGCAACTTTTTGGCGTTTAATATCTCTGTCAAAGTGCTGTGCCTGCGACACATCATAATCGACCAATGGGCTAAGGACTCTCAAGACCGCCTTTGTTGTCAAGAGGGGTCAGCGAATACAGAAAGCGTTACATAAATTTGTTTCGCCGTTCGCTCCGACGATTAGACAAGCTACTGGATGATAAGTCACAGATAAAGAGATAAGTTGATTTAAATTTACGCCAGTAAGAGAAGAAGGCGGAGTCTAAGTGTAACCTTGCGAGTTACGGAGAAGCTCAACGTAGAGCATGTTCGCGCAGTAGCCTGATGAGGGGTTTCTTCCCAGATATCGATACCAAACTCGTTATGTATAAGCGCACCATATAGAAGGAAGACAATAGTTCTTTCTTGATTATAACCGCGGCTGTACTCGCTCGAGTCCGTTGAGCACGGATAGATACAATGGTCCAGTGTGTGACAGATATTGCGCAGGCAGATTGATAGTGGCAGACATGACCTATGCCTTGCCAATGCACGCCTGTAATAGTACATACCGTGGCGTGTAACGGCGATAAGATTGTTCCTGTGAACAGACATTAACGTTGTGCAGAGGGGGCTGGGAACCGAAATCATAGCCTGTCAGTGTCATCACCGCCTGCGTCGCAGTAACGTTCATAATGGAGCTTCATGACGGCAATGATAGCACGTCTGAAGAGCAGCGAATTCTATAATTGGTGACTGGCTGTGTTCGTGGGGCTGTGTGGGGCGCTTAGTCGATAAGAGTACAAGGACAAGTGATCTTGCCCTAATTCAAGTACTATGGATGGAGTACAGGCCGCCATGTACAATGGAAACATTTGAGCACAACGTTGAAGATGGCCGAACAACGAGACCGACGACGACAAGAAATGTGACACAATTGAGGTTCTAGAATGTACAATGGCAACAATCAAGAACACAGATCTAGGTGATTGTGGCGTGAGAATATCTTCCGAAAATGGATATACCCTAGACCCTGCCCTATACCCGAACCCTCTGCCCAGCTCTCAATTTAATTTTGCACTTATTTCCACAACACTCCTCTTTTCTAAACAACCACCATCCTCAACTCCTCGTACGTCCTCGTCGACAAACTTGCCGTGCTCATCGTCTTATTATTTCTCTAGCTCAATACTCATCCTCAACTCATATAATAGTGAGCATTTGACGCGTCCAGGACGCGTCAATGACGTTGCTAACCGCTCCTTGTTCCAGATGCCTGAATCGCGTGAGGACTCTGTCTACCTCGCTAAGCTCGCTGAGCAGGCTGAGCGTTATGAAGGTAATTGGTCATATGCCTGGCACGCACAATCGCTCACAATCCTTCAGAAATGGTTGAGAACATGAAGCGAGTGGCGTCGTCTGACCAGGAGTTGACTGTCGAAGAGCGCAACCTTCTATCTGTCGCATACAAGAACGTCATTGGTGCACGCCGTGCATCGTGGCGCATCGTCTCTTCGATCGAGCAGAAGGAGGAGTCCAAGGGTAACGAGGCTCAAGTAGCCATGATTAAGGGTTACAGGGAGAAGATCGAGGGCGAGCTCGCCAAAATCTGCGAGGACATCCTCGACGTCCTTGACAAGCACCTAATCCCCTCCGCTGCTTCTGGCGAGTCGAAGGTGTTCTACCACAAGATGTGCGTCTCCAAATATTATGTATAATTATTCCCTGACGTCATACTCCAACAGGATGGGTGACTACCACCGTTACCTCGCAGAGTTTGCCACCGGCGACAAGCGCAAGGACAGCGCAGACAAGTCCTTGGGTGCCTACAAGGATGCATCGGAAGTTGCTGTCACTGAGCTACCGCCCACGCATCCCATCCGCCTTGGTCTTGCACTCAACTTCTCCGTGTTCTACTACGAGATCCTGAACAGCCCCGACCGTGCCTGCCACCTTGCCAAGCAAGCCTTTGATGACGCGATTGCTGAGCTTGATACTCTCTCGGAAGAGAGCTACAAGGATTCGACCCTCATCATGCAACTATTACGGGACAACCTCACCCTCTGGACTTCAGACATGCAGGATTCAGGTACGTCGTATTCCACCAATCTAATTTGCGTTTCTTAGCTGGCTTACAGAGAAACCAGATACAAAAGACGAGGCCGAGGCTGCAGGCGACGATTAGAGGTTCGCCTTTGTCTTTTCTGATCTTTATATCTGGTTACCCAGCTGCTATCTCGCATCGGTGCGACGTCCGATAGTTTGGGTCCTTGACACTTCATTTGCATTTCCTCACCTCTCGCATCGTCCTCATTTTCGTATGTTCCTTTATTATCCGTAGTCATACTTGCGGCCTTGCCTTGTCACGTAGCCTCTAGGGGCAAACAAAGATATTATGAAACTCCCTCTATCAATATTGTGTGATACGCTTATTCCGCGCCATGTCTCAATGAGGACAGCAAGCTATGGGGCTGCTCCTGTCTATGTATGTTAGGCACGCTGAGCATATGCCTAGTAAGATGTATGTAGCTTCGTCTGTTCCAAGTTTGACTTGCGGGAGTGCCAACCAACATTATTAACATGCGAAGAAATGTTGCCTCATGTCCAGAGCTTGTCTGCTGTTGTCTGTTACCAACACCATGCTACCCAACCATGAAGTTGGGAGGCTCTTGAGAGTGTTTCTGAAAGCATTGGCTCGACATGCTGCTTTCTCGCTACGACTCATACGTCATTTGTTTCATACCCTTCTGCGGCTATATTCTCGTATCACGTCCAGGCGCCAATTCCTACCAATTCAAAGAGACGGACGCCTAGAGCGAGTTGCCGCCTCAAGCCAGCCCGTCCTTCCTGTAAGCCACAATCAGCTACAGATGCCGCAACCAGGATCCGCGACCAATTCATACATCTCACTATTGCCAGTCCACACCCCTCCGACATCAGCTAATCATCCTACAGCACCCGTCCTCCCCCAGCCTTGCCCGTTGGAGTTCAGGCCGTTCTTACCCTCCCAGGTGATGAGATACAATAAAGGCCCTACAATGTGAGCTTTTCATATTCCAAATGAATTTGGACACTGAATAGGGTCGCAGCAAGCACGAAGTCAAAGTTCTGAATATTCCTGCTGTAAAGAGAGACTATGAGGAGTAAGTCCGGTCATTTCATTGGATCGAACAACGCTTGATGACGCGGTGCAGTTCACAAAACAGTGGCGACTGGTATGCCCGCGTACACCCTGAAGGAGCGCTCTACTTTCATGACACCGTGCGCGTATGTCGTCTATTACAACGCACTCTCGGTCTCTCACCATTGATAACAGGGTATTTACACCGACTCATCCATGGGGAAAAAAAACCTCCGGTCTACAATGGACACGTGTTTAAATGAGCTACTCGTTCGTATGCCGTGTGGATTGCACCTGAGCAGCGGTGGTATTGAGCTCGTGATGGAATTGACACGGAGTAAGAATAATGTTAGGATATGCAGGTACTACTTCGTCGATCATTACAAACGTCTGCTTTTCTGGCTTGATGAGATATCGACGGAACGGATCTTTGATGGAATCCAGGGTGTCGAGAAGTGGAGCCATATCAGTGAGCCCTTTTGCCCAACTGCTGTGTTAATGATGATTAACGTCTGCAGAGTATGCCATCGAACATCAGTACTGGCAAGTCTGCCATTGTGTGTACTCATTGTCCGGTTGTGGAATTCTTCTGACAACGTGTTGGAACAGAACGTGTGGTGTCAGTGCCAGATTGATATGGTTTCAGGCAACACTGCGAGCTGTATCCCAGTGCCAAGCTGCCACACACTCTGAAGCTCAAGGAACTCAAGGAACTTGTTGTGCATGCTAGTGCTGGTGAGATTTCCTTCTCAGTGCACCTTGTGTTGCTAAATAGAGATTATAGAGATTATTACGACCGACCTATCACTGTCGCCCTTCGATGGCGATGAATTATCGAACATTCTGAGTTTAATTGACCGGTTTGATGGCAAGCGAAGGGTTCATTTGTGGCGGCTGAGCCATTCCTGATTCTTGACACTAGACAGCGTCGAGGGCGCCCATTCTATATGTGTCATAGGTAAGCATCGTATTCCGGTCCTGGTTCCCTCCAGGAGATGATTGTTTCGCAGTCAGATTTATGCGCTATTTCAGTAAGTTCTGCACTGCACAACACACTGCCTCTAACCTGCCAACCAGCGCGAGCCCAATTTTTTAATTTTTACGGACTCTCTGAAGCCCGTTTAAACGCGGACCAGTCTGTTTTTGTAAAGGAGAAGTCGTCGTCGTTGATAGCAGCTCTTTCATGGGCCTTGAACGCCGCAATGTTCGATGCCCCGCGGTCGCACATGGAAGAACTCCGGCGAGTGTGGGTCGACCGCAGCATCAACACTCCGCGCTGGAAGAACTTTAACAGCAAGCTAAGCAGTGAATGGTCGGGCATCACGATGTATGTGCGTACCATCACTCTCATTGTTTCACTGCTATTTTTGCTGAATTATATCAGTCAACTGTGATGCTAGCAGTGGACGTCAGCTTCCTGGCTGTGCCTTCCGTCAATCTCCAGAATGCGGGTTCGGTCACCGTCATCAGCACATACATTTCCTTGTTCTGCGTCGTCGGATCGTTGGTCGTGTCCTTTTTTCTCACCAGACAGAATCGGGTGTATGGACAGGAATCCGCTGACACGGCGGTGAGTCAAGAACGGTGCATCAATAATCAAACGTTGCTGAAACAAAGTCTTCGCAGGTCGATTTTCTCATGCAGATGACAGGATCTGCATTTGGCACAAAAGCTCTCGCGACTGTGCATGGCCTTCCGTATGCTATGCTGCTGTGGGGGTGAGTAGCTTTATTATTGTGGGACCTCCGTTACTCACGGAAGAGCTGTTCTTCTGCAGCATGGTGTATTTCATGCTTGCGCTGTCTTACCAGGTCTTCACGTCCACGCCCATCGTCACCCTCGCGACTACTGGCAGTGCATGTGGTATCGTGGCGCTTTTCACACTGTGGCTCGTAAGCGCGGCAAGAGATTTCCACCTTTTGACGTGGTTGCTGGCGAGGCTTAAGGCTTGGAAAGAAAAATCTTAGACACCGTATCAGGTGCAATGTCGGACACGGCCTTGATGGTGTCTCAGCTCAGTCAACTTCTGATCAGTGATTCGGTGTATTATGGATATGCAGCGGAATGTATTGATGATTGCATCAGTTTTTGTGCAAAATGACAGCTGTATCCACGAATTCCCACGAATCAATTCGATGTCGTTCGCATCTACGGCATTCCACACCTGAAATTAAAGACAAGGGAGCTCTTGTGAGCATGGCCGTATTAGTTGGCGCTACAGGTCAACATGTACAGGGCATTGATTCAGATATCATTGCTGAATGATGATGTCTACTTCAACCTTCTGACAACCGTAATCTATCAAGATCCGGTCGTGTTGGGTCAGGCATTTCATTCTGTCGAGTGCGTACAGTGCGAGTGCGGCTCTACAATATATCGACCGGGCTCGTAGAGCATGAGTACGGGGTGAGCCTACATTTATTGTACAGTAGCATACCATACCTCATGCTGGCTAATCGGTTGTACCGTAAACAGGCGATTGTATGCCAGACACTTCAAAAATCAAGAGGATCTGGACAACGCATGATATTCATTCCTGATCACTCTGCCAGCTGCCTTTGTCGATGGACGGTCCCGAGGATCAGTAGACCAACATTGCTCGATAAACTCCCAGTATTTGTCAGGGAGCGGAGTATAACGAGATCGGGAAGGTGTTTGCGACTTGGCTATGCATAAGATGATGGCGGCATCATTCGAGAGGTGATGATAGGGAATTTTGTTGGTGAGGACCTACAAGTGGAGCTCGTGATACCATCAAGACGTCAAAATAACGCAGACGTACCTGTAACATGATACCGCCGAATGAATACATGTCGCTCTGTTTGCTTGGCCGCACTTGCGATCCATCATCCCGATCTTCAAGCAGCTCAGGAGCCATCCATCGTGCATTTCCTTTGAGCGTGGATGTCCAGGAAGCCTGAGAGGCGCTTATAACCTCCGAATACATCAAGGAGAGACCGAAGTCGGCGACACACGCAGTACCATCACCGTGGATGAGCACATTAGGCTGGAGGTCATGTCTCAATCAAATCGAAACCATCGAGAAGGTGAACTTACCCCATTGAAGTCACCATGGATGACACTGTTAGCATGTACTACGGGGAATAGTTAGGACTCCTAGCCCAGTATTAAAATAACTAGCACGTACGATATTGAAGACCAGCTATAATATCCTTGAGCTGAGATTGCCATCAGCCTGTAGTCTATGAAATATAAGTGAGGACTTACGACCTGGAATCGTCTAACAAGAGTAATATCCGCACCCTCGCGCTCCAAATAGGCGGTCAGGTTTCCATTCTCCGCCCAAGGACTGACCAGCGCTATAAATGGGCCGAACCCTTTAGTATAACCATAAACTGGTAGAATATTTTTGTGCTCGAGATTAGCACATATTCTGAGCTCATGATTTATCCTCTACGAAGTTGCGACCTCTGGCGTAAGTAACATTTGCAGTCTTTCGTCGAGACAATCACCTTGAGCTTCTTCGTCTTAGCTACACCAAGTTGATCAGCAGCGTACACATGCAACGCTTTCACTGCAACCTGCACAATTATCAATTTTAGACAGATGGACAACCACAACACGGCAAACGAACTTTAATCAATCTCTGATCGTTGTGATAGGTACATTTCCAGATCTCGCCGAACCCGCCACGAGCAACAGGATAGTCTCCGTCCTTGGTAATGTATCCCGTAAGGTTTCGGAGCCTGGCTTCAGGAGGCAAATCACTAGAATCATGGTCGCGAACGCGAAGAACTGTGGGGGTGACGTCGTAGGGGTAAGAGGATGACTCGGGCAGCCGTGAGCTTAATACAGGAGAAGGAGGGGGAAGAGCTATGACAGACGCTCCTGGTGCACCGGGGAGATCTAGCGCGGGTCCTCCGAGGGTGTACAGGAGGTCCTGAGGCAATGACCATACGTTGGGTAGATCAGCTAGGGGTGTATGTACAGGAGCACTGGTCTGCAAGAAAATGTCAGCGCATGGATAGCACACGTATTGGAACTTCTGACTGCACACCTTAGGCCCTTGTTTTGCAGGCTGAATGCTAGCAAGGATCTCAGGTTGGGTGCTGCACAAGTAAATCCTGGAGTCGTGCCCGGCCGTATAGACCAGTTTGCGGGAGTTGGGCGAGAATATAAGGTAGTGGGGATTCAGAACATCGAATACGGCGAGGAGTTGGCGGGACTCGAAGGCCCAGAGTTTGATGGTATTGTCATTAGAAGCACTAGCGAGGAGAGCACAATCGAATGAAAGTGCTAGACCATTGATGGTATTGGTCTGCTCTTTGAAGGGAGTTCCGACCGTTTCCAGTGTAGACGCGTCAAACTCGTAGATCGTGTTTGGGGAGCTAATAGTCTTGAAGCTGAATGCGGCTACAATGGTCTTGTCTCCGGTAGTCCAGAACACTGGAGCAGATGATGTCCGGTGGATGACATAGTAAGCTTCCCCCAGTCTGACATCCAAATGCTGTGTTTGGACGTCCCAAACCTCAAGACACTTCCCCAGATGTGACATGACCGCAATCTTCTTCGAGTCTTGCGAGAATCGGACTGCGCCCACTTTGTTGATACTGCGGAATGGACCAGCCACGACTTTGACAGTCTCCAAGCTCCATATCCGCACTGTCGAATCGTATCCGCTCGCCAGCAGCGTGCTGTCCACGGAGATGTCGATGCAGCTGATCTCTTGTGATCGTGAGTTGCCTTGGAACGTTCTCACGACCCCCGTCTCAACCTCATAGACTCTGAGCCTCCCATATCTACCACCCATGACAACCCATTTACCATCCCTCGATACCGCCACCGAATGTACTTCCTCCCAGTGAGTACAAACATCCCGCGCCTCCTCAATCTCCTTCCCCACCTCAAGGTCCCATCGCCGAGTGGTCCCATCCCGTGACGCGCTGACCATTTGCCTGCCGTCCGGAAAATAGGATATGGATAGACCGGGCATTGTGTGACCCTCCAAGGTCAACACGCGTGTCAATGTCGATTTCTTTTCTGCTGCGCTGGATCTGGAAGCCATGACCAGTGTCTCCACAAGCACTGGAAGTTCAGATTGTTTTGATGTTACTGACAGGCCAGGAACTTGGGGAAAGACGAGCGATTCACCTGATTGAATGTGACCATTATGTGAGTACCAGTCTGGAAACTCTTCTATTTATGTGCTTCCTAACACAGCCTGTCATCATAGCGCATTGCACAGCATTTCGTTTTAACCACGATCCACCTTCAAGTTGCTTATTGGCTCCTTGTCGTGATGATTTCCGTTGCTGGAGTGTCGACCTAGCCTGGTGTAGACTCTAGACTGACAAGACTAGAAGTCTAAGTAATCATGTGCTGCGTCTTCCCATGTACGTTGCCGCGGCTATGCGCGCTCAGAACACTGCAATGTGCATGCTGTTCGCAGGAATTCCGATTCGAAACAGATACCAGAAGCTGTGCGCTGTGCAGTTTTCTGGAGTTCATATCTGGAAGTTACTCACAGTCGTCCACATCCAATTCGTCCGTCTTACTATTGCCAGTCCACTCTCAGAGCCAGTTGGAGTTCAAGCCATTCACGCACTCCCAGGCGATGCGATACGGTAAAGGTGAAATCCCTGCAATGCGAGCCTTCTCGCATTCCGAATGAATCCGTATGCTGATAGGGTCGCAGCACACTATTTGGAGTGAGTCCCGACTTTTCCTTTGATGGAACAAGCCTCGATCACGGGGCATAGTTCACACTGGTGGTCTCGTGCACACCCTGAAGGAGCGCTCTGCTTCTATTGTGTATGGCGTTTATAATAATGTACCCTTGGTCTCCTACCACTAGTAACGAGGATATCTTCACCGACTCGTCCATGTGGAAGGAAACATCGAAGTAGAATGAACTTTTGTGTTTGGATGAGCTACTCGCCCTTGTAAATTTAAGGTTGTAATTTGGCAGCGGTGATATCGAGCTCGTGGTAGTGTTGACACAGTCCACAAAGCTTAGAATACACGATAATGATTCGTCGATCATCCCAAGCACCACTTTTCTGGCTCCATGATATATCTATACTGTCGAATTACTGGCAAGTCTTTCTTTGCGTGTAAATACTCAGAAAAGTCTGGGGGTGAGCCTACGTTTAGTGGTGTACCATGCCTGATGCCGTCTATGCGGTTGTACTGTAAATAGACTGTTACATCCAAGACAGTTCAAGAATCAACGAGATCTGGACAGCGAGTAAAATTCATTCCTGATTACTACGTCGGCTCCCTCTGTCGACGGACGGTCCCGAGGATCAGTAGACCAACATTGCTCAATGAACTCCCAGTATTTTGCAGGGAGCTCAGGATAACGAGATCGGGAAGGCTTTTCCGACCTGGCTATACATAGGACAATAGCAGCATCATTCGGCAGGTAATAGTAGGGAATCTTGTTGGTGAGAACCTAAAGGCAGAGTTTATATCACTGCGCAGTTGAAATTACACAACGTACCTGTAACATAATACCGCCAAAGGAAAAGATGTCGCTCTGCTCGCTCGGACGAGTTGGAGATCCATCCTCCCGCTCTGGTACAAGCAGTTCAGGAGCCATCCATCGCATGTTTCCTTTGAGCGTGGACGTCCAGGAAGCCTGAGAGGCGCTTATAACCTCCGAATACATCAAAGAGAGCCCAAAGTCAGCAATACACGCAGTACCATCGTCATGTATGAGCACATTAGGCTGGAGATCGCATCTCAATCGGATTGAAACTAACGAGAATGTTCGAACTTACACCAGTGAAGTCGCCATGGATGATACTGTTGGCGTGAACTGCAAGGAATAGTTAGGACTCGTGGTCCAGGGTTAGACTCACTAGCACGTACGATATTGGAGACCAGCTATGATATCCCTGAGCTGAGATTCCCATCATGTTAGTCCGTAGTCTTTATGAAATACAAGTGAAGACTTACTATCTTATATTTTCTGAAAAGAGTAAGATCCGCACCCACACGCTCCAAATAGGCGGTCAGATTTCCGTTCGCCGCCCAAGGACTGACCAGCGCTATAAATGGGCCGAAGCCATTAGTATAACCATAAACGGGGAGAATATTTTTGTGCTGGAGGTTGGCGCATATTCTGAGTTCACGCGTTATCCTCTAAGAGGTAGCGACATCTGGGGTAAGTGATATTAGGTGTAATCTTTCGTCAAGACACTTACCTTGATCTTCTTCGTTTTCGATGGACCAAGTTGATCCTCAGCGTACACCTGCAATGCTTTCACTGCAACCTGTGCAATTATCAATTTAAGACAGAAGAACAGCCACAACATGGCAAACGAACTTTGATCGATATCTGAAATCTGGAATAGGTACATTTCCAGATTTCGCCGAACCCGCCACGAGCAACAGGATAGTCTCCGTCCTTTGTGATATATTTCGAGAGATCTTGGAGCACCGCTTCAGGAGGCTGATCATGATGAACGGGGAGAACTGTGTCCAAATGGGAGGAGGAGGGAAGGAGTTCACGGGTATGGGTGTATGACTGGGGTAGCCGTGAGCCTACTGGAGAAGGAGGTCTTCGAGGTCGAGGGAGAAGAGCTACGACAGGCGATATTGTTGTACTGGGGAGATCTAACGCAGGTCCTCCGTGGGCACACAGGAGGTCTTGAGGCAGTGACTGAAGTCCTGGGTCATAGTGTTGCCTCCGCATGTCGGCAGTTTGTATGTGAGAGGTTTCGGCGTGTTTGACATTCCAGGATTCGGTCCGTCTGCCGTTTCTCGAGTCCGGCCTTGCCAATATCATTGGGTTACGACGCACGGCATCAGGACGAACTGCGCCAGACTGCAATAATGACATTAATTGAGTGGTTCACATGAGCAAAAGAAAGGGATCATGTACGTTGGGTAGATGAGCGAGGGGTGTATGTATAGGAGCACCGGTCTGCAAGAAAATGTCAACGCATGAATATCATATGTATGGGAGTGACTGCGCACTCTAGGCTCTTGCTGTGCAGGCTGAATGCTAGCAACTTGAAGGATCTCAGGTGGGGTGTTACATACGTAGATATCGGTGTGGTACCAGGCCGTATAAGCCAGTTGGTGCGAATTGGGTGAGAAGATAAGGTAGTGGGGATCCTGAACGTGGAATGATGCAAGGAGCTGGCGGGACTCGAAGGCCCAGAGTTTGATGGTATTATCATCAGAGCTACTAGCGAGGAGAGCACAATCGAATGAAAGTGCTAGACCATCAATAGCCTTGCTGTGCCCTTTGAAGGGAGTTCCGACTGTCTTCAGTGTGAAGGCTTCAAATTCGTAGATCCCGTACCAGGAGTCGAATTCGAAGTCCGTGAAGCCGAATGCAGCGGCTACGATTGTCTTGTCTTCGATAGTCCAGAACATCGGCGTATATGTCCAATATTCCATGGAACAAGATTTTAGCAGTCTAACAACCGATATCTGTGTTTGGACGTCCCACACCTAGGCCTCAAGCTTGCACCTCGCCACATCTAAAATGATTGAAGTAACCGCAAGGTTTCTCGAGTTTTGCGAGAATCGAACTGCGCGCATCCGTTTACCACTCTTGAATGGACCAGCCACTATTTGTCCAGTGTCCAAGTTCCATACCAGCACTGTCTCATCCTCTGACCCGCTCGCGAGCAGCCTGCTGTCCGCGGAGATGTCGATGCAGTTGATCCTTCCTGAGTGGCCTTCAAACTTTCTCATGGTCCCCGTCTCAACCTCACAAACTCTGAGCTCCCCAGTTTCGTAATCTCCGCCACCCATGACAACCCATCGACCATCCCTTGACACAGCCACCGCATCCACTTCCTTCTTACAAACTTTCCGCACCTCCTTAATCTCCTTCCCCACCTCAAGGTCCCATCGCCGAGTGGTCCTATCCCGTGAGCCGCTGATAATTTGCTTGCCGTCCGGAAAATAGGATATGCATGCACCGGACTTTACGTGACCCTTCAAGGTCAACACGGGTGTCAAAATCAAGTCCTTTGCTACTGTTTCAGGCTGTCTCGATCTGGAAGCCATGACTATTGTCTCCACCAGCAAGTACTATTCAAAGCACCGTCGGTGAGGTCTTATCGTCTGCCGTAGCCTGACGTTGATAGTGATTTCGAAGGACGCCCAACTACTGGCGGCTAGTACACTTTGCCTGCTGAAGCCGATCGTCAGTTCGTCAGCGCTGGAAGTTCAGACTGTTTTTGACGTTACCTAGAGGCTGGCAACTTTGGGGATGGGCGGGGGATTTTCCTGATTGCATGTGCGTGCATCTGTCAACCGCTTCATTTATATGCTTCCTAACACCCCCCTTCCTGTGCCAATTTGCACAGCATTGCGTTTTAACCACGGTCCATCGCCTTGCTACCTGTCATGGTCATCAGCCTTGCCTGGGGGTCCCGAAGACTCTAGATCAACAAGCCTATTAAGTCTAAGTAGTCGTCGTTTGTGGCGTTGTCTCGTGCACATTGGTATGCAAGCCCAGAGCCCTGTGCAATGTGCACGCTGTGCTGCAGCTTAGCGCTCAATCATGATTGAACTATCTCGGACCAATAGAAATATGGTTTATGTGTCCCTATATATATAGTATACACCTTTGGGGTTGACGTTGATGAGATAAATCGCGGCGTACACTCCTCCAATACCGGCTAATCATACGCTGTAGCTCCAGCCCACTCGGAGCCAGTCGAAGTTTTACGCTCTCCGAGGCGATGTGACACGGTCAAAGTTACGACCCTACAATCTAAGCCTGCTAGCATACCGTACATCGTACTATTGATCTGATTGTACTGCCAACAAATTGTTCTATGCAAAACAGTTCAAGAATCAACGAGATCTGGACACCCAGTAAAACTCATTCCTGATCGCTCCGTCAGCTCCCTCTGTCGATGGACGGTCCCGAGGAAGAGTAGACCAGCATTGCTCGATAAACTGCCAATACTTCTCAAGGAGCACAGGATAACGAGGTCGGGAAGGCTTTTGCGACCTGGCTATGCATAGGACAATAGCGGCATCATTCGGCAGGTAATAATAGGGAATCTTGTTGGTGAGAACCTACAGGCAGAGTTAATGATATCACTACACAGTCTAATTTACACAACGCACCTGCAACATAATACCGCCAAACGAAAATATGTCGCTCTGCTTGCTCGGACGAGTTGGAGATCCATCCTCCCGCTCTGGTACAAGCAGTTCAGGAGCCATCCATCGCATGTTCCCTTTGAGCGTGGACGTCCAGGAAGCCTGAGAGGCGCTTATAACCTCTGAATACATCAAGGAGAGACCGAAGTCGGCGACACACGCAGTACCATCGCCATGGATGAGCACATTAGGCTGGAGGTTATGTCTCAATCAAATCGAAACCATCGAGAAGCTGAACTTACCCCATTGAAGTCGCCATGAATGACACTGTTGGCGTGAACTGCAAGGAATAGTTACGACTCCTGATCCAGATTTAACTAACTAGCACGTACGATATTGGAGACCAGCTATGATATCCTTGAGCTGAGATTCCCATAATGTTAGTCCGTAGTCATTATGAAATACAAGTGAGGACTTACGATCTCGAATCGTCTAACGAGAGCAAGATCTGCACCCTCACGCTCCAAATAGGCGGTCAGATTTCCATTCTCCGCCCAAGGACTGACTATCGCTATAAATGGGCCGAAGCCATATGTATAGCCATAAACGGGGAGAATATTGTCATGTTTCAGGTTTGCGCATATTCTGAGTTCACGTTTTATTCTCTAAGAAGTAGTAGTGACGTCTGGTGTAAGTGATATTAGATGCAATCTTTTGTCGAGACACTGACCTTGATCTTCTTCGTCTTCGCTGGACCAAGCTGATCATCGGCGTACACCTGCAATGCTTTCACTGCAACCTGCGCAATTATCAACTTTAGGCAGATAGACAGCCACAACACAGCCAACGAACTTTGATTGATCCCTGATTGTTGTGATAGGTACATTTCCAGATTTCGCCAAACCCGCCACGAGCAACAGGAAATTCTCCGTCCTTGATAATGTATGCCGTGAGGTTTTGGAGCCTCATTTCAGGGGGGGAATCACTAGGTTCATGGTTGCGAACGGGGGGAACTGTGTCGGTGTCGAAAGAGGAGGTAGGGACTTCGCGGGGTAAAGGGAGTAACTCGGGTAGCTGTGAGCGTAATACCGGAGAGGGTCTCTGAGATGGAGGGGGAAGAGCTATGACGGGCAGCATGGGTGGGCCGGGGAGATTTATCGGGGGTGCTCCGTAGGCGTACGGGAGGTCCTGAGGCAATGACTGAAGTCCTGGGTTGTAGTGTTGCATCTGCATGTCAGAAGACGGCCGCATGTCGGCAGGTTGTATGCGAGAGGTTCCGGCGTGTCTGACAGTCGAGGATTCGGTCCATCCGCCGCTTATCGAGGTTGGCCATGCCGTCCGGCGGGAGAGTTCCCCTGGTACTTGGGCCCCAGCCCAGTCGATCGCTGGGTTACGATGGCGAGCTGCATCAGACTGCAATAATGACGTTAATGGAGTGATCCACATGAGAACAAGAAAGGGATTGCGTACGTTGGGTAGATCAGCGAGGGGTGTAAATCTGACCTGCAAGAACATGTCAATGCATGAACAAGTTGCAATATGTATGAGAATGAATGCGCACTCTAGGCCCTTGATGTGCAGGCTGAATGCTAGCAAGGATCTCGGGTGGGGTGTTGCATAAGTAGATATCGCTGCTGTGACTGGCCGTATAAGCTAGTTGACGCGAGCTGGGCGAGAAGACAAGGTGGTGGGGGTTCTGAACGTGGAATGAGGCGAGGAGCTGGCGGGACTTGAAGGCCCAGAGTTTGATGCTCTGGTCATTAGAAGCACTGGCGAGGAGAGCACAATCGGATGAAAGTGCTAGACCATCAATAGTATCTGTGTGTCCTTTAAAGGGAATTCCGACCGGCTCCAGCGTAGATGCGTCAAACTCGTAGATCCCGTTCTGGTAGACGACGTTGTCCGTGAAGCTGAATGCAGTTACAATGGTCTTGTCTTCGGTAGTCCAGAACACAGGAGATTGATGCATTAAGAAATGAGATCTCCCCAGCCTGACATCCAAATTCTGTGTTTGGACGTCCCAGACGCACATCCTCACACATGAAATGACCGCAATCTTATTCGAGCCTTGCGAGAATCGGACTGCGCCCACCCAAGTATCATTCTTGAATGGACCAGCTACAAGATTGCCGGTGGCCAAGCTGCGTATTTTCACTGTCGAATCGTTTGCCCCGCTCGCCAGCAGCGTACTGTCTGGGGAGATGTCGATGCAGTTGATTTTCCCTGAGTGGCCTTCAAATGTTCTCACGATCCCCGTCTGAACCTCACAGACTCTGAGCTCCCCATATACACCACCCATGACAACCCATCGACCGTCCCCTGATACAGCCACCGCATCTACTTGCCGCATACCAATAAACCGCGCCACCCTAGTACTTCCGCCCGATGCTAGGTGCCATCGCCGAGCGGTCCCATCGCATGACCCGCTGATAATTCGCTTGCCGTCCGGAAAGTAGGATATGGATGGACCGGACTCTGTATGACCCTTCAAGGTCAATATGGGTGTCAAAATCGATTCATTCGCTGCTGCTGCAGGTTGTCTCGATCCGGAAGCCATGACTAGTGTCTCCGCTAGAGAGTCGGCAAGTACTGTTTGGGAGTATTCGATGCACCGTCGGCGAAGCCTTATCTTATCGTCTGCTGTGGCCTGAAGTGGATAGTGATTTCGAAAGGATGTCCAACTACTGATAGCTGGTAAACTTTGCCTACTGAAGTTGTTTGTCATTTCATCAGCGTCGGAAGTTCAGATTTTTTTGACATTACCTAGAGGCTGGTAACTTGGGGGAAGGGCGAGCGATTCACCTGATTTTGGCAACCCCTTCATATATGCTTTTCCTGTGTGACACGCCCCTTTCGGATAGTACGGCATTGTACTGTGTCAATTTGCACAGCGTTTCGTTTTAACCCCCGCCTTTGCCCTGTCGTGGTCACCATCCTTGCCTGGGTGGTCTAGACCAACGAGCCTATCAGTCTAAGGAGTCGTCATTTTCGGCGCCCGTGCACGTTTCTATGCGAGCCTAGAGCCCGTGCAATTGTGCATGCTGTAGCTCAGCAATTAGCGCTCAATCGTAATTGGACCGTGGCAAAGCCGACAATCTACGGACATACCCCGCCTTGAAACAACATTCGCAAGCACGCCAAAGACTCGGGCAGCGATGGAAGGGTTGGCGTCTAGGTTAAGACGCTCGAGGATGATTTGGGGCCCCGCAGTAGCACCCGAGCGAGTGTGGGTCGCCCGTGACATCGACTTTCGGCGGTGGAAGAAGTTTTATAGCAACCCATGAACAATGGTCGAGAATCACGACGGCATGTGCGTGTCATGATCGGCTTCCACCTTTGCTCAATCCCATGCTTTGACGTGGTTAACCTGCTGTCGCGGTTCGGGCCTTGCAGAGCAAAATCTTGGATACGGTCTTCATAGTGACTCGGCTCAGTCAGTTTCCTACCGGGTGCTAAGTAGCAACTACATAATTTTCAGTTGGTTATGGTGATGTATCAAAGCACACTTGCCTAGCTTATAGTGTTGCTATGAGGCCTGCAAATGTTGAATCATCAATTGAATGACCATCAGTATTAAACGACGCAAGCTAGCTGACTTGCAAGTTCGTGATTGAGTTTGTAAATAAGGTTACTGCATAGATCAAACATAATAGAGGGCCGAGGCCGTGCTTCGGGTGTTTTGCTCTGTGCCTCGTGTCTTGAACTTGTCTGCTAACATCACCATGTCGCACAAGCATGATGCCGTCGTTCGGAGGCTCATAAACCGCTTTCGGGTGTTTCTGAAGGTGTTGTTTCGACATATTGCTTTCCCGCTGCGACTTGTACATCACCTGTGTCGCACCCTTTTGCGGTTATACTACTCACGTAGTGTCGCATCCAAGCGCCGGTTCCAGCGCATTCATCCAGATGGGCACCCGGAGCGAATTGTTGGGTCAAGCCAGCCTCCCATACGTCAACCTCCGAGCAACCATCAGCCGCAGGGCCCGCCATTACCATTACCAAGGCCTGCATCCTATCCACCATTTCCGGTCCCAACCCCTACACCATCCTCTAATTATGTCCCACAGCCACCTCCAGGACCTCCTGCACCAACCCAGTCTCAGAGTCGAGAGTTCCAGCCATTCACACCCTCTGATGTGATGCGGTACGATAAATATCCTACAATGTGCGTTATAGTGTTCCGACTACATTCCAATACTGATGTGATCACAGAAATCCCGACGTCAATAAATACACTGAGATTGAGGCTCTAATGAGAGACTATTCAGAGTGAGTGGTATCTTCTTTTTGGGTGTATTCAGTGAAAATGGGCGCAGTAAACGCCAGCAAGTGGGCGGAAACTGGCAATCCTGTATACACCCAGAGGGAGCGCTCTATTTTCATGACCCCACGCGCGTATGTCATTTATTACCGAATTAATACGAAAGAAACTCGGTCTCTTACTGCTAGTAACAGGGTATTTACACGGACTCAATTTTGTGGGGCAAACGCCAGAGCGACATGGACTCGTGTGTGGATGGGCTTCTCGCTCTTATGCCCCCCGAGGTGCAGCTGGATTGCAACAAGATCGAGCTCGTGGTGCAGTTGGCAACGAACCGAGAGACCAGAGCTTCATTTTGCAGATACTATATTGTCGACCATGACAAGCACCTGCTTCTCTGGCTCCATCCGCTACCTACAACAAAGCTCTTTTGCGGAGTTCAGGGTGTCGAAAAGCTGAGCCATATCAGTGCGCCCTCAGTAGTGGACAATTGTCGTGTTTTGATGGTTTATGTTTCTAGAGTATGCTGTTGAACATCAGTACTGGCAAGTGTGCCATTGTACGTATTCAGTTTCTGTTCGTGAAATATTCTCACAGAGTGATGGAACAGAACATGCAAGATTAACGCAGGATTAACTTAGTCCCTAGGCAACACTGCGAGATGTATCCCAATGAAAATTTGCCAGCCACGCAGCTGCTCAAGGAACTCAAAGCAGTTGTTGTGCATGCTAGCGCTGGTGCGAATTGCTTTTGATTGCACACACGAGTCGCTGAAGGAGTGTACAGAAACTATTACGACAGACGTGTCACTCTCGCCCTTCGACGGTGATGAATTATCGAAAATTCTGGATTTGATCGGACAACTTCAAGGCAAGCGAAAGGTTCTTTTAAAGGCATTAATACTGATTCTCGAAGCTAGACGATGTCGCTGACGCCCACTCTATCTGTGTCATTGGTGAGAATAATCATTTTTATATTTATTGCCCCAGGAGTGATTGTTTTGTAGCCAGGTTCATGCGGTATTTCAGTAAGTAACACGTTCCACAATACATCCTTTCTGAGCCTCCTGCCAGCCCGAGCTAAATTTTTCAACTTTTGCGGGCTCCCTGCTGCCCGTCTGGATGCGGACCAGTCTGTTTACAAAAAGACGAAGAGGAGCAAGCTAATTTTGGCTCTTTCATGGGCATTCAATGTTGCGCTGTTTGGGGCCCCTCAGTCACACATGACAGAACTCCGACGAGTATGGGTCGACCGCAGTATCAACTCTCCGCGCTGGAAGAACTTTAACAGCAAGCTAAGCAGTGAATGGTCAGGCATCACAATGTATGTGCGTGCCACGATTCTCGCTATCCGGCTCCTTTTTTTTTGCTTAATCATATTAGTCAACTGTGATGGTAGCGGTGGACGTCAGCTTTCTGGCCGTGCCTTCCGTCAGTCTCCAGTCTCCAGGTTCGGTCACAATTATTAGCACGTATCTTTCTATTGTTTGCATCGTCGGATCGTTGGTTGTGTCCCTGTTTCTCACCAGACAGAATCGGTTGTATGGGCAGGAATCTGCTGATACAGCGGTGAGCAAATAGCGTATCGATTGTCGCATATCACTACAATAAAACATTGCAGGTCCAATTTCTCAAGAAGATGACAGGGTCTGCATTTGGCACCAAGGCTGTGGCGACCGTACACGGTCTCCCGTATGCGATGATGTTGTGGGGGTGAGTACCCTGTTGTTGTGGGTTCTTAGCTCACGGAGGTCCTGTTCTTCCGCAGTATGCTGTATTTCATGCTTGGGTTCTCTTACCAGGTCTTCACGACCACACCCACCCTGACACTCGCGACCACCGGGAGCGCATGCGGCATTGTGGCGCTTTTCACACTGTGGCTCATATACGCGGCGAGGGATTTCCATGTTTCGACACGGTTTATTTCGTGGCTTCGAGCTTTCAGAGCAAGAAGTGGGACCCTGACACAGCCTTAATGGCTCAGTTAATTTCCAATCTGTGATTTGGTGTACTATTTATATGCAGTGGGATATAGGTGCCGACGTACAGCTACGTGTCCAGTGAGCAACGTCACACATTAGTTTGATTGAATCAGTGAGAATCGGGACAAGCTGGGGCTTCACCTGATTTCGCAGTTCAAGATATGGCAATGCCAGTCATCTCTGGCCTAAAATCAATAAAACTGCTCAGCATCACCGATCTCCTATCCGATATCAAAGTTTGACGGCTATCGGAGTCTTATTGTGGAGCAATTTAATTTGAGTACCATTTCAATCAACGTGAGACTTGAGTATCGTTAGTACTATCGTAATGCAGGCACGCTATGGATATTGTAGCCTTATGTAGCAGGATGTAACCAAGGCTCTCAGACTCCAAGACTGCCAACTGGCATTTAATTTCGCACAATCTCCAGGTCCCAACTCATCCATATAGTCGCACGTGGTGATTCTATCCGACGATTACCTCGACATCGTTGTATTTCTGTAGAAGAAGAATGAGCTTCATAAATCACCCGCTCAGTTCACTCGCGACTTTTAAACTTTAGGGGAAAATCACCTTATTTGCATGACAAACATGCGGGATTACGGAATGCACAGCTGACATGCACGGCGTGTGTTTGGAGGTGTTAAGAAGACCCAGGCAGAAGCGGCCACGCAACAGGAATGCAACCTTCTTGCCAGCCGGAGTGGTACTACCCTCGGCGGGTCCACAATATTACGTTCCTTTAAACGCGCCCAGATTTTACCTTGGCTATTTGCCAACTTCGCTCGCGAGAACGCAGATAAATATGTCGCGGGCCTGGACAACGAAGCGGGCAAACTCGTGGGTAGTCGGTTTGATTCTCGCAACTAGAAGTAGTGTGGGCGGCTATTAATATCATGAATACCCCGATAATCAGATGACATCGGGAGCTCGGACACAGAAAGTGGATGTCAGAGACATAGTCATACCAGACTGTGGTCCAGCGTTCTGGAGGATGCAAAACAGACGTAGCTGCATGGAGAATGATAAAGGGAAAACGTTCGTCCTTTGAAGAACACACGAGCCACATCCAACGGAGATACGGTATGTTGTTCTGGTTCGCCACTATTTGAAGCACAAGCAGGAAATGGAGTAAGCTCGAGAGCTAAATAGAATTAGAATTAGTCATTCCACCGTCTTGATTAGCAGAAGGGACGTACCGTGTGCCAAAATTTTGAAGACTGCTCAGCGGGATCGAGGCTTACTTATCTGAACCCAAATAATTCACATGAACCGTCCGCCTTTGGGATGGTGCCACATATTTCTCGATTATGCAGAAAACCAATACGACTAGTGGCTCTTCAGCGTCTTTGTCTTTGGGTGCTAAAAATAATACGCAGAAACAAAGAACACCCGTTTAGGCCACTGTCAGTTGCTAGTCCGGCTGTCCCACAGCAAGTACCATTTTGTTCGCTCTTTGAGCCACAAGCCGACAAACGGCGAAAGGCAGCAAAGAAAAGGTTTTACGGCTGCCAGCTGGTGCATGTAAGTTCGAACGTGGTTCAGGCAAGACTTGACATACAGATGAACCTCGATATTAATGGTGACAGAATGGCACATGGGCGGCGTGTGCTGGAGCACATAATATGCCTAGCCTGAAGGTTCATGGAGAAGCCATGTACATAAAAGCGTGTAACGGATGCCTCGCACAAGTAATATTATTGAAGGCAGATCCGATCTGCTCGAGATCGGTGTTGTAATATGTCGTTCTACTGCCTGTTGTCTGGCGCGCATTAAAGGACGCTGGATTTTGAATACGGCTACAAAGCAGGGGGAATATGAAAGCATCAGCGCATGGATTTAATCAAGTATTCTTTTGTTGAAGCGCACTGCTCTCGATCTTTCCCCCCCTCAGCTCCATCTGGCCACAGGGCTGTATTTGGTAGTCTTCGGAAGACTTCCGTATCGGTGGCAAGTTCATCTGGATCAACATTTCCACAGTGAATGATCTAAGCGTATCTTGGGCGCCTGTGTGCAAAATAGGCATGTTTCATGCATAATATTTAAATTTTGATGCACGTAGGATATGTGGTTCACCGTGGAGTGTAGTGTGCAAGGAATGTGGAGGTTGAAATCAGAGGAACAGCTAAAAGTATTTCCGCTAAGGTGGAACGGAGGCTTTCCACCAAACTCCGCGAATATACCCTAATATTCCCACGCAGAAGCAACAAGGCAACACGATAACTCAGTGCACAATTTCAATGCCCGCTCCCACACATTAGAATTCAGGACCTTCGGAAGTCTGCAGCTTTCACTCACAATAACTCCTCCTCCTCCTCGACGATAACAATTATTATCGCTCATCTGCTGCTTTATGCAGACCGTTTCTCCTCCGAATTCTTCGCGGGGATCGCCTTCGCGTCGAGGTCGCTCTCCCCGAACGCCTGCGCAAAGCAGCGCCCCACGCTCCTCAGACGCCTTGCCGACCGTATTTTCGAATAAACAGCCTGCTACATTCACTTCTTGTCTGTCAATTCCGGTAGAAGGTGCAGTCCCAATAGCCACTCAGGAGGAAATTCTTTCTCCTTCCCAGCCCGGAACATCACAGCAGAGCGCATCCAGTAGCACCAAACGCGCCCCACGTAAATCCAAGACACATGCTCTGGCTGCCCTGCAAAACCACGTGACATCACACGATAATGATGATGCGACACCGCAGGAGTCGACCGACAATTTTTCTGGAGATGGCATTCCCATCTCTGTCTCACCCACGTTAGACTTATCTACAGTCAAAACGTCGAGTCCTCGAACGCAGCCCATGCGCTCTAAACCCCGTCCATTTGGTTTAGAAGACTGCCCAGTTTTTTACCCGACGTCAGATGAGTTCAAAGACCCTATGGCTTACATCCGCTCCATCTCAGAAAAGGCGAGCAATTATGGCATCTGCAAGATCATTCCTCCCGTTGGTTGGAAAATGCCCTGTGTCACCGATAGCGAGGTTTGTATATTTTTCTTTGTGACGTAGTAATTTTCTTTATGAGGGTGGCTCTAATAAATTATGTATCAGACATTTCGTTTCAAGACTCGGCTGCAGCGCCTTAACTCTATCGAGGCCTCATCTCGTGCGAAGGTCAATTTTTTGGAGCAGCTCTACCGTTTCCACAAACAACAAGGCAACCCTCGTGTATCCGTGCCCACCATCAACCACAAGCCCCTAGACCTGTGGTTGCTCCGCAAAGAGGTCCAGAAACTCGGTGGCTATGAGGCAGTGCGTGATCCTCCATTATAGCGTAGCCAGTGCCTGAATAGTCTCATAGGTGACTAAAAACAAGAAGTGGGGGGACCTCGGGGCGCTCCTCGGTTACCGTGGCATCCCTGGACTATCGACGCAGATCAAGAATTCTTATACACGAGTTATCTTGCCTTATGAGCATTTCTGCGACTGTGTTCGGAATTCACCAACCCTTTCCACATCTCCGACTGCAGCGCGCGATCCGCAGTTGAAAACCCATATGAATATCCAGACCGCCACACATCCTTTGACATCTCCTCGCGAGCGTGGTTCCCCACCTTCCAGCCCGCTTACTTCTACATCTAGCCCATTATCGGAGCCCCCTGATGAGGGTGATTATAAGGAACGTAGCGGGCCTCGACCGGAGAGCACCACTATGAAGCGCGGAGCAAGAGTAGCATCTCAAGAAATGACTCGTAAGCTAGTGAATGCACCCGGTTAGTCAATATCTAACCGTGAACACCGCCCAGCCACGCGGAAATCTATGGAGGTTCTCAATCGGTTATCTCCGGGGTCGGTTTCACCTCAGCCCGACGACGAGTACAAGCGCACCTTGGAAGTACGTATTATTGCACGCCTCCCTTTCTATAGACTCACACTTGTCCAGCTGTCCTGCGAAATTTGCCAGAAGAAGAATCAGGACGAAAAAATGTTGCTGTGCGATGGATGTGATTGTGGTTTGTTTGTTCTATAGCCTCAATATACACGCGTTTGACCTTATGACTACAGGATTTCATATTTTTTGTCTTGACCCCCCTTTGGCCACCATTCCGAAAGGGCAGTGGTTTTGCCACATCTGTCTTTTTGGCACTGGTGGTGATTTTGGCTTTGATGAGGGAGAGGAACACAGTCTTTCGAGTTTCCAGGCGCGCGATCTTGAGTTCCGCAGAAGGTGGTGGACCTCTCATCCTCCATCGTCTCCATCGGCCGCGGATCTCAATGACCCTACGGTGAATTACGTTGGGAGCACGCTGATATCTGAGTATGATGTGGAGAATGAATTTTGGCGCCTTGTACAGTCACCGAATGAAACTGTGGAGATTGAATATGGTGCCGATGTACATTCGACTACGCATGGCAGGTGGGAGGATTTTCTGAGTTTTTTCACCGTTTAAATTAACGTTCAACGTTTTTTTTCCTCGCCTAGTGCCATGCCCACCCTAGAGACACATCCACTGGAACCTGCCTCGAAGGACCCTTGGAATCTGAACAACATGCCCATTCTTCCAGACTCCCTTCTCAGATACATCAAGTCTGATATTTCTGGTATGACCGTCCCTTGGACATACGTTGGCATGGTCTTCTCGACATTTTGTTGGCATAACGAGGTGTGTCCGTCGTGATACGTTTCAGTCATAAGCACTGATCCAACTGCATCAGGATCATTATACTTACAGCATCAACTTCAGTACGTAGTGTCCCATTGCAGCAACTTACTTTTCCTGATCGTTCCGCTTAGTGCATTGGGGTGAAACCAAGACCTGGTATGGTATCCCAGGAGAAGACGCAGACAAGTTCGAGGCCGCCATCAAGAGTGAGGCGCCTGACCTATTTGAGGCGCAGTCCGATCTCCTATTTCAGCTCGTAACGTTGATGAACCCGAAACGTCTCGCTGATGCCGGGGTCCGCGTGTATGCGTGCAATCAACGGGCAGGCGAGTTTGTCATCACGTTTCCGAAAGCATACCATGCAGGATTCAATCACGGGGTGCGTTTTGTACGTTTTTGATCGATCGCATCTCGACTGAGTTTTATGGCAGTTCAATTTCAACGAGGCCGTCAATTTTGCGCTCCCAGACTGGTTGCCTTTTGGTCGTGACTGTGTTCAACGTTACCGTGAACACAAAAAGCTGCCGGTCTTTTCCCATGATGAACTTCTCGTAACGATTACGCAACAATCTCAGTCTATTAAAACTGCGTTATGGTAAGCATCGAAATAATTAATGAATTATTTTGTGTAACTCATTTTTTTTTCTGAAGGCTGCAGTCGAGTCTCGAGGAAATGATTGAGCGTGAGCTCGCAGCTCGCCAGCTGGCTCGTGAGCGTGGCGTTTGTGAGCGTATCGAAGAAGAGGACCGCCCTGAAGATCAATACCAATGCACAATCTGCAAAGCCTTCTGCTACCTCTCGCAGATCACCTGTCATTGCAAGAGCGAGATTGTCTGCGTTGATCACATGGATCAGCTATGCGACCATTCACCAGAAGAATTGACGCTCAGGAAACGTTTTTGTGACGGCGACCTTCTCGACACTCTTGGGAAAGTCGTTGAGCGCGCAGCCATCCCTGGCAAATGGCGAGCCAAATTCAACAAGGTTCTTATGGAAAGTGACCTTCCGTCGTTACGCTCTCTTCGCGCGCTCCTTGCTGAAGGCGAACGTATTAATTACCACCTCCCTGAAATTGCCGCCCTCCGCAAATGCGTCAACCGTGGCAATGAGTGGTTGGAGGCTGCCAATGCGTTCATTAGCCGCAAGCAAGGTCGCAAACTCACCCGCCGTTCACGTGGCCGCCCGCCTTTGCACGAAGCGAAAAACGCTGAGTTTGATGACCGTGACCCGGGAGATAAGCCCGACCGTGGGCTCAACGACCTTTATGCTCTCCTGATGGAGGTGCAAACCCTCGGGTTTGAAGCCCCGGAGATGGGAACCCTCCGTACATTGGCTGAACAAGCGGAAGATATTCGATGCAAAGCCTCAGCGTTGCTCAATTCTGCCAATTCAGCGGCCAGCCGGGACACCTTCATAGCTGATTGCGAGCGGCTGCTCCTCGGCGCATCATCCATCAACGTCCACCTTGATGAAATTCTCGAAGTAGAGAAGCTTGTGTCTCGGGAGCAACTCCTTAGGGAGATGGAGGAGAAGGCGGAGGATGCGTCAGCTACACTGGAAGACATTCGTGGGCTTTTGACCCGCGCTCGTGCCTGCAGCGTTCCTCTCGAAAACCAGTTTATACAAACCCTAGATTCTCGTCAACAAGCTGGGGATGACTGGGAAGAGCGGGCGAGGCAGGTATTGGACCAGCCGCACAAGACCATTGAGGAGCTGGACGAATTCCTTGAGATAGACTCCACCATCCCTATCGATGTCACAATCTATGACCGGCTGATGTCCGCGCGCAGCAAGGCCAAGGATTTCGAGAAACAGGCGAAGGCCTGGATATCCCCCGACGGTCCAGGACTCAAGCCTAGGATTTCGGAAGTCATGCGTTTCGTCGCTCGTGCTGAAAAAGATTTCAGCATTCCTGCGATCAGAGATTTGAAGCAGACCGCCGAGTTTGCTTTGGATCTCGAGAATCGATGTGAATCGATTCTCCAGCATCGTTACCAGCATCGAGAAGACACAGACGTATTTGCGATGATGCGGAAGTGGAAATCCTACGCCCGAGAGCATCTCACCATGTTCTCGCTACCCGTCTTCGAGAAGCTGGATGATCAGCTCACTCGCCATCAAGAATGGTTAGAAGATCTGCCGTGGTATTGTCCGCAGCATGAATGCGCTCATGGCCGTGAGATCCTGAATGATGTTGAAGAGTCAACGAGACAGGAGGATGACCAACCCCCCATTGACGAGTACTTCACCTGCATCTGCACCACTCCCGTTCGCCCCCCTCCACCCGGAACTCACTCCGACGCAGTTCAGTGCGACCATTGCTTTGCAAGGTTCCATGGCGTTTGCGCAGCTAACGGTGGTTCATGCCCTTTCTGCGATCATCATCACTGGAATGGTGCCATCCATAAGGAACGCAGTTGGCATTTCTGTTTTCTGCCGACCATCCTCCTTAAAGCACCTTCAATAACCAAAAATTACTCGGATGCCTGGAAGCAGCTGGAGATCATTGTCCGTCGGATAGATCGTCTGTGCTCAGTCATCGGCACGTTCTTGACGTATGCCTCGCAAGCCGGCAACAAACGCGCCGAATACATTCCTCAGGTGCGCCACTACATGCGCAAATTGTATAAGATCCAGTTCGCCGTGTCTCCAACTCGCGATGTCTCATACGGTCTCGACCTCGCTGGTCTGCATCGCATCCTCGCCGGTCAACCTCCAGCTATCCGGATCAAGAAGAGGCGAAGGCCAAAGTTCACTTTTGGCCAGGATGTCGACAAGGATTGGCTGGATGGCACGCGCTGCATATGCCGCGGTCGCACACCATACCTCCTCAATTATCCAACCGTTGAATGTGACGCTTGCAGAAGACATTACCACTCTGGCTGCGTCTTCTTCCCTATAGAGGCCAACGCCGGCGGTAATAATCGATTTATGTGCCCGCTGTGCTGTTTGCGTAGGAGCCGACCATACATCTATTCGGAAGTCCGCGTAAAGCACGTTGGTCAGTAAAATTTCATTTAACGTATTACTCATGCTAACAGATGAGCAGATAACCAAGATCCAGACACATATGTCAATACGAGCGCAATGCTTGACACCTTCAGCAAAGATGTTGTTTACACGAAGATGTTACCCCCATACACGCAGACACTATTTGTGGAACTCATACGATTTTCGCCGGGTCAGCCTGATCTCGTTAACGGCAGCGCGCAGGCTTCCCGGAGCACTCCAACGCATACAATGCCGCACAGTAGCGAACCTGGCCCTTCTACGCACCATCGACATTCGCATATCCACAGCGCTCCTATGCCACTTCCTACACCGCCAACACCTGTTTATGAGCTTGCAAGGCAGCCGTCAGCGAACGGACATCATGTCCCACCTCCCCCGCCTTGGCAATCCCGCCCGCAGTCGCCACACTCGAGCAAGAAGCGAAAGTATGCGGACGACGCTCCACAAGACACCTCGGAGCCGAGATCACCCAAGCAACGGCGCCTTCCCCAAACCCCTGTTCTCCCATCTGCCAGCACAGGTGCTCGTACGGTACAGCAGGCACTTTCACCTTCGCTGGCCATGATTGTATCACCAGTTGACACCGAACCTTCCCCTCGACGACCGTCTTCGATCCCTCCCTCTTACGCCAGACCACCATCGTCCCCGTCTCTAAACTCAATGAATGGAGAATGCTCTTCTGTGAAGTCAGTAAAGTTGTTGGTTGGAAATCACAAGTAGAGTCTCCCTCTGTAGCTTACATTCATTCATGCATCATTTGCGAATTTTTGGTTTAGGTTCTGATAGGTCTATGTACTTGTTATTGTTGACCGTAGCTGCAATTGTCCCCACTACCCTAGCATGCTTTCTATGGAGTGTCGATGTACGTGAATATTAGATATATGAATGGGAAAAGAAGCTATTGTTGTGAATGGGAAATTGAGGGCGATCTTTGAGTTCTCCCGCGAACTCGATGGAAGTCTAGGCGCAAATCGCGATGACGAAATCGGGAGTAAAATATTACAAATCATGATAGCGAACCAGAAACGCGAAGACCTAGATACTGAAAACAGAATGAAAACAAAAACGATCAACTTTCAATGCGTTTATCGTTTAACCATGAGTTTATAAGTGGTGTACCCGCCAATGATGCCAAAGGCTGCGAGCGCGGAAAGGATCCCAGCAAACCAGTGGTAGCTGACCTGAAAAGACAAATTAAATAACGGCAGTGCGCAAATGGTAGTCCGCATACCTGATCATCCTGGCCTGGAACGTGTACATTCATACCCCATATACCTGGAAGAGTCATGAGGGTACAAATTATCAACGGTAAAGAAAATGCACTGACCCGTCACCAAGTTCATCGGGATGAGGACCGTACCCAACGCCGTCAACTTCGAGAGGACATCATTGATCTGGTTGTTAGCATCCGTCATCTCGATAGAAATCTGCGCCAAGTAGTTGGAGTGCGACCGTGACAGAATTTTTTCGTAGTGATTCAGATTTTGCGTCATGGTTATCAAGTGGTCCTAACAATTCAATTCAGTAGAATTAATAAATTGCAAGACTGAGCGGTCAGCAGCAACTGACCTGAATGTCGGAAAGATATAGACCCTTTTAAATAGAATGAGTCGTGGCGCGGATGATCAGGACCGGATAACTCACGATGTCTGACGTTGGTGCCACCCTCCAGTTTTCGTTGCATCTCTTCGCGAGACCCTTGACTACATCCGCCTTATTGCCCATTAAGCGTAGCAGTCCCATGACTTTCTTGCGACATGTTCCGATTCTCCTCAACATGTCACTTTGTTCTGCCTCCTTCAAAATAAGGACGAGCTCGTCAATGGAATCGACTTCGTATTCAATGGATTGGATTAGAGGACCAAAGGCGTCGGTGATATCGTCAATCAACGCGTACGAGATCCAGTCTGATGTGACGTTAATGTAATCTTTGAGCTGCTTTATTCTTCGGCGGACATTTTGCGGATGTGGAGTGGGGCGGAAGTGAAACTAGAAGGATTGTAAACAATGTGTTACGGGAAGCAAAATAGAGCACTCACAGACAAAGTTCCTTCTCGAAATACAATAATGTACATGTTCAGGGGCTCCAGGTGCGTAGGGCTGTAAGGATCCTGATCAAAACTCCGGAAACAGACAAGGTAGTAGTTCCGGAATAATTCAATCTTTTCACGAGCTTCCTCCATTTGGATGTCTTCAACTGTCAAGGGGTGGATAGAGAAAACCTAAAGTAATGCTTGAGTTCAGAGAACTAACTGGTTACGCGGGTATTACCTTGCTCAGAGTTTTCATCTCTTCATCTGTCGGGCTTAGGACATCTAGCCACCACGTATTTCCCTCAAGTTCACCACCGCCCACGAGGCTGTTTGGTGGGCCTGGATTACTAGCACCGCCCTTCTCCGGACGACCATGATAGCCCCCGTTTTGAAAACTCCCATTTTGATAACTACCATTGTGGCTGGGGGATACAAAATCCGGCGGACCTGATGCCAGGCGCTTATTCGAATTTTGGAGAGAAGCTGCCCCCTGGTGTGATAGAGGCACGGGAACAGGGGCAGAACCACCTTTCGCGTCTCGTGGGCGGTCCGGAGGAGGCAGGCCAGTAAACAAATCTTCAAAGGATTGCCCGTCCGCAGGAAGTTCGCTGAGGCTTCGTGCGTGAATAGTTGCAGACAACGCATTGGAGTAGAACGAGAATCGGTATGGTCTGTCATGACCGGGTGACATGATCCCGCCCATCCCTGCAGCGCCGTACTGATTTGTTGATACGTTTTCTGAGGATGGGATGGCGCTTAAGCTGGTATGCCCCATGAGCCGACTTGGTAAAGTGAAGTTTGGGTCTCCGCTGTGGTTCTCAAATAGAGCCATCTTGCCCCGAATGCCTTTCCGGCTTTGCCTAGGGACGGGGCTACTCTGGCTGAGCTTCCGCTGTCGTATATTACTGCGATAAGAGGAGTCGAATGGAGCATCAAATGGAGGAGCTCCTCCAGATGGAGACGTGGCCAAATCTGGACCGCCGCTCTGTGGAATGCTTGGGTTGCGCAGCCGAAATGCTGGACCATGGATATCGGTAGGTGATGATATGCCCAACTCGGTCTTTTCTTGAGCCGCAAAGGCCTCCAGATGGGCAAAGGCGAAGATGGAGTGGGCTGCATTCGCTTGGTACACGGGAAGGCCCGGCATAGAAGCGAGAGCTTCGCCGCGAATCGGTCGGTACTCACTTCCCATAGTCGTCAGAAGGGCTGGGTCATGGGTCTGGTCAAGGTGCTGCATCCGCAGGTCAATAGGAGTTAGAGACCGTGGCGAGTGCAGTCCGTCAGAACCGCCGTTCACACCATCATGATCGAGGTGACTAATTCTGTCCCCGCGAGCAAGATCAATGTCGTGTTCCTCGATGGCAGAGAAATGGGAGAATGGGGGCCCTGCTTCAGGATGAGGAGCCGATTCATACGGCAATGATGCTGTTGGAGGTGTCACTGTGGTCTCTCTCCGGGCCCTGGACAAATGCAGAGCCATGTCCACGTCCAGCGTTCTCTGCCTCTCCCTCACTTCTGGGTCATTTGGATCATACGAGCGGATAAGGGTCGGCGAGATGTGCGGTCGAGAACCAGGCTCCACCACATCGGTTTGGCATAATAAACTTTCTCTATTGTCCCTTCGTCGAACGGGAGAAGCGCCTCTGATTGAGGCAGGCGAACTCGAAAGCACGGGCGCATCATGGGGATTCGGAGAAGTCATAGCGTCAACCTATGAGTCTGGTCAGCGAACCACACAAATTTGTAAAACTGTAGACGCTGGAAACCGCACCAGAGTCGATTATTGAGAAAAATCCAGTCGTATAGCTTACCGAATTGATAACTTATCCTAAGTCGCTCTACACATTAGTCTTGAAAGAGTTTCCACTCCGGTAACACTACGAAGGTGAGCGGATTTCACGTGACGATATTTGGCAAGAGCCTCTGATCCTAACATGGCCAAATAGACGCCTGCCATGAGAAAAACTTGCAGTAACTACCTCACTAGAACCCGTTTCTTTCTAGAATCATATCTGGGCTTCAACAGAGAATGATACACAAACTCGCGCCCGCGGAGAGAGCATGTAAGGTCGGGTCCCTCCTGAACTTGATCCATACGATGCCGGAAATTAAGGAGATACAATAGGAAAACCATGATACCGATTCGAAGATTTATTTCTGAGATAGTAATAAGAATGAAGCCCGTACATGTGTTCGAGCTCGCATCAATAGCTAAAAGCCCGCCGTTCGTGATTGATGCTCATTGGTTTTGAAGCATGGGAGTTGCAGTCGACAAAAATCTCATTCTACGTTGCTCCACGACATAAAGTCTGAGAATGGACACTGACAGTGTAGAAATCCAGATGATGGCCCAATTGATAGGACAGCTTGATCCGAGGCTTGAGCTGGAGAGTGTGGGGAAACCAGTGTCTGGGTAACATCAACTGAAAATCAAATCGCAACGTAATAACAACGTAAAATAAACTAAGGTAGGAAAAATAAAAAAGCAACCCCTGGCGGGACTCGAACCCGCAACCTCCAGATGCACCTCTGTAGTAGAAGTCTGACGTCATAGCCATTAGACAACAAGGGCTTGTGTCCCAAGCGCCAAAGTATATCTATGATTGATGTCATCATCTGGTCTTGATTCGGCACGCTCAGCTAGCGTCGCGCATTCCCGACAAATACTTATCTCATGTGGTTCTAATTGATAGTCAGATAGTACTAGACTCGAAGCCTCCACGGAGTATAGATTCCGGAAGGGAAGGCCTGGCTGCTTCATGAAAACAAAGAGGAAGATGACCAAAAAGGCATGTGTTGGTACACACCATAGTTGGGAATTTGTATTACTCGGCGCGGCGTATTTGGACTAGTGAGTCATGACAGCAATAGTAGCAGTGCGTCGACGGTAAGTATGCCAGATAGAAGGAGCATTCAATGTGTACTTACACCATGGGGATGACTTGCCACATCCGCGAAACGGTTGCTTCCGCTGTTCTTCGGCCACGTAAACATCCTGGAGCTCATGATGGCGGGAACTTAGAGCAATGAAACCCCCACATCAACAGCACAGCTATGTAGCGTAGCGAGCGCCACGTAGTATAGTGCTACGTAGTGCGTGGGGTGAATCCAATTACCTCGTCATCAAAGGAAAGTTCCCCGGATTCCTGTATAGGCCAAAAAAATCAGATCATGACCCCCCTGGTGTTATACCAAACCCGGCACCCTTCGCCTCGTGCTTGTAATGCTGCCATCTTGCTGCGTATAAATTGAATCAGCATGTTTCCCTTTTCTCCCAACCCACTTTCCTCAGACGCTCATACCCTTGTCCCCCCCACACAAACCTCCACCCTAGAAAATCATGGAAAGTCGGTCTGTTTATAACGTATGTCCACCTTATTCTTTATTTCGATTGCGAAGATTGAACTAGAGATCGTCAGGTGTCCCATCGTAAATCGTTCACTCCACCATATGCATATGATGGAGCCTCGCAACTGTCGTCCGTCTCATCCGATACTTTCGGGACTTCAGACGAACACGTTGGATGTTGGACGTGGTGGTGTAGCCTTTGGCGCTGCTTCAAGTGCTGGTAGCAGTCCGGTCAGTAGCCTGAGATAATATGTTTTTGCACTGAACTGACCATACCATGGCACTTTTACAGGCGTGGACATATATCCTCTCATATTTAACTTAGAACCATTCGCCACCAGCAGGGATCTGGAGGGCATAGATGGCCGACACACTGTGGATCATTTGCAATTCGTTTCTGTAGCCATATCTTGAAAGAAGGGAGACAGGGTTCCTTCATTTTCAAGAGTTGTTCTACATCATTAGCTTAGTAAAGACGTACATACAGCGTTAGTAATGAAGCACGTACCACCATTTTGTACGCTCATAGCAACTATGGTCCTTCCGCTTGCCCAACTTGGCGGCAAACCTTGTGATGTATTGGTTAGCTACAACTGCTTCCGTTTCGCCAACTAAACGAAAGCAACGCTAGCGTTAATAGCCACCATGTACCACCGTTTTTCGGCGGTCAAGCTTCTATGTAAGCAAATTATTGATTAAGAAGCGCATGTTGCAAAAGGGTGCTGAGCACGCATTCTGAGGAAATTCCGAACGCATTGTTGTGCCCCGAATTCTGCCGAAAATTCGGATATGAAAACAAAATTCATGAGCTACAAATACAATGCGGATGGTTCTATCACTTATCACTGGTGCATTAGGGTCCATCTCTTGCTAGTACCGCTACCTCTACTTTTGTCCTCAAACCTCTCCAACGTGTACTCGCCCCTATCTGCTGAGATTCCGAAACAGGTAATTCCGTCAGCACCTTCGCAATGAAGTTCGCGTCCGTTAGAGGGGTCAAGTCATTGCGTCGTGGAAGTCGCTGCGGTTGATGTCATCAAAGAGCGGGTATGAGAGGAAGCAATAGACGCACCCGCTTAACGCCATCATATGGAGCCTCCCAACCACTCAATTGACGTACGACCAACGAAGGGCTTGAGGTAAAAGAATGATATATCCTCGTGTCATGTGTGCGGAAAAGCACATTATCCACACGAAGCGTGAATCGTGACAAAATGAATATACATGTTGGCATGACGCGCTTCAAACAGGATTAGTCAGACAATACAAAGCCATAGAGGTGCGTTGAACACGAACTATTCGCACGAGAAGATTGGATGAACCATTATCGTGTAATTCATCCTCAAACAGTGGAATTTCCGCGTAGAATAATATTGGATCTGGTCGTGTGAGCTCAGAGAGCGGAATAGAATGAGATGGATTGTCCTGATCGGCATCTATCCATTGTGTTGAATGAGATGGTGATTCGACGACTGGCGCAGAATCGGAGTGATGTCCAGGATAAGTCATGGTGTAAGTCCAGTCATAATGCTTGGCTTTCACTGTAACAGGCAATGGAAGGTTCGTTCCAGGGTCTGTGCTGGTGGGTACGCTCAGAATCACATTGATACACATGCAGCATGAATTCCTCACCGGCTCTTAAGCCAGGCATCTGCATATCCCACCTTGACTCCACCATCGCCCTCCCCGAGCTCACCCTTTTTCACAAACTTGAGGGCGTTATGAGTGTCAAACATCATGTTCCACCCGGATGGTCGATGTTCGAGAGATAGATAATTACTTCCAAACGTCATCTCAGGCAACGGGAATCCAAGCGAAGCTTGCAACGCATCGCACTCTGACGCGCTAGATATCGGGTTGGTAGACGCGATTATTACCCAATCATTGATTTCGATTGTGCGCGAGTTGGGAGTCTCTGATAGCTTGTGCTGCGGTACCGCAACAGCTGAAGACATGACTTCAGCAAGGAAGTAGCTCTTTGGTATGATCTCCTGTGAAGCAGCCGTTGTTGCCGTCGCTGTCGTCGTTTAAGATGATGATCAGCTTGAAGTTATTGATCGGAGTTTCAAAAGTATAAGTCTCAAGTACTTGCACATCGCGCAGAAGTAAGTACAACAAAGATCATGGAGGGATCTCGTCCAGCGACACCAGAAGCACCTCCAGAAAACTTATGGTCCTCAATATTGGACTCAGTTTCTTCTTCACGGTCAATCCCTTCAAAACAAGTTCTGCTTCTGGGTCCTCCGTCGTCTGGCAAGTCCGTGCTTGCCTCGGCCCTGCTACAGAAACCGGTTTCTGAAGAGAGCAAAGACGAGACACGGTCAGATTTCGCTCTTGGATATGATTGGGCCGATATCAGGGATGACGGCGACGAGGGTATGCTTCCCGTTTTCCTGTGCATAACGCGTGCTAATGCCACGGCCAGACACCTTGGCGCGTCTATCTGTGTACACAGTACCTTCAGATGCGATAGCTTACACATCTTTGATGCCGCACTTTCTGCCTCCTCGGGCATCGCTGTCTCATACCCTTGTAATGATTGTTTTGGATTGGACGTGCCCTTGGACATTTGTAGACAATCTTCAGACGTGGCTCAAGTGGGTAGAGATATGGGCGAAGGGTGATGGATCTCGGGATCTCGAGATAGTCCGAGAAGAGAATCACGAAAGACGTATGTTCATTTGATCGAGACATTCCGATAGCTGACATTATTCTGCAGTGCAACATCATTTACAGCATTACACTGAACCCTCTGTCGATGCAGTCCCTGCCAGCTCTAATATTTCCTCAAATACAGTCCTACCGCTCGGTCCTGGCACTCTAACCCATAACTCTGCTGGCGTGCCGATTATTGTTGTCTGCACCAAATCAGACCTCATAGACGAGGGAAATGATCTCGTGGGCGCCAGCAATTCCGGCATGGGCGGCATGGTAAAAGGTAAAGGTGGGGAGTGGGAGGAGCGCACGGATGGCGTGATGCAGGTTCTCCGGACAATTTGTTTAAAATGTAAGTCTTTCTATGAACCACAGTGAGCACCTCATCACGCCGCTCTAGATGGAGCATCATTATTTTATACTACGCAGCAACCTAACACCTTACAGGTGCTGAGGCAATATGCCCTGCACCTCTTATTTATCCCTCCGGCACCGTCACTCGTGGCATCGGGATCTGAGGCTCCGGCTCCTCTACGCAATCCATTTGTCTTCCAATATAAGCCAAATACCCTAGACCGCGATCGCATCGTTGTTCCTGCTGGTTGGGATAGTTGGGGCAAGATTGGAGTCCTTCGAGAAGGGTTTGAGGCGAAGCTCTGGGGCGAAGCTTGGGAAGCAGACCTTGACGCCGACGTGTCGGAGTCCGAGGATCATTCAGGTGCGAAAAAACTGTATAAGATGCTAGTACCAGATCAAGGCGCGAAGGTGAATATGTTATTCTGGTTATCTGGCACACGACCTCAATATGATTTTATTTTTTTCGTATAGCCGCCCGCTTTACCTCCATTTAATGCCCCCATGGCGGAGCAGGCGTTCCTCGCGAAGCATTATGACGAAAACGCCAAAAAGCCAGACCGGGATCCCCGTGGCGCTTTCCGAAATCCCACGGATACGGCTGCAGCCGGTATTGTTGGGCCACTAGGGAGCAGTAGTTTCAATCTTCCAACCGTTGAGCGTGCCCTCAGCGAGATGGAGGCCGGAATGGGAACCGGATCACTCAACGCCAGCACAACTTCTGATGGGGCGCGTAGACCGCCACAAAGAGGTGCAACGGGTGCCAGCGCGACCAACCACGCTGGACGACCACCAAGTTCACCGACCATCGGAACTACGCCTAGTCCTACTGGAGGACAAACTCAACATGAAGTTTTGCAAAACTTCTTCCAAAGTTTGCTCAGCTCACGGGATCGCGGTGGTGCCAGTGCAACGGCTGGTAGGAGCGTGGGCCCCAGGACAAACGGCAATACTAGTGGCACAGACGACACGAGCTGATTGTATTCTTCCGGTGTACTTTAAACTAGTGGATTATTGTATCATACAATTGTTTTTGTTGCGCAGTGGACGCATTATTGCTATTGTTGTGTGTTTCGGGAGAACAAACAATGACCAAACAAAGGCGACAGTCACCTTAAGACCCGACCACCATCAACGGGCAGCCGAAATTTGCCACAGCAAGGTTCGGTTTTAACCTAGTTTCCTTTCCTTAACTTGCCAGCCTCGTTGCAATCGCGTTTCCCCTAACACAACATGGGTAGATGGTACGTTCATCTAATCAGTTCAAGTCTATCTAATCACGCATGTCACGGCGTGTAGGACGGCCGAATATTATGACGAAGTGTTCAGCGCGAAAATGAGGAGCTTGGTGTATGGGTGTCCTCTTACTGCATAACTTCTCGCTAAGGAGACCTCTGCTCTGCTGCAGCTCCGGAGCAATCAAGCGCCATAGGCTTGAGAAAACTGAACCCGGGGTCGCGATAAGCTATGAGCATTTTGTAGAGGACCTAGATGGTGGTGACTCGTTTACCACTTCGTTGATTGAGATTCTGGTCAAGGTGCGCTTCCTTGTATACACATTTTGTCTACTTCTCACTTTAGCTATAGGAAGTTGCAGACCGACACCATCGTCAAAATGCCACAGACCGTGGTCTTATTGGAGAACGCACCGCTAGAGCGCTGAGGAAGTTATCTAACCCAACCACTACCTACAGGGAACGGTATACTTGGCGCGGGACAAGTGGTCGAAGAGCAGTGGACCTTTCAGACTACTTGTCGCGACCTCCGGATGAACTCGAGATGGACGAAGAGGCTGATGAGCTTGAGTCACTAGAGCAGTATGGACTCGTGCCACTCGAGGGCGCGCGTGTGAACACTGAATTGTATGAGGCATACCGGCATCCTCCACGGCCGAATCCACCAACAACCGCCTACCATGCGTTCTCTCCTGCCTTCTACACCGTACCTCCACCGCCTTCAGCTCCTGCGCCAGACTCCCCAAGCGATAGGGTGCTTCCCCCTCTTCTTGATTCACCTCCTGCTCCACGGCTGGGTGGTTTGACACTTCCATCAGCGAGTGGCCTGCTTCACACCTCACTAACTCGACAGCCCTCCATTCGCCGTCCTGTCAGAAGCAGAACGGCAGATTTCAGTGACTTTAGCGCACGGCGTCGAAATTCTTCGCGACAGCTAGCTGATGAAGAGGGGCCATCGAGACTCGATTCATCTAGTCCATTTCCTGGTCCACCCATTATTACACTTAGGGAGGAATCCGACCCCTCTTCGTCTGGACCGCCGGGCCAGGCGAGGCGGTTTTTCCCTTTCCGCTCACGACGCTTCGAAGTCATTCCCACACCTCGACCTGCACCTAGTACGGGTGAAGACTGGCTCTTCCCACCAGCCCCTTGGTCATCAACCCCATCAGACCGTACTGTACCCTCGGCACCCGAGAGCCAAGTTGGTGAAGAGCGCTCCCAGGCACCTCGGCTCCGGCGAGGCGGCCTTAGAGCACCTGAATCTATGCTCTCACGGCACGTTTCACCTACCACCAACGCAGAGCTGGCACTGATGGTATCAGAGGAGTTGGTTGCTATTGAGCGCGCAGAAGCTGAACGTTCAGAGCAGACGCGATCCGTATCGGAAGAGATATTACAATCTATTGGCGGACCATAGACTCGTAGAGATATGATTTATTCCTGTCGGCAGGATATTGTATTATTTTTACTTTTACTTTTACTCCTACACCCTGCATATGCCCGTAGCACATGCTAGCAAAACAGAAACCTCCTTTAGACTGATCTTAATGTTGAATTCGTCGAATGACAAGCTTTGCCACGTTTATGGGTGTGCACAGGTCTTACTTAGATCTGCATGCATCGCATTCGAACGCTAGTCATGTGAATTGGGATTATGGCCAAATAGGATCCATTCTGAACATCCATGATCAAGAGACGCAACAGACCACAGCCGCGGGTACGAGAGTCGTCACCAGACACAGAGCAACCTTCAGAACTAGAGGAAGACGAGGAGGAAGACAAGTCACTACCGTACGTTATGACCCAAGAGCCAGCCCAACGCAGAGACTTAATACACAAATAGCATCTCGGAGCTCATTGAGCTCAGGAAGCTCAAGAAGTCCAGACAAGGAATTGATGTTTCAAAGCTGTCGAAAGGTGATGCCAAAAAGAGGAAGCACAAAACTGCAGAGGATGGAGAAGAGGCCCAGGGCGGTTTGAGAGCTGGTGCGAGAGTGGATGAGTACGTGACATGATACTCCGCTGTTCATAGTTCCGCTCACTCTGTTTACACAGGGAAGAAGCCGGTACGGATGCGAAAGCTAGGCGAGCCGTCCGAACGAGCAATTTTACACAACAGACGAATGTTTTGGATGTTGACAAACATATGTGAGTGTGGTGTCTCTATCTCAACTTCTATTGGGGGGTTCTGACGTGGGTGTAGGATGGCATACATCGAAGAGAATTTGAAGATTCGCAGCCGCCCTGAGGACCCATCTGAGTCTAAGCCTGGAGCAAATGCTCAGGACGAATTTTCCCTTTCTGAGCGGTGGAAAGGGGAGAAGAAAGCTGCAGATGAAGGCAATGTCACTAACAGCATGGCCATGCTCACCGCCATTCCCGAAGTCGATCTCGGCATGGAGTAAAGTTTCCTCAATTCTAATCCATCTTATTTTTGGCTGACTTGTGAGATAGCACACGATTGAAGAATATTGAAGAAACAGAGAAGGCGAAACGACAGGTTGCTGAAGTACGCAAAGAACGCAAACGATCAAATGATGAGGAGCATCTCGTCGCAACTCGATGTTCGTTATTCCTAACTTACTGTTGTGAATTTATCATTGACAGACTGCGGCTCTTTAGTCTATCGGCCGCACCTCAAGCAGAAGTCCGACGCAGAGATCATGCGAGACGCCAAACTCGAAGCAATGGGCTTACCACCTCAAGAAGACAGAAGACCTCGCGGCGAACGTCCACAAATGGCGACCGATGAAGTGGTGAGGAGGCTTGGTCCATTTGTCGATGATTTACTCATTTTCTCAGGTCATGGAGCGCTTCAAGAAAAGAATGCGCAGGTGAAATATTATCTCTTTCCTGCGAATGATTTTCTGTTTTGTTTCCAGCGTCGATCTGGTCGCCTCAAATCGCTCAGTCTCTGGCGCACTACGTGCTCATTATTAGGAGTTGTCCGCGATATATGTAACCCTTTAATCCTGTCTATTCCTCTACATGGCCATGACCAAGTCCTTCAACTTCTCGAAGTTGGGTGTACCGTATCCGGTGACTGCAATAGTTATTAGTGTGTAAACATGTAACTTCGTTCGTTGAACTTACCAGGATCCCATCCAACTGTGGCCTGCATACAATGATCACGTCAGTCATACAGCGAGGGACATGGATATGACATACATTGAAGCCCTCAGTTTGACATCCTGGGTTGCGACCCTCCGTAATATCATTTAATGCTTTGTAGCCAGTGGAATACAAGAAAGGATTCAAGAAGCCGAGAGCAGCCTTTCCGGCACTAAGACGTGCATCGTTCAGCATGGAAACAAACGCAGTGAATGCGGGCGCGGCACAGGATGTACCATCCAGTGGTGTCGGCTGGCCTTGGTAAACTACCAAGAAGCTTGCCGCTTGTGATGATACGTCCGGGTATGCCTAGGGAAATATTTTACACAAAGCCTCTACAAGTCGAAGGGCCAACTTACACGTCCTGTGCTGAAGATGGGGAGTCAATTGAATATAGCGCGTTCGTCAGCTCGTGATGACTTACGAGTTATAGAGGCCTTTGTAAGAGCCGGGAGTGAGCGTTGCCAAATATGCCGAGACAGCATCATCCTGGTACGAAGGACGACCAAACTAGACGTATTCTATCGGTCAGGTGGTGTTACGGAGTGCAGAGATCACGTACATAGTTACTAAAACCACCACCAGAAAAGGACGCGGCGATCTCGGGGATGTTAACAGTTCCACCGACAGCAGTTACACTTCAAAAAGCAATTTGTAATTTCGGCCCAGCGCTCATTCAGACGGGTCACTTACAATGGGCAGGAAGCAGGGAACACAGGCAGGAACATCGAGGTATTATGACCGTCGTTGGAATAACACTGGTGCTTGAGAGGCTTATCGGGATATGCAACTCCATCACCCACACCGCCGTCGCCAGAAGAGAACATCACTGAGATACCACGAGCACCGAGTGCTGCCATGCCATTGCAAATACGAGTCGCGTAAGAGCGCGGGACAGTTTGCTCATCGTCGCCATAACTTGTGGAGATCGACTGCGGAATTGTATCCTGCGAAAGGACGTGTTCAAGCCACTGAATATCGTAGTTGTCAACATTAAGTTACACTCGCAATCGCTCAAACGTACGTATGAGTAGGGCTCGTTCGTATCACCCTCCGTCAACAAATCGGAGTCGAATTCGGGCTCGCCGCCAGTCGAGTAGAACGTTCTGGGCGTGGGCCAAGTGAGTCCAAAGCCGAACTGAGTGTCAAGGTTGGCCTCAAGGCCTGCTGCTTCATAGCTCTGGTTGTTCTGGCCACCTGCGAAGCACAACAATAGAGCATCACCAACAGTAACTCAATCTCGACATACCATGAATGAGCACGGTAGTGTAGTTTGAGCCGTAAGCAGATGGGTTCTGAAGCTTATAGAATTGTTGAAGGTCTTTGTTATTGGTAGACTCGTTAAGATAACCAGTGATACCCAGAGTATTTCCGTTCGTGGCAGACGTGTTATAATCCACCGCGTTATATAACTGTCTCAAACACGAAACAGTGATCGTATCGTTGCAACTCGCATCAACCTGGTTGCCTGCAGGCCCTGTAATCGTTGAACCAGACGGGCTCGAGGCCGCAGGCCGTACATGATTAGACTGGTGCAGCGTGCTCTTGAACGCCTTGAAACGAGCGAACATGGTAGTAGGCTGAATAAGATCGACGTGGTCGTGCAAGCTCTCAGGGAGACTATAGCTCATGGTCCGGACGATGCTCTCTCCAGTCTGAGCGTGCTTGTAAACATGATAATCCTAGACATCTAGCAGTCAATGGAGTTCTTCGCGTATAAAATTCCCTTGCTCACAGTAGTCAGCATTTCTTCTGCGAGACCGACTGGGACACGAATAGTGACCCAATCGTTTGCAGATGATCGGATGATATCTTCTTCCGCTAGACCGTGCGAGGCAAGCCAATTGCTGACGATGTCCAAAGTCTCGGGGTGGGGTGCCATGAGTGCTTCGGTCTCCTGCTTCGACAGGTGTGCCCCATAACGTGGGTGACTCGGGTCGCTCACCTCCCAGAGGTGCTGCTCGAGCTCCGGGAATTTGAGCTGAGGAAGAGCGATCTTGAGCTCGAGCAAATGGTGCTTGGGCGCGGGAGCATGCTTGTACCACCCGCTGGGTGGGCTATAGATACTCTCCTTCACCTTTTGCTGGTAACCCTTGAAGGGGACTGCGCTAGCCAGAGCAGCCGCGAAGGGGAGACTAAGAAGAGCGAGTCTCATCGTCAGAATGCAACAGTCGGGGAAGAGTTTCAGCACCCACGAGCTGGTCGAAGTTGGTTCAACAATGTTATTATATCCGAGAATAATACGTTAGGCAATCTGCTTACTTCGGTTCGTCCTGTAATGAGAGCTAGAACTGGTTGTTACGTCACTGCATCTCGTTGACGTAGTAGAAGGTGTTCTACTTACCGCTACCAGTGAATTAGACACGAGTGACCAAAGCTAGATGCATTAGGCGTCAAGACGCATGTCGCTGAAGTGATGTGAGCGCGTGCACTGAGAGATACCTGCATGTGCATGGTGGATCGGTGCACGTATAATGATAATCCTCCACTCACCAGGAATTCCGTATCATAGAGTTTGTACGCCCAACGACAATGTACCGTAATAGGACAGTCAGCATCACAATTTCGAATACCAGCTATTCCGATTCTTCTATGATGTGAACCTTCGATCAGAAAAGTTACCTGGCGCGCCGCCTGTAGCAGTCTTAGCCAAAGTCTTCTGAGCACCTTCATGACACATCCTTGTGATCCGCGACATTAGTACCAGTAAAAGCCAGAATATTGATCTGACAAGTCTGCTCACGGTAACTTGGTGGATTCACAATCCGTATCTACCAGACCAATACCAGACCCATCTTATTACAGTGGATTCTATAAATCCACGGTGGAATGCATAGAACGTGAAGTCCTGGCAGGAAAAGGCGTGATGCCTGTCGTTCCTACATACCTTGATACTTTCAAGGTACCTGTGAGATAGGGTGTATCGGAACAAAGACTCGGCCAGAACGAATATCAGCACTGAATACTACTGATTGAACTAATCGAGTGCAAGATTATCAGCGTGACGAACAGTGTTGCCACAAAAACAAATGCGAAGAACTGGAGTAGTGCAGAGGCACTGTATGCTGCGGGTCTCTATGTTTCGAACTGTTCTTCAATGATGTCAGTAATCACCAAACGAAGCGAGTAAGGTACGAGCCAACTGCAAGTGCTGCACTGTCATAAAGCGAGAACATCCGGGAAATGGGGGCAATGTCTAGGTCCGAGTCTAGGTCTGGGGGCCTGAATGAACGCTTCCCCACCCCCGCCCTATTAATTATCTGTGCCCACCGCCCTCACACTACCAATTTTCCTGTGCTTGACGCCCGCGGCGTACAGGAGCCTCAGGAAGAATCGAAGGCACTTTCATTACGGTCGAAGTGTCCCATGGGAAATGTTTGGTCAAATACATTGCCCTTATTCCTTCGACTTCAAGGAGAAACGATCCCCAAAGAACTATGGTCTGAAGAAAAAAAGGAGTAATGATTCTAGGTTTCTTGACTGACGGTCGATGATTGAACAGTCTAAAACTCCGACCGCATCCAGCCGAACGGCTTGAACCAATTCAACTCAGACGTAAGTCTGAATGAGGAACCTGGCAGGACATTTCCGCAGAACCTACAATGGGCTTGCCCCTGGACCAACTTGCCCAGACTGTCCATAACTCTGGATTTCACTTGGGGCACTGCCTCCTGTTCACTAAGTATAATAAGGCGAAACAAGCACTCCAACGTTTTCCTGATGCACTTACTTCTTGTACTCCAGGAACTTTGGCTGAGGAAGAGCGATCTTGAGCTCGAGCATGTGATGCTTGAATACTCTCCTTCACCTTTCTCCGGCAGCATACGCTAGTGAGCTCGAGGGCAGCCGCGAAAGGGAGACTAAATGATTAACGAGTCTCATCGTACACAAACCACAGTGGGGGGTGGCTTCAAAGGCTCTCTCGCTAAAATTAATATATACGCGAACGTCTTCATACTAATTGGTGTGACCTCCTTCGGGTCGATTCAGTTCGACGCAGCTCTGCATACCTCGCCGTTACCGTTTAAGCTATAGTCCAATAGTAGATCTCGACCACGCGCTCAATATAATCGAGCGACCTGCCAAGCTTTGAATTTTGGGCGTAAAAGACCAGTACACGTGTCACTGCTGCCGTCGGATGTGGTGAGTACTTGTGAGAGATGAGCCCACGGTGCACTAGCCTGGTAGCTCCAGGGCAGTGCCCTGAGGGCGCCGTAGTCTTGGGTGATGAGAACACGGCTGCATAAAGTCCTAATGGTCTAGTGAATTTTCCTGGCGTAGACTTTGTAACGCAAATCGTACCGCGCGAGCAGGTTTGGCTGAACCTGCAGAGTCTGCACCAATAATGCTTGAGTATTGCATTAAGTGGACTGAAGTCGTGGCACGCTTAGCGTCCCATTTTCAGTCAGAACAGGCCTGCAGGTGTGTATCGTCCCTGCGAGTATCCCGATTGGTTTGGAAGAACCATTTCTGCTAAACCTATAGGGATACTCGCAGGGACTCATCGATGCTATTGAGACAGGTCTCGCGTTTAAGCTACCGCCACGAGCTTGGGAATGGAAACTGCCACCCCGAGTCCAGGAACACACGCAAGCATCGCCAACGGTGATGGTTAACCTCAGAGGTCTGGGATATCTATCGCCAGCTGGGGATAACGGGTGCAGCACCAGGGCTGGAGGGCAAGAAAATCAACAACTCTGGCCGTCCGACGGACGCAGTCTTGAGTGGAATAAGGGCCGTTGGAAATACTGACTTAAGGAAACCGCAATGCTAGATCGATCGCGCGAATATATCGGAATGTGGGATTAGACGCTCTGATGCTCGTCAATTCAATACAAGTAGGTTCTAATACCGATTAGAACCGATTCCTTGGTTTCCTGCCGTCCGACGAGTAAGCAAGATGTATATACACCATCACTTCACGTACATAAGTGTCCTCGAGCTCCTTCAGACGCGGTTATTCTGTGATTTTTTTGCCGGTTCGCGGAACACTTAGGAGGAACGCTTCAAGAAATGAATGTGGAGGTGAAAAATTAAAATAACATCGCTTTCCTGTTGCAAATGTCCTTGATTTGTTGTCCACTAGCGTCGGTCACTGCCTTGGATCGCTCAGTTCTTGGGGGAGTACAATCCTGCCCACTTATGTGAAATAATCATATTAAACCCCTGAAGGCCAGAAGGAGTGGATGCATGCGATACACTTACATGCGCCTTAAATCCTGTCTACTAAGGTGAATTCAAAGGGTATACTCTATATCTAAGGCATGGACAAGACCAAGTCTTTCAATTTGTTGAAGTTGGGTGTGCCGTATCCAGTGACTACAGGTATGATCAGCATGCAGACATTCACAACTTTGTTTGTATGAACTCACCAGGATCCCATCCAACAGTGGCCTGTATACAGGTATCACATTAGTGAATGCGGCTTGAAGGTGCACAGACATGGCCTACATTGAAGCCCTCAGTTCCACATCCTGGGTTGTTCCCCTTGGTGATATCGTTCAATGCCTTGTGGCCAGTGGAATATAAGAAAGGATTGAGAAAGCCGAGAGGAGCCTTTTGAGCATTAATGCGTGCGTCGTTCAGCATGGACACCAACGCGGCGAATGTGGGCGCGGCACAGGATGTACCATCGACTGAATTCCCCTCGCCTTGATAAATGACACCGAAGTTAGTTGATTGTGCTGCCACGTCAGGATATCCCTAGAAATATGGTTATTGTAAGATCTACGCAAGTTGAAGAGTCAACGTACACGTCCGGCGCTGGAGATGACGATTAAATCATGTGTAGTGCGTTCACCAGTTTGTGGTGACTTACCAGTTGTAGAGACCTTTGTAAGTTCCGGGAGCGAGCTTCTCCAAGTACGCCGATACAGCGGCTATTTGGTACGCAGGACGAGCAAACTGATACATTAATGTATGAGTCAGAAGGCTTTTACATGGGCTGAGGTTACTCACATAGTTGCTGAAACCACCACCAGAGAAGAACGCGGGAACCTCTGGGATGTTGGTGGTACCACCAACAGCAGTCACGCTTTGGTCGAAATTAGTCGCTGTACTCCTCGGATAGAGAGAGTTCACTAACAATGGGCAGGAAGCGGGGAAACTAGGCAGGAATGTTATAGCGTTGCGGCCGTCATTGGTAAAGCACATCTGTGAAGCAGGGTCGCTATCATTATCACCAACACCATGATCACCAGAGGAAAACAACAGAGAGACTCCGCGAGCACCGAGAGACGCCATACCGGCACAAACACGGGCCGCGTAGGTGTATGGGACAGTCTGTTCATCATCACCGTAGCTGGTAGAGATCGTCTGAGGAAGTGTATCCTGCGAAAGAACAAAGTCAAGCCACTGATAATCATAATCATTAATACATAAAACTGCAATTGTGGAGGCTCGAACGCACATATGAGTATGGCTCGTTTGTATTAGTCAGCGTTAAAGTGTCTGGAATGTAAGGGGGTTCGCCACCAGTCGAGTAGAACGTTCCGGGAGTGGGCCATGAGAGTCCGAAACCATACTGAGAGTCGAGGTTGGCCTCAAGACCTGCCGCGTCATAACTCTGGTTGTTCAGTCCACCTGTGAAGCAGATGAATAACGTAACTATTGACGAAGCCCCAACTACAACCCACCGTTAACGGAAATAAAGGTGTAGTTTGAACCGTATGCAGAAGGGTTCTCTTGCTGGTAGAATTGCTGAAGGTCCAGATTATTGACATACTGGCCCAGATAACCAGTAAGACCCATCTTGTTGCCGTTTGTGGCGTTTGATTTATAGTCTACTGCATTATACAGCTGCCGCAAGCACGAGACGGTGATCGTGTCCGTGCAACTTGCATCAACCGGATTGCCTGCAGGCCCCGTGATCGTTCCACTGGACGTGCTCAAGACCGCAGGCTGCACCTTATTAGTACGGTGCAGCGTGCTCGTGAACGCCTTGAAACGAGCGAACATGGTCGTAGGCTGAATAAGATCAACATGGTCGTGCAAGATTTCAGGGAGACTGTAGCTTGTGGTCCGGACGATGTTCTCGCCGGTCTCAGCGTGCTTGTAAACATGGTAAGTCTAGACATTGACCAGTCAATGAATCGTGATCTCCTAAGGTGACATTGCATTGCTCACAGTATCCAGCATCTCTTCTGCGAGGCCCACTGGCACACGAATAGTAACCCAATCTCTTGCAGCCGAACGGATAATATCTTCTTCCGCCAGACCGTGTAAGGCAAGCCATTCGCTGACGACGTCCAGAGTCTCAGGGTGGGGAGCCATGAGTTCTTCCGTCTCCTGCTTCGACAGGTACGCCCCATAACGTGCATGACTCGGATCGCTTATTTCCCAGAGGTGCTGCTCAAGTTCCGGGAACTTGGGCTGAGGAAGAGCGATTTTGAGCTCGAGCATGTGGTGTTTGGGCACGGGAGCATGCTTGTACCACCCACGCGGTGGACCGTGAATACTCTCTTTCACCTTGTTCTGGCAGCCCTTGAAGGATACAGCGCTAGCGAGAGCAGCCGCGAAGGGGAGCCCAAGCAGAGTAACGAGCTTCATTGTCAGTGCACAATACACAGGCCGGTACGCACGAGGTCTTGAATTTCATGCCTCGTTGTAGTACTTACATATAACGAGGTCGATCAAGCCAATGAAGAACCATATTCGCGCTCCAATACAGCTGGCAGACCATGCTTCGTTACATACGTGTTGATGGACCTGACAACGTTTGGCAATTAATTTGGTTCCACGTCGCACGAGCCTGCCTGTCCGAAAAAGCGTCAACAACTTGAACACGGGCGTCTCCGCCGTGATATCATGGGCACTAATTTCGGAGAAATATGCCATGCGCAGCTTGCCTATACCTATACTTATGTATGCAGAGTATGCCGTCTGGGTGTGGATCGGTTCATATGGCTAATAATAATCCTCCACCAGCACACAAGAGACAGCCTGAGATTCCCATATGGCGGCCTCAACGAAAATTCAAAGGTGTTCCTGGGCCGTAAATTAGTAATACCGTACGCCGCGCACGGCGAGACAGTCAACACAAGGTCCTGTACCTTCGAAGATCTGCGCCTGGATCTCACATATAAACCACCCCACCGATATTATGGATACTGCGTTTGCTGGTCCACTGTGCAATGCATGAAACATGAAGAAGTCCTCCGGGCCTGCGCAGGAAAGGCGACCTGTCCGCACGAAAGATGTGATTTGCCAGATAGGAATGATCGTCAGGATAATATCCCTTTCGGCAGTAGCGGGTTCAAGTTTTGGTTGGCATCAACAACACTCCATCTTCCATCAAGTGTCAACTTGATCGATACCTCGCATGTTCATGATAACGGCCGTGGATCGTGATGAAATAGAATTAAGGATCGCAAGCGTTGTTGTTGTTTGTTGGTTGATCAAACCAAGGTTGCCGAGTGTCCAGACTTAGTACTAGTGCCAAATCGTGAAACACACAATGATTTACGTAGAGGCCTCGAACTGCTCTCGTGATAACCACTGGCATTGGTGCCAGGTTGTCCATGAAATTCGTCTAGCACGCAAGTAATCAAGATTGGAATGACTGGGAATACAAATCTAATATAGACTACGCGGCATCAACCTGAACGCTCTCGGTGCCCGTCTGCGTGACTTGCTGCACGACCTCACTCACAGCCGAACCGTTACCGCGCTTTTGTGCGCTAGTAACAACCTCCAACACACTCGCTAGGCCCGCCTTCCACGCAACAAGACGCTTTTCCAGTGCCTCCCATTGCTCTCGCTCAAACGTGCGCGCTGACGAGCGGTAGACATGTAGAGATTGGGTAGTTTGTGAGAGCTTTCCCGAAAGAAGACCGGTGCGGATCACTATTTGAATATTAATATTTAAGATAATTCTAAACAACATGAACTCAAGAGAACATACCATCAATCGCCCACTTCTCCACTTGACTCAATTCAATCTGCAGGGTCGATGCGACCTCTGAATATGGTAGATCATGCCCGACGTGTGCAAAACCTAGTGACGCAAATGACAGAAGACGGATCTTCCGCTCAAGTTGCGCCTGATCGAGTTCTACGAGCCCATGAACGGTTCAAGTTTGCGATATCATTTGAAATGAGTTAACCCACCATATTTTTCGAGAACAGCGGGATGACTTTCGAGCCACGAATGGAATTCTGGTAGCCCACTGTTCAAAAATATCTGGAGAAGCGAGAAAAGCTCGTGATCTTTTGCTGCGACAACGGCGTCCAACTTGAACAGTGGATCCAAGTCAAACAAGGAGGGTAAGCGCAATGCCAAGGCTATGGCATCAATAGCTGCGGATTGACCGTCAGGCGATGATGACGGTAATGAAGAAACATAGGCAAGAGTGTGGTGATAAGCCGTTTCCCTGTATGAAACAAATGTCAATCACAGCTCTCATCGGTCAAATGAAATAACACATACGGCTGGCCAGATTTTATGAATGCCTCGACAATGGATTTGAGGAACTGACTGCGCTCTTCACTAGATATATCCCATTCTTGTAGCCATTGCTCGATATCTTTTCTGGTTAGGCGTAATGACTCGAGCTCTCCATTTTCAGTGGCGACCTGTAGTAAGGCTTTGTAGATAGGTAGGCGGAGAGCTGAATTACGAGGGGTAGCATTGAAGAGATTTGATATGCTGTTTAGGGACTGAGCACACAGCCTGCTTTAAGGTGCTCAAGGCTTAGTACTTACACGCGGTACTTCACTGATGGCTGGTCGGAATGTGACGAAGTAAGAATATACAAGAGTGAGGAGACATGATGATTAGTTTCTGGCGAGTTGCTTGCCCATAGTGTCAGCAAGTGAGAGAAGAGAAGGTTGAAATAGCCCTCGATTTCTGCATTTCGAAATCAGATTAATTCACTGTGGAAAATGCTGAGGATCCTCCTGACGCACCTTGCTCTGATCCGTCGCCCAAGCCTTTCGTCTGATCCAGCGCAAAGATCAATGCGCGCCGTCTTCTTTCCTGATCCTCTTCAATGGGTTTAGCCCCTTCGCCTGACTTTACGATATCTCGGAAAGATTGCAAGGCGGTAGCACGTTCATCCTCTGGGCTACTTCGAGTGGCATAATCTACTAGCTCTTGTATCTGACTAGAGATCAAAAAATGAATCCTCAAGAGCAGAGTGAGCCATACCTGTTCTTCAAAAGTCCCTTCTGCGAACACTGACACAGAATCTGCGGTAGCCATTTTGCTTGACGAAATTTCTGGCTTGCTGCAATTCAAAGTTCAAAGCTTTTGGACAACATGCACAAACAACGTTAACGTTCAATCGCCAATAATATTTTTGGTGCTTCAAAACTGCCAGCTGGACGGACTCGGAGTCCGCTTCACTAATCGAGACTCCCAAATTTACTTATACTTTTTTTTGCGCTGATGTATTTCAGAAAGTTGATGCGGCCGCGTTGTTGCTCCTGAACCAGCCTCAATTTTTCCACCCTGGACTCTGGACCCTGAAGTTGTGAACACGCTTGAACACGTCAAAATTTTCTCGAGCTCAGGAAGGAGTTCAGGGCGCTGTCGAGCAATACCTAGCGCATAGTAGCTGTTGCCCACATGAACAATATTTCAAATGTAATCCTCCTGGCACGCCCACTTATGTAGAGATCTTTGTCGTTATATTGGTGATGGGAGAATATTTGATAACTTTTAAGGTACTGGCGCCGTTGGCAACCACAGTGTGACCCTTGTTGCGGCACTGATTTACTTTTCTAGTAACAGGCGACGATCCCTGGAGGTTTCGTGAGCCGTTCTGACTGTAACTTACCAACTTCAAACAGGTACTATGCCGTAGTCGCATCTTATTATTGTCAACGGCCTGGCGCCATCTAGCCGAATCAGTACCCACAGAAGGACCTCTACATGTGGATTAAACAGATTCTCCCAGCAGCGCATGCGGACTGGGGATCACGGAGAGCATGATCATTCGGTGAATCGGTTAAGCTTCACACGAGGTCGCCAAAATTGTTCTCGTATATAACGGTGCCACGTCAAGTTCTCGTGAGTGCAAGCCTTTCCCGTACTGACAATGAGACTCACCTCTCTGCTCGGGCTCCCTTTCGCGGCTGCTCTTGCTAGCGCAGCAGCACCTTTCAAGGGTTGCCAACACAAGGTGAAAGAGAGCATTCATGGTCCTCCCCGCGGATGGTCCAGGCACTCTCCCGCGCCCAAGCATCATATGCTCGAGCTCAAGATCGCTTTGCCTCAGCCCAAGTTCCCGGAGCTCGAGCAGCATCTCTGGGAGGTGAGCGACCCCAACCACGCACGTTATGGGGCGCACCTGTCGAAGGAAGAAACCGACGCTCTCACGGCTCCCCATCCCGAGACTTTGGACATCGTCAATGAATGGCTTGCCTCATTCGGCCTGGCGGAAGAAAGTCTCGGTCGTTCATCTGCCAACGATTGGGTCACTATTCGTGTCCCAGTCGGCCTTGCCGAAGAGATGCTAGATACCGTAAGCAATGCAATCTTGACTCCGGAGATTACGGTCCATTGACCGCTGGATGTCTAGACTTATCACGTTTACAAGCACGCCAAGACCGGAGAGAGCATTGTCCGGACCACGAGCTACAGTCTCCCAGAGATCTTGCACGACCATGTCGATCTTATTCAGCCTACGACCATGTTCGCTCGTTTCAAGGCGTTCAAGAGCACGCTGCACTGGACCAACCAGGTGCAGCCTCCAGTCCCGAGCACATCTAACGGGACGATCACAGGGCCTGCAGGCAATCAGGTTGATGCAAGCTGCAACAGCACGGTCACGGTTTCATGCTTGAAGCAGTTATATAATGGAGTAGATTACAACACGTCTGCCACGAACGGCAACAAGCTGGGTCTCACTGCTTACCTAGGCCAGTATGCCAATAACATGGACCTTCAACAATTCTACCAGCTTGAAAACCCATCTGCTTACGGTTCAAACTACACTTTCGTTTCCATTAACGGTATGCTGCACTCAAGGCTCGTCAATAGTTAGGTTGCTTATTTGTTCCACAGGTGGACTGAACAACCAGAGCTATGCGGCAGCAGGCATTGAAGCTAACCTTGACACTCAATTTGGTTTTGGACTCACATGGCCCACTCCCGGAACGTTCTACTCGACCGCTGGCGAGCCCCCTTTCATACCCGATATGGTGACGCCGACTGATACGAACGAGCCATACTCATATGTGCGTTCGAGCCACTGATGAAAATTTTCATGTGCTGATATCTACGATCCCAGTGGCTCGACTATGTTCTTTCGCAGCCTATGCTTCCCCAAACGATCTCTACCAGTTACGGTGACGATGAGCAAACTGTCCCATTCACCTACGCGACCCGTGTCTGCGCCGGCATGGCAGTTCTTGGTGCTCGAGGAGTTTCTGTGTTGTTCTCCTCTGGTGATTTTGGTGTTGGTGATGGCGATGCCAACCCTGCCACACAGATATGCTACTCCAACGACGGGCGCAATGTCACGAAATTTCTGCCTGATTTCCCCGCTTCCTGTCCATAGTGAGTGATATTTGCAACCGAGGAGTACAACGACTAAAGATCGGGTAAAGCGTGACGACTGTCGGCGGCACTGTCAATATTCCAGAGACTGCTGTGTTCTTCTCTGGTGGTGGCTTCAGTAATTATGTGAGCAATTTTGACGGCTATCATTAATGCATGCTGATATGGTGACACGCTCTCGCCAGTTCGTTCGTCCTGCATACCAAGAGGTTGCTGTCACAGAGTACCTAACAAAACTCGCTCCTGGTACCTATGAGGGTCTCTTCACCCCGTAAGTGTAATGAACTACTCCCCACAGTATATGTTAATTGAGTCGCTAATTTGTAGCTATGGGCGCGTAAGTGACCTTTGCAGCATGTAAGGATCTGACGGCTAACATTCAATCAGGCCTATCCCGATGTGTCTGCACAGGGCCTGAACTTCCTTGTCGTTTACCAGAACCAGACGATACACGTTGGAGGCACATCCTGTTCTTCACCCACATTCGCCTCGTTCGTTTCCATGCTGAATGACGCACGTATTAATGTCGGCAAAGCCCCTCTCGGTTTCCTTAACCCTTTCTTGTACTCCACTGGGTACACCGCGCTGAACGATATCACTGAGGGCAACAACCCAGGATGTGGAACTCAGGGCTTCAATGTATGTCATATCTGTATGCCTTCGAGTCGTGTTATTGATGTGATGCCCATGCGCAGGCCACCACTGGATGGGATCCTGGTAAGTGTCTGCATTTGGCGAGTAGTTTTCTATTTCGGTGCTGACAATACCTGCAGTCACTGGCTTTGGGACACCCAATTTCGAGAAGTTGAAGGCACTGGTCTTGAGCATGCCCTAGATGTGGTGGACGAATGGACAATCTATGATGTATATAAGTGTACATCATCATGGGTATATTAAGGTTGTAACGCAATAACTAGAGCTATTTACCGGAAAGAGCACGCAACGTTCTCCCCTGCGATGGACCGCGGCTTATGAGCACAGCCTATTGTGCTCTGCTTCACACGATGTGCACGTCAGTAAGAAATCCCATCTAGGCCTTCATGACGTGGGCATTGGGTTTAGTAGATGCCGGGTATAAGCCGGTACCTGACAACCTTTGCCCACCTCTTCCATTCGTCTCCGAACATTGACTTCACGACCTCCTCCTCTTGGTTGATCCTACGCACGAGGCTTACCACAGTAACCGTTCTCTCCAGCAGCCACCCCAACAGAACCACTTTCAGTCCAGGAATACCTAAGACCCCCGATTGTCTAAGCCATGAAGTCGCAGATCCGTGCAAGATCACTACGCCGATGTACTGCATAATAGCTGCTGAGTAGGAAGGGTGGCGTACGACTGAGTATGGTCCACCCGTGACAAGCTGGTGACCCTTGCGAGTGGTGAGCTCGAATGTGAAAAAACGACCAAGGGTGCGAAAACACGACCAGCGGAGGTATCCCGCTGCAGCAACAACTGCGGTACCGAAAAGGAAATGAGGAGTAATTGGTACGTCCTGGATCTTGTCCTGGATCCTTGGAAGAATTGGACCGACTGCGTTTTGTATTACGCTGGGAAGTGTGCTGGGGTCCGTAATACGAGAGAGAATGAGAGCAGTTTCTGCGCAAGAAACACCCCAGTAAATTATCTGGGGCATAGTTCGGCATCAAAGAGGATCGTGGATAATCCGTGAACAGGTACCTTCGCGATCGGGAGCCCGTATTTAACATGCTGGATGATGACCCACTCATTAAAGGTATCATGAACAACCTCGCTCTTCGCAGGGGCATGTGGGGGAGTGAGCGCTACGTGCACAGCGATAGCAGACGAGAGAATGAGTGGGATTTTGAAGAGGGACATTTTCATAAAGAACACTTGATCTATTCAATTGCCTTTATATAATCCATTATGAGCTGCGTACGGCAGGGCAGGTGCTTACGAGTATGCGCTGTCAGTCTGATTGGATCTAGGTAACACTGAGGCTCCTATCCAATCTCATGAGGACGGATGTACTATATCTACGTGCACCAGGTGACAACTTTGATTGTCCTACGCAAAGTCTAATTGGTCGATATCTTTGAGCTTTCTCGTGCGGGCCGCATGAGTCTGGCACGCACTCCGGGTGTTCTCGGCCGATCATGCACAATGAGTCTCTGACGGTATCAGATCGGAGATCCGTCCATGGCTCAGCGTTTGACTTGACGCCGTTGCTCATAGTGAAGACTGAACTGCTCATATGGACCATCATGAACACGTAGAATGGTGAGAACAGCCTTACTCACCTTCCGGAAGGTTCAAGACAAAAAGAAATGGGGGTTGATAGATGACGTGATACCGATAGGGCAGTATGGTCACCCTAGGTCTAGGGTTCTAATGCAAAGAGTGGTGTTTTCTCGATCCTCAGTGTGAAGGCTACGAGTGACAAACCCAGTGCAGACAAGCAACTATCAATGATGAGCGGTGGAATTCGCGATACATCAGATGCCCTTACCTTACGATGATTGCGAGAAGACATGCAAAAGCATCAATTTGATGTATGGCACCATTAGTCAAGGTCGGCGAACGTATCGTAGGATCCGGTGGTGACGTGTGTATACCTGTCGCAAACGAATGTAGCTGTTAGCTTCCGACCTTCCTGTGATGAATATGGTTCGGACGGCCAAACTCATACATTAGTCGCCATCCTTCCTGAGGAATCAGTTAACGGGCATGCAGCAGAGAGGAATATGATGATCATGGTTGAAGATACCGAGCTAGAATCCAGCATTGATGACCACAGTAGATTCTACGCTGAAGAAAATCGGGTGGAAAACCTAACGCAGGCGACAACTTGTGCCTCGGAGGCGAGTCGGTGCCCTAGCACTTAGGGTACCACAAGGGTAACACCGTTGGAAAGTTGATACTGCACCTGCACCCGCCAACACCGTACCTTCCACGGGTACGGGTAGCACTTGCTGGATGAAAAGAGGTAGGGACGCAACAGATCAAAATGCATCGCAAGTGGCAAGCCGATGTCGTTAATCTAGGTGTGGGCAACAAGTTTCGAGACCTTCAACTACATCCCTCAGACGGTTGGGGAGGTATTCGCTAAAAGGCTGCATCGATGTAAACAGCCCTCAAAAGGAATTGGACAAATGTTGTTGAGTTCGGGATTCTTACTGATAAGGAGCGGGTTAATGTTTATACACCAATCAGTCTGAAAGCTGTTGCTCACAACATGCGGGAAGTTCATGAGGAGCGGCCTTTTCAAGCCCATATTCGAACACCAGATGCATGCTAGACTTCGGGCGGGTGGAAATGGAGTGCAGAAAGCCAACCAAATATGCAAGTATCCGTGCAACACGATGAGATTACGGGATGAAATTCAAGACGCGATTGCGAGCAGAGCCCCTACAGTCCCACTGTCTGTCAGCGAAGGACCTTGGAATGTCCTATTCAGAACTGCGAAGCTTCATGAGTTTGGTTAACGGCGAGGTGCCAAAGCTATCAATTTCAAACAGATAGAACTCGGCAGCTTCGAAGTTACTGTCACGAGTTTTGATATCCGCCAAGTCTCATACTTCTTCGCGACAGTTTGCCAGAAAGGACGCGCCCGCCGCTGGTGCATGATCTATTGCGCCTAGTATATGGGAAGATGGGGGAACAAGGTAAAGAGATATCAATTTGAGGATGTTTTTGCAAAGTGCGTTTGCCAATCTGGATCTATCAAAGTGTGAGAATGACGTGTGGCTATACACAAGCTCCGCGGCTTGCGATGCCGAGGCGCTCGGAAGTTACCGGCGCATACAACACGAGCGCCATCTGGCAGCTTCAACGTTCTTCAACGTTCAACATCACTCATACGCACATCCTTGTTTTATCGCTCGCGTCGAACTTGTTCTCCCCTATCACTACTCCCCTCCGCCACTTAGACTTGTAGTTTCCAGACAATGTTCTGGAAGCTGCATGTCTAAGAGCTGAACGGAAAAACATAACCACCAACAAATATTTATCGTGGAATTTACATGTGTCCATCCAACCACGCAGATTGTTGGCGAAGGTCCGTCACTCTTTGTTGTTTTCTGATGGCAGGGGCCCTCAACAAAATCGAGCATCATTGTCTGACTCGCTTCTCACTATATCCTCTGCAACTAAGTCCACGCATTGTTGATTCGTTGCGGAAGGTGAGGGTGGGGTGATGGTGTGGTGCCATTCCAGTATTGTATGTTCCCTACCCACCTTACTTTGGAGGGTATCACTCCAGTACTGGCCGGAACTTCTGTGGGCGGTTTTGGCGCACTTTAGCAGGCATTCTAGAGCATGATTGTTATCGGACGGGCGTCGGTCAAAGCCAACCAGAAAAAAACAACACGGCCAGCGTAGGCGAGCCGCGGCGTTGCTTGACTCAGGGCACAACTTCAATACTCGGACTAGTCACGCATGACTGTCATAGGTTCCAAACCATATAATCCAAATCACTTGGTATGTCACACAAACTGAATGCAAATAAATACACGGCTAGAATCCAAGACTTCTGGGGCTTGTCCGGGGCCTGTCGAAATTTAAATAGATTACCCAAAGATCAATGACCGCTTGACGTGACGCATGGCCAGCAAGGTTCAATGCATGGCATCAGTACACGCCAGGAATGATCCGATACTTCACTCTTCTCGCCCACGCCTCCCATTCTTCTCCGAAGGCCGACTGCATCATCTTATCTTCTCTCTTCGTTCTTATGAGCAACGCCAAATTCACCGCGGTACACAGGGCAATTCCAGCCTTGACAACCAGTGATACTCCAGGAATCCTCGCCGATATACCAGAGGCCCCTAACCATGATTTGGGGGAGCCATGTAGAATGATATTTCCGATGCATAACATCATCATTCCTGTGTAAGAAGGATGGCGGACGATCGCGTAAGGTCCGGTGGTGATAAGCCGATGATCTTGGCGCACGCTGAGTAGAAACGTGAAATAGCGACCAAGGGTTCGGTAGCATAACCAGCGGATGAATCCACCGCTGATCACGAGGCCACTACCCACAAGAAAAGAGGACGTAATAGGGACGTCTGTGAGAGCGCTAAGAGCCTCGGATGGCGCTTGCAAAAATTGCGGTACTTTTGAGGAATCAACGCGGCGAGCAATGATAGCAGCTATTTCTGCCAATGCCCCTGTCCAGTACAACCCCTGGATAACCTTGTTGAGTGAAATCTCCTAAAAATACAGAGCGATCCGACGAACGGATATTGTTTGCGAGGGGTATTTCATTTTACGAAAACATTTTGAGATGAGAGACAGAGACCGACCATGTAACTCCTCGGTGGACAAAGAATGAGGAGGTGTGATTGCTACATTGACCGCGATAGCTGATAAGAAAACTAGAGGTATTTTGAGAAGCGACATGTTCCAAGTTGGACGGGCTTGAATTTGATGGCGATGACTCGGAGTCACTGGCCTTTAGTACTGGTTAGTAGGGACAAATTGTAATGGCATGGCACCATACGATTTGACCGGGATTGCACGGATGATGGTATACGTGTGCACAGTAAAACTTCGTCAATGGTGACCAGAGTCGTGACGTGGAGTACCACGAGATGCCATGTCGACGTGTCGATCCTCGCCCCGGCCCTGGCTGCCAGATACAAAAACTGCTCAAGCAGCTCCAGGGCCCCGAAGTATGGGGCCCCGATGCTATGTGTGTAGTGCTAGCACAGTTTTGTTCATGACTGAACTTGGTAAGTCACGAATTTAACTTAGTGGATCTGTTTTTAATGCGGCGGGCGTAATTGGATAACGCCGCTTATGTATGTAAATTTACCACCTCTCCCATGCTCTACGTCGAACCACCACCAAGAATAATGGATGTCATTAATTAACGTCGACTGCGTTCTAGATACAGAGCGGATCCCGGCCGATCTCGCTCTTATAAGATGGCCAAGTTTTCGGTATCGAGTCAAGTGCAAGTGCAATCAAATTCATGGCTCAACCATCTCCTCCGAATGCACTCTTCATATCAGAGATCTTGCTCGCCATCTCATACCAACTTGAGGATGACAAGAAAGCGCTAGCGCGTCTTGCTCGTTGCTGCCGTGCATTTTCAGCACCTGCTCTCACCGTCCTGTGGTCTTCGGTGCAGTCCTTTTCCCCATTCATCCCCCTCCTGCCGCCGAGTGTGAAGTTCTTATGGGTGAGCATATAAAGTTCTTTGCATCAATTATGTCATATTCAAGAATATATAGGACCACTGCCAGTTCGACGAAGTGACCCTTGACGAGTTCCCGTGCCCGCCCGAAGAAGAGTGGAGGGTGTTCGACAGTTACGCACGCAGAGTGCGCAGGTTATATTCTGGATGGCATTTTCACCAAATAGTAGCCCGCATACGCTCCGAAATCACATTATTCCCATTGCTACGATCTCTGACTCTTCAACTGGTGGAGCCACTTGATATACAAGTCCGCCTCTTCTCGGACTCGCTGCGCTCTCTGAAGATATCCGGACCTGCGTATGTACACTGCAATGATGACCGTGTCCAAATGGCCATCGCGCACGTGTCTCGCGATGCGCCATTGGTGGAATATCTTCATGTTGAAGATTTTACCTATTCTGTTGCCCAATCATCACTGCCACCTCTCCATTTCGCTCATCTCCGAGCTGTCAGGATATCTGCATTTTTCGACTACAGTCTCCTGCAGTCTTTTTGTCACATCCTTTCCCAAGCGCCTGTGACACAACTCAAACTCGAACTTCCGGCTCTCCCAAATAAGGAGTGGAGCATCTCATCTCCCGTCTTTCCCGCTCTGGAATCGCTGCAAATTTATGGCAATCCGCTTTCTGCCGAACAATTCGTATCCCATCTTGCCAGCAAGAGTGTCCAGGAGCTTAGCATTCACCACACAAAAGGACCCGCAAGCGCTGCGGATTACTGCCAACTTCTTTCGTGTGTTGCGGACAAATACAGCAATACTCTTCAGACACTCTCGCTGACACTCAGTCAGTCACCCACCACGAACCACCTGCACGATCTTTCCCAAGCAGTTCTTGATGCTTTTTATGCGCTTGCACCGAGTTTCAAACGACTAGGGACTCTCCACCTCTCGTTGCCGCACAATCGCTACGTTCATCTAGCGCCGGAGCTCACATTTGAGTCTCCTACATGGCCATTTCTCAAACTTCTTGACTTTCAAGCGACATAAGGGTGTTTTTACGGAAGAAACTGGTCTGAGTACTGACGGAACGCCTACTATATATTTAGGAATACATATGCCGTTTTGATCAGGGTTAGGTTGCTGTCAATGCGAACGTGGATCATGAGAAGACTGTGCGGCAGTGTGGGAGTGCTGATGAGCACTGAGAATGTCGCCATCTGGGAGAAGCACAAGGCAGGCTATTATGAGATGATAACATTGGCCGTGCGTGCTGTTGCTAACTATACGATCCGCAAGAAGGGCCCACGACTTACTGGATCTAGGTGATAAATTCTTGGCCTTCCCGCGAGACATGATTTCTACTTCCATTCATTATATTCACAGGAATCGATGGACCAGTACTAATGGGCAAGGATGGCGCTCGACCAAGATGAAACACTCGCACCCATGAGAGAGTGCGAGTGTCAAAAACACTTGGTCTTGTATTGGCCCGCATCCACAGTCCCTCCACACTTCTCGCCAACCCAACCCACCCTCCGAGCCAGTGCACGATAAGAGTTTGGTCAATTAGCCATGGTCTCAAGTCGTCGCGCTCTCTACATTTCCGAGATTCTTTCAGAAATTTCATACCAGCTAGAGGATGATCGCAAGTCTCTTTCACGTCTTGCACGTTGTTGCAAAGCATTCTCAGACCCAACTTTGGATGTCCTGTGGAGGCGGATGAGCCTTTTCTCCCCCTTCATTCCCCTTTTACCCCCGAGAGTTTTGACGCTTTGGGTACGCAATGTTCTTGAGCATGTTAGGCCCACGTAATTTTGACTCGTTCTATAGGTCGAATACCAATTCAGCGCAGAGAGTATCGCGAACTTTCAATGCCCCCCTATACACGAGTGGAAGGCTTTTGACGCATATGCTAGGCGTGTGCGGGTGTTGTACAGCGGTGCCTCGCACTTCCTCGCAGGTGTGGCCACCATCCGAACAAACTTCAACGTCTTCCCCTTCCTACGATCCATGTCGATGCAGCTTCAGGAACCTATACAACCCGGCATTCGGGTGTTTCCAGAAACGCTGCAAACGCTGGAAATTTCGGGCCCCGCTTACATCAACTGTAAAGATTCCTGTATCCAGGCTGCTCTTGCACACGCGGCGCGCGATGCACCTTTCCTGAAACATCTCCACGTCGAAGACTACAGCTATAACAGCGACCGTTTGGACACGACACCCCTTCATTTCAAACACTTGCAAAGTGTCGAGATATCCGCATTCATCAGCTCAAATGTCCTCAAATCACTATGTTGTGTTCTTTCGCAATCACCCGTGATCGAGCTCAAGATAGAGCTCCCACCTACCAGCTGCATATGGGATACCCCACATTCCCTCTTTCCACATCTGGAGAGGCTGGATATACACGGCACGCCCGCCCTTGCGGAAGCCTTCATCACGAACGTTTCCAGTATGTGTGTCCGCTCATTGACCGTCAGGCACAGCCGTGGGCCCGCACGACTTGAAGACTGCAGCCGTCTATTTTCTACCATCGTGAACAAGTATAGCACATCGCTGCAATCGCTATCTCTCACGATCAGCCGCTCACCAGTTCTCCACAACCACGATGGCGTGGCGCATGATATAATGGATGCGCTGTTCCCTTTGATGCCGAGTTTCGAGCATTTGGAGGAACTTCATTTATCATTGCCCAGTGCTACTCAAGTCGATGATTACCCTTCCGTTGAAGCTTCTGGTTGGCCAACTTTGAGGCGGGTGGAGTTTATGGCCACATGATGATTTGCGGGATGATCGCGGGAGGCTTGGAATTCAGTAGTGAAATGGCTGGACCATGTAGATCACGTGTATTTTATTTGGGTATGGAATATCGACATTTATACTCACAGGTCAGAAATACTTTTGGGCATGCGTGCGTGGGGTGATGACGACGCACAGTGCGCAGCCATGCAAGGTGTCAAAGATCCCCAGTTATTAAGCAAAAACAACTCACAATCAAAGTATTATGTCGATGGAACAGCATAAATCCAGTCGCCGTCAAATCCAACAAATCTTAAGCAGGCAGTCAATCACAGACGTTCACGAAGTGTGACGATGAAGTTATGAGCAAAAACACAGGGAAATACCTCTTTTCCAGTTGTGCACACCAATTCCATGCGCTAGTCAGACGGCCGTCGATACAGCTTCCCGCGTCAAAGAAGTTATCGGCCCCAGAGCAATCGGACCCATACTGGAAGAAATCACACACACAGTGCGCAGCCATGCAAGGTGTCAAAGATCGCCGTAGTTAAACAAAAACAGCTAACAATCAAAGTATTGTGTCGATGGAACAGCATAAATCCAATCCCTACCAGTCACCGTCGAATCCAACAAATCCTGAGCAGGCAGTCAATTACAAACGTTCATCAAGTTTAATAACGAACGTACCTGTGAGCAAAAATACAGGGAAATACCTCTTCTTTTCCAGTTGTGCACACCAATTCCATGCGCTAGTCAGACGGCCGTCGATACAGCTTCCCGCGTCAAAGAAGTTATCGGCCCCAGAGCCATCGAACCCATGCTGGAAGAAATCGCACAAAATCTCGCGCACGCAATTATCCAGTGAACCAAAGTCATCTTCGATGTAGGAGCGCAGCGCAGGTTTTTCCGCAAGGCTGGGTATCTGTGAGAGGGTATTGCAGATAGGCAGTAGGATCCGGTAGATTTGGGAATATTTATCTATGCGAAACATATCTAAGAAAAGACGCGGACAGTATTATGGAAGTAAAACGTACCGATGAACATGAGCGCGTTGGGCACATTGTGGTCACCCATGTGGATTGCAGATGAGCCAATCCAGGTTCCCACGCTTTGTTGCGCACGGTGTAGGATCGTGTGCATCATGTGGAAGGTTTTGGGAGCTGCTTGCACACGATTTAGCCCCTGACCGGTATCCCGTAGCCGGTAAGGTACATTCTCCGCAAGTAAGTCCTGTTCAGCGAGCGACCATAGCCGGAACATGTCTGTCGAACAGATGAATCAGTATTACGGATACAAAATACCTTCAAAGACCAACCATGTAGGATCTCACGCCATAACGTGAGACTCTGTAGGACATATGCGTATTGTTTTGCATGATCGTGGCTGAGTCGTGCGCCCTGTTTGCCACTCCGGATCGCCAAGCTGGACTTGTTGTCTTTTGCTTGCGTTGGATGGAAGTGTTGTTTCAAGTACGTGATCATCTTTTCGCAGGGATCACGATTCGTCCGCAAGAACGCGTGATTATCGCCGATGCTGTATATACATTGACGGACTTGTTCTTGATTTAACCCCGAGCGCTGGTATTTCGAAGCGAGCGTCTCGATAGCGCGCTCCTTGTTTTTGATATCCCGTTGGACTTCCCTCCTCGAGCGCCCTTCAGAATAGATTTCCTGCGTGGCGGGCATGATGAGATCATCTCGTAACATGTCGAGAGCATCGTTTTCTTCAAGAATGGTGTACACAGATAAGATGGGTTTGACGCAGGAAAAGCTGAGCATGTCTCTAACATCCGGAGACTGACTGTCCTACGAAGAGCAGTGTTTGCATAGTCAATATCGCCGAAATACAGAACTCACCTGTAACAAATATATCAACTTTCCATACGTCGTGCGCATTTTATCTGGGTTCATGATCTTATGTCTCCGACCGAGCTCAAAGATAGTCTGGTAGAAGTCCGCGTTGGACTGAAAATCGCGATCCGTGAACAATTCTTGGCCCTGTTTGTAGTCGGCAGCAAGGACGAGCCCAGACAGAATCGCACACAGCTCGCGAATTTGATGCACAATACGCTTTGGCTTCGAAAGCCCAAAACCTAGTGTGTCGATCTTATCTGTGTACTCGGACACTTGAAGCGCGGCATCGAGAAGGCGCAGGTACTTGCGCTCGCCGTAGGTGAGTCGAAGAGGGATGTATTTTGCACGGTCGACAAACCACTCGCCGACTTTGGACCCAATTGTAGGTTGGGCGCCTGGTATTTGGATAGAGACGGGCGCTTTGGATGCTTCTCGGTCGAGTTCTTCATCAGAGTCATCCATATCAACATCGTCTTCTTGCTGATAACAAAAGTAAGCGTCAGATCCACCGTAACTAAGCCGAACAAAATTCGTACCTCCCCGTTTTTCTTCGCGTCCCCACCCGCACCATTCTGCACTGACTTAGACTTGACGCCACTTGGGATTGGTTTTGTGACATGCGTTTTCCTCGACCCCTTCCGGTGCTGCGCTGCAAAGCAGACTTCACAATAATTATCTGCGCATGTGTCGCACACAACTTGAGCTGGCTGATCTATACACGTGGTAAGATCGACCCGATCTGCATGATCACTTCCTATCGGCAACACACCTTCGCATTCGACGCAGAACCCATCCGCAGCAGGCCTAACAGCCGATTCTTCGTCCCATCCCTCACCGGGACCAGTGGTGTCGGAGTCTTTTTCTTTGAGTCGAGGGTGTTCGACTGATTCGTGGTTCGTTCCGAGAATGTTTTTTAGGGTAAAATTGCCGCTCATGGATTCAGCTGGCTGTGAGGTGGGTTCTAAGGAGGCTGAGGATGTGTGTACGACCATTATTTCTAGGGATATGACATCTATTTGCAACTGCGTAAGGAACGATGAGAAACGAGTAAGGAACGCGTGTACGGAGGAAACCCAGCCATGCTGTGTCTTGCCTGACGTAAGGTGAGCGCCATCATACGCATGTGCTTGTCTATCGCGTCAGTTCAAAATCAAAAAAAAGTGTGTCCAGCTGTGAGCAAACGCTCTAATATTAATATTACCCCGTGAATTTATGATACAAATGGGTGGTGCAGCGAAAAGGAATCATACATGATGAATGAATGAATGTGGGATGATGACAGCAGAAACCGATGTTCACAAGCTCCCAAGCGTATGGCGCCAAATCTTACTGACGATACCCCTGGTCTGTTCTGTCCGTGTGCCTGCACGCTCCTCATCCTCTAGTCGCCCATCACGATCCTCTCTTGCCGATGAGCTGCGGTCCACATCAGCCTGATGCGATCGAGGGGGATCAGGGGAGTTGATTGCTGGCATATGAGACGTATGGAACTCCAATGGGGGAGGTGGGGAACGCTTGTACTTGTGCCGAGAGCGAGAGCTATGAGATGACAAACTTCCGACGCTTGGAGGATAATCGTGCGGCACGAGAGAAGATGGGGTAGAAGACTTGGGTATCGATAATGGAGAGGTGGTTCCGCTATCTTTTCCCTTGAAGTCTTCAGATACAACTATCGTTTCTGCGTCATCTCCAGTTGGCATCCTTATGTAAGTGGGTCGAGGGTTCTCTATGTCACAATGATCATCGTCCTCGTCCTCGTCGTCTTCTGGTGCACGAAAGAGCGGTTCTCGATCATGCACATCAGACATACGGGGTGAATTGGTGGGAAGTTCGGCAGAGCTTGAAGAGGCTTTAACGATGGAATCGATGAGCCAGAATTGAAGGATGTTCATGATGATAGGGAAGAGACCCATGGCACTACAAGGGCAGTATAAGAAGATCGCCATAACCATGAGGAAAAGACAACACACAAGATGACTTGAAAGGCATCGCCGTCACCAATAGCAGTCCAGCTGAGCAACCAATCTCCCACCTTCGATATTCCTGGCCACGCTGCAAACAACCCTACAACAATCATTTTCATTGTCGTCAACGCAAAGACGTAGACTGCGGCCTGACGCGCCCAATACGCTATCGACGGTGGAGAGCCATACTGCCCCGACTCGTAACCTTTGAGTTGCAGTCTCTTTGCCAAGAGGTATGTGAGACCATGGTGCACGACGTATATTATAGCAACACCTATCACAAAGATGAATTTTAAAGGCGAGTGAGTTCCATTGATATTCACCGAGAGTGGTATCGATGAGAACATTGAGAAAGTAGTAGGTGCAGGCGTTGCCGGCATTATGGTGTGAACCAAGGTCGGATATCAGAACATTGACACCGTGTACAAACATCTGTCCAACAATTTGCTTGGATACATCGAAGAGCCTGCATGATCGTGAAGAGCTTCAGTGGTTTCACTAGAGTGCTGTGAGCCATGAGGACGAACCATATTCTCCAAGGTCGTTTCTGTGGCTCACGATGTCTCTTATACACCAGCGAAAGTATTGCGAGCACGCCCATGAGCGCCTGGACGACCTGAGCAATAATGTGTCATGAACCTTTCCTATGCTGTGTTCTACGAGAGAATTTTGACGTACCAAAGCGGTCGGACCAAGCAATTGACATGAACGTCGATCCAGAGGGAAATCATCATCGGTCAGGCGTGGAAAGGAGAACATGGTTGGAGAGAAAGACTGCGGCAACTGCTCGCACAAGCAGGTGTGCGAAACTTCTGGGACGTGATGCACCAAGTCGGCTTACGACCAACAAGCTTCCGAGTCTCCTCTCCTTCCACGTGCCCTATTTTGGTAATTCCACTGCGGCATTTGGTGAGAACAAGATTTCGGTTACATGACCTAAGCTTTACATGTATACACCAATTGCAACTGTCCGCTTGAGCATGGCGACGTCGACATGATATACTAAGACTAGGTAACCATCATAGATCTGAGCATCTTCGAAGTTGCCGTCTTCCAAGCAGCATTTCTCAGACTTTAGTACACATTCGAAGTCGTAATTTGATTGAACGTTGGAGTGAGTTTGTTTATATATGCAACGATCGACAGGTTCAACGATGAACATTTGAAACGGTCAAGTCTCAGATCTGAGTCTGTCTGACCAAACTGAAAAGCAAGTGCTGAAGCGCTGAAGTGGGTTGTTGATTGATATTTGGCATCAGCTTTAGAATTCAACAAATACAAACAACCATCTACCGCTGCGGCTGATTTGTCGGCCACGACCACGACACGCTTGCATTGATAATATCCGAACCCACCACAACTCTATAATGTCATTTTTCTCCAGATCTTCACAGCCCTCGCCATCCCCTTCATACTCCACTATACCTCGTGAACCTGCCCCAAGACCCATGGCACGTAACCTTCCTCCACAGACTCAATACAACGACCCTTCTCAGTCTCTCTTCGAGAAACGATCGCATGAACGCAAACCCCCTCCATCGCGCTCTGGTCTGAGCATGAGGTATTTCCACGTCCCCCTCTGCGCTTACTTATACCGACTACAATTACAGCTACGCAGTGGTCACTACGCCAAACGAGGGCCTTGCTCTCAGGAATTGCTTGGTTGTTTGCCCTTCGGACTTCCTGCATGGTGCACAGGTTGTCGTACGCAGGGTAGATCGTGACTCTGGCCAAAGGGAATACCCCATGACAACATGGTCAGTACAGCTTCCTCTCCCTGATTCAAGTCATTTTAAGTGTGATTTAGCCATGACACTTCCGGGACAATCAGACCGGGTACAGTCGCCATCGGACTTACACAACGCCAGTGGATAGGCGTATCTCTGTCAGGCGACGATGTCACTATCGACATGATCCCTCAGGCACCCCCCTTTCTTCAATCCATCGATATCCAAGTTAGCTTTCTACGAAAGGGCATTGAAAATCCAGAGCCGTACTCTGCAGATGACATTTCACGCAACTTTATCAAGACCTTCAATAATGTCGTCTTCGCGCCGGGCGAGATCATCACCTTCGACTTCAAGGGAGAGAAGCTCAAGATGACTGTTGCCTCTATGAGCGTGGTGGAGCTCCCAGATCAGCAGAGCAGCGCACGTTTCGGAAAACAGCCACATTTGGAGATGGGTGTTGTGATGGACAGAACTGACGTTACTATCATGAAGGCCAGTGATAGTATGATCAAGATTAAATCAAGCGCGAAGAAGTGAGTTATAACCTCAGGCTCGAGCTCCACTTATTGTTCATGTCCAGGGCTGCGTCGAATGCTATCATCGCACCCAATTTCAAGTTTGAAGAGATGGGTATTGGTGGTCTTGACGAGGAGTTCGGCGCTATCTTCCGTCGCGCGTTTGCATCACGCGTATTCCCTCCAGCACTCGTCGAGAAGCTTGGAATTCAACATGTGAAGGGTCAGTATTAAATTGAAAGACGCGACAGATGTCTAATGCGACTCATAATAGGTATCCTTCTCCATGGTCCACCGGGAACCGGTAAAACACTCATAGCTCGTCAAATTGGCAAAATGCTGAATGCTCGGGAGCCCAAAATTGTTAATGGTCCTGAAATTCTGAACAAGTACGTTGGTGCATCAGAAGAGAATGTCCGGAAGCTGTTTGCGGATGCTGAGAAAGAGGTTAGTCGCAGCTTCCATCCCTACCTGCGCAATTGTGCTGAAACAATGAGTAGTACAAGGAAAAGGGAGACGAGAGTGGTCTTCACATTATCATTTTCGACGAACTAGATGCTATCTTCAAACAGCGTGGTTCTACGAACAGTGGAACAGGTGTCGGTGACAGTGTGGTCAACCAGCTTTTGTCGAAGGTAATACACTGCATTCCCGTCCTAGCTCGATTGCTCACTCCTCTTAGATGGATGGTATAGACCAACTGAACAACATACTCGTCATCGGCATGACAAACCGCATCGACATGATTGACGAGGCCTTGCTGCGCCCTGGGCGTCTTGAAGTACATATGGAAATCTCCCTGCCAGATGAACACGGACGATTCCAGATCCTGCGCATCCACACGGCTAAGATGCGGACGAATAATGTGATGGACACGGATGTTGACCTGGCCGAACTCGCTGCCTTGATGAAGAACTATTCAGGTGCGGAGATTGAGGGCTTCGTGAAGAGTGCAACTAGTTTTGCATTCAATCGCCATGTCAAGGTCGGCACCATGGCAGGCATTTCGGAGGACGTCGACAAGCTTAGAGTCAATCGTGGTGATTTCTTCAAGGCACTTGAGGAAATTAAGCCAGCATATGGTGTGTCGGAGGAAGAGTTGACGGATGTTATTGCCAATGGGATCATCCATCATGATCCAATTGTTGAGGTATGTTGCACGCGCCTCCGGTCTCCGTCGCGCTGATGTTTTTGCAGGAAATCCTCGATAAGGGCAAGTTATTCGTTAACCAAGTCGCCAGGTCGACACGGACACCGCGTGTCAGTATACTACTCCACGGACCCCCTTCGTCAGGAAAAACCGTGCTGGCTGCATCCATTGCTTGGGCGTCCAAATTTCCGTTCATCAAACTCATCTCACCTGATCGCATGGTCGGATTCTCGGAAGCCCAGAAAATACAGTTCATTACCAGAACATTTACCGATAGTTATAAGAGTCCACTGAGTGTCATCGTGGTTGACAACCTTGAACGACTACTAGGTGGGATCGCTAACACGACCATAGCCATTACGCTGACCTTCACTCGCAGACTGGACGTCGCTTGGCAGCAGGTTCTCAAATCCTGTTCTGCAGACCCTTCTTGTCCTCATGGCTCGTAAACCACCTAAGGTTAGTATTCCGTCAGATATACAGCAGTCGAGTTTGTCTGATCACATGTCGCCAGGACAAACGTCTACTCGTGATAGCAACAACTTCTCTGCGCCCCCTTCTAACAGAGCTTGGCCTGTCCGATATTTTCGATTCTGAGTTACGCGTACCTCCGATTTCTAACCTTTCGTCACTCGAACGAGTCGTACGCGAAGTGCAGCTTTTCTCTTCGGAAAGCGAACTCCGGCAAACAATGCGCATGCTTTCAGATGCAGGGTTTGCAGCTGACCTCAGCGCGGAGGAGGATGCGGGCTTGCATTTGCAAGTTGGCATCAAGAAGCTTTTGAGCATCATCGAGATGGCGAGGCAGGAACCCGAGAGGGCTGGAGAGAGACTTGTGAGCGCAATTATCAACCTAAATTTGTAGATTTAGGGTGGCATACCTGTTGGATCGATATCATTTGTAGAGTACTTACAATCTGGACATCTTGTGCATCACGTTTGCATGACGCTTGGCCAGGAAAGGTATAACATGCCTGATATGGTATGCTCCTCAAAGAAGGGGAAGTTGAACATGACTTGCATCTGGCTCTGGTCCATCACCTGCAGCCGCATCTTAACTAAGTACTGACAGCAACGACAAAGAGTCATCATGTCTTCCGTTGAGATCATCCAGGACCCGGCTCAACCATCTCGCTTGCCACGATCGGCCTCCAATCCCAAGCCAAAGGGCATCCTCAAGAACGCAGCGCCACAACAACCAGGTTCACAAACGCAGTAAGCTTCCGTGCAGATGGCCTAACCAATGTTCGTTAATCTCTTCGAATGTAGCAGCCTGCAATGGGACGAGGAGAATCTTGCGTTGACTGAGATCCAGAAAGACAGTCTTATGAAGATTACGGAACCCAAAACGCCATACGTACGGTATAACGCTGAAACTGATCAATTTGAGGGCGGTATGGTCTCTTCTATTAATCATTCATACATTTGATCTAACATTATCTCTGTATGACAGATATTCCATCGCTTGACCTAGGCGGGCGCGTACCCTCGCCAATCGAGTATATATCGTCCTCTCCGCGATCGGTATCACCGACAGGCGCAGATACATCGGGGCCGTCTTCTCGCAGAACGTCTCTCAGCAGCGCGGGGCGTCCTTCATCTAGAAGATCAGCCAGTACTGCATCTAGCAGGAGCACGAGCTTTAATCTCCCGAGTGAGGCTAAAGCCGAGATAAGAGCCATACAAGGCAATCCAGGTGAAGAAGTCGAAACGGAGGAGGAGATGGATGAGGAAGGTGTGTTGTTCATATCATTTTATATGTGAAAGATGTATTTATTTGGTTGGATAGCTGCTGCTAAACACGCGGCTTTCGTACGAGCCAGAGGGCGGCACTATTCTAACGAAGCAGAAGCGATGAAGGTGAGCAGCTGTTTTAAAGTTTCTACCAATGTGCTCAACATATGTCACATAGCGAGCGGCGAAGATGATGGATGACGAAGAAGAAGAAGCAAGTGCTTCAGAGGCCTCAGTACTTGCGGACGGCACTGAGGAAATCGCAGTCAACGGCGCTGTTCATGGTAACTGATACAACATATGCTCTCGTGGTTTCTGGAGGGAGTAGATGGCGGGCATGCTCATGAACTTTGAATTCTTTCACAGGTATATATTGTATTTTTACCAGAATATTATCATCCTTCGAGTTCATTTGGTTGTACCCTACCACTCACTATTCTGCGGAGAGGAAGTTAAGAACCGGTGTCCATTGACATTGGAATTCAATCGATTGAACCAGCGATGTGTTGGTGAAGTTACTGACACTGAGAGCACATATTTGCTTGAGGATCCAAGCACTGGTATGTCCAGGGGTTGCGCTTTAGGCAAAGGGCTATGTTACTATACAGATTTCCCAAAACAGTCATTTCGTCGGCCACGTGGTTATCTAATGATCGACAAAGATCGCAATGCAGATAAAATTTTGGACAGCGTTTCAATGGCAAAGCAAGAACGACCGCGTCTACACTCAACAACATCAGATGGCACCCGACGCTGCTGGCAAAGGCATCCTCCTTAAAGCTGACCCTATTGCAGATGCTTTCCGCGCCGAGGTCAAGGATGGACTTGCAACCTCGCATCGTACACCGACGCTTGTCGGAATCTTGGCGACCAACGCGTCTCCGAGTAGGTTTTATGCTGAGTTTACGAGGAAGCAGTGTGAGCAACTTGGTGTGAAATTTGTCCTCAAGGAGGTTGGGAGTGCGGTGAAGCAGAATGAAGGAGAGGAAGCGAGGTCAGATGGGGATGGTGTAGAGGAGGCGATTATCGAATCTAATGAGGATAATAATGTCGATGGTATCATGGTGAGTTCGAACGCCCGTTCACATAAAACATATCCTGATTGTTGCAAAGGTGTATTTTCCAATTTTCGGAGGCCAGCAGGTACGCACCGGGTAGCACGAGTCGGCAAGTAATTAAATTGATTTAATTATCTCGTAGGACCATTATCTGCAACAGGTATGATGGAATCGAGTACCTGCGCTAATTGATAATCGTGCTGTTCTAGATCGTCTCTCCTCTGAAGGATGTCGAAGGCCTTCATTCGAAATTCCATTACAACCTATACCATAAGTGCGTCTATTCCCCCCCCTCTAATATTGCCTGATTATCATTGACTCGGCATGTCCTATCAGCATCCGTTTCATCACGCCCGCCTCGCTCACATCTACCATTCCGTCTTCGAAAGTCACGCAGGCAATAATAGACGATATCCCACCGCCCGGAACAGTCAAGTCTATTATCCCTTGTACCCCCCTCGGCGTCGTTAAATGCCTCGAGTTTATCGGAGTGTATAACAAGCTCCTAACATATGGCGATCGCGCATATGGCAAGACCATAACCGTCATTAATCGGTAAGACTCTGGCGCAGTCAGTATCTAAAGAAAGTCGCCTAGAATATCGCACAGGTCGGAAGTTGTCGGACGCCCTCTCGCTGCACTTCTTGCAAACGACGGCGCGCGAGTGTTTTCCGCCGATATTGACTCTATCCAGGTAGCTACCCATCTACCCTCATTTTATTTTTACTTGACATATTTGCCGTTGTAGGAATATACGAAGCGACCACGTTCCTCGAACGCGACATCTGCTCGACAATACCTCCCGCATCATACTTCGCACCTGTGCACGCTCTCCCTCGAAGAATGTCTTGCGGTCTCAGACGTTGTGATCAGTGCCGTGCCCAGCGCATCATACAAGGTCAAGACAGAATGGCTAAAGGAAGGGTGCGTTTGCGTCAACGTCGCAGCAGACAAGAATTTCGAAAAGGATGTCAGAGATAAGGTACGTTTTCAGCGGGTTCCTAGATTAGTCCCCCTAGGTGTCCATGTCCCAACGGCCGCTAACACGTCGTGCGCAGGCATCTATATACATCCCAGCGGTCGGCAAAGTGACTATTTTGATGCTCCTTCGGAATTTGTGCGTTGTTCCTCCGATCTTTTATTATGTTTTTATTTTCTTTCGCCATGCGTTGCGCTGCACCGTGGTTTCTCGCACTGGTATCAACATCCTGCCACCTCCGATCATGTTGTATGTGTTTTATTTTTCTTCGCGGCTGCACCGTGGTTTCCCGCACTGGTGTCGGCGTCCGGCTGGTGCCGGTGTAGTTTTGCGTGCTTCCATTGTTCGACCGTGCCTTCTTGTTCTTATTATGTTTGTTCCCCTCGTTTGCAAGGGGCTTTCCGTGTTTACTTTCTCATCATGCTGCGAGTTGTGTGCTGATTATGATTAGGCTGCGTCTTTCGCACTACAATGACGTGTCGGCCCCGAGTGGGAGCGAAGACTCTATTCCCGGCCAATAAGTGAGGTTCTTCTTGGAATCGTGTCGGTGCCGTTGGTGGAAGGAAGACGAAGATATTTAGAGAAGATCAAACTCAGAAGCAGGAAATCACGTAGAATCTAGCACAATGCATTACAATCGCCATTGCCTGGATATATACACCATTAGTTGAGATTATCACTGCAGCATGGGATCATTTATGTATAAATTGTATGTGTTTTGCAATGATGTGGTGATTGCGTTCCTCCCTTGATGGGTGTGTAAGAGCCAAAGAAAACATCCTCCTCGTGCGAATATATAACACTGTGCCGAACAATACAGAGGGATGCATGATATCACCCGAAATGGGCATCGGCTGGGTTTGCGGCATGTAGCGGATTGTTGTCCATCTGAGGGAAAGATGGCGTGACGGGCGTTGAGACGCCTGAGGCATCACTCGTGAGGAAACGAACGCGTTGTCTGTGGAGCTATATAAAAGAAGCAGTCAGGTATATATATGTACCAGTTGACGAAAGGGGAAAAAACTGAATTGAGTGGGAAGTCGGGTGGAAGTGACGTGGACAGCGTACCTGAGGAAGTTTTGGAATGATGGCTAGGACGATGAGAGCGGTGAGATTGACAGCGAATAGCCACGGATTGTAATTCGTGTAGTGTGTCGAAGCCAGGAAACTGGTACACGTGCAGTGAGTGAAATGCGACACATCACAAACAAAGTACGAACAGTAATATAGGCGCAGTGAATAGCCACTTCTTCGATGGCGTATATTGCGCGCCGTCATCAATTTGCTCCCAGAGAGTGAGATCGTCATATGCACCGCCGTGAAGCTCGTTGTCGAAGGGAATGCCGGTGACCCAATGGAACATGAGATATGAGAGCTGCGGAGATACGTGGCATGTTAGACATAGCGGTAATCAGCAGGACAAACCAAAGGATGGAAGGAGCGTACGTTAAGGTATATAAGGTTAACGAGTGTCCAGCTGATCTGTTGCGTCATGCCAGGTATAGTATCGATGATGATCTTTCCCATGAAGACCAAAACGACGTGTATGAGCCATGCACCTGGGCAGGTGGTTCAGTGAAATGATCACATTACTTGAATAGCGCTATGCACCCTTTGCATTCACCCAGTTAGCATTGATGTTGAGGTACGCGCTGCGGTCCAAAAGTTCCTCTGTACGGCCGCCAACTTCTTCGACCTTGACAATGCTCCCGCTGCGCCGACGGCCTTTAGTATCAGCCGGAACTGGTACGGTGAGATGTGGAAGCTTTAGTGAAGGACGCGACATTGATTGCGACTATGACGGAACGCTGATGCGTTGGTTGAGAACGAAGGAGGATGGCCGCAGCAATGAGACCGAGTATTAAATTTGGTGCAAGACCACAAGCGCTAACCAAATAGTTGCACACAAACCGAGATTCGACAGCAAACCCTTCCGTGCACAAAAGAACCTTTTAAAAAGCTTGGCGGTGTAAATCATATATTGTCTAGCTGCTGGCACTTATTCTGGACTCTCACCAAAATTCAAGTGCAGATTCGGCGGTCGCCTCATCCCGCATCATCGAGGTCCTCACGAACTCTCCAGAGGAATGACATGACCGTAACCCGCTGTTAGATGAACACGGTATTCAATTGGTGAAATCAGGTTCCGGGCCTACCCCCGTCTTCATGTGTTACTAGTTTGGCAGTTCTTGGCTTGCTCGGAGAGTTCGCGAGCTACATGAAAACCGAACACGTCTACTCGGGTCCTTACGTTCAAGTACGGCGACGTTGTGAGAGTTCTCATCTCAGACTTGAAGTTCACCGAGCGCCGCCACTGACAAGGACTCTCCTATAGAAAGTTATAGTAATGATAGAAAAGGCGCGTTCACGTATGGACAATCTCCACGCAAGGAACATCTCGTGCCTCAGATATTGAAGAAAGTCGAGGAATTTCAAGTTGGACTTGATGTTCATCATACGAAACAGCATATCAAACGAGCCTACTGCGAGGAAAGGTGAGCTTGCAGCGGACAGCAAAAATATTGTGCTGTTATTGACCATGCGTCCTAAGCTAGACTCATGCTGGTGGAACAGAAGGTGACGCTTATTCTGGTGTTGAGATTACCGCCAGTCAAGCTGCCGTTGAGAGCCGTTGAGCCAGTATGGCATTATCATGCCCGATAGCGTAGAACGCCAACCTACACCTTCACTGTTTTGCTTCACCGTACCATCATGCCTGGTAGCATAGAAAGCCAATCTATCAGACTTTGGAAGTGGGTCACTCTGTATCACTTTCGTATCTGTTTCGTGATCATCGCGCTTCATATATAGTCATCAATGGACAGAATCTTCAAGTCCACCGTGACTCCTGGCACATTCCCGCTACATGGGATGAGTTGCTCGATCACGGAGACGACCCATTCGGTGAGTAGCCTACTTCTCACTCATGCACATCTACCAACACCCCACAGAACTGCCCTTCCCGTCCGCTTGTGGCATCCATCCTACTACCCTCGCGTTGAAAGCCGCTGTGATACGTGCTTGCGACATTCAGAACAGCGCACTGCTTGATGTGAGTGACGCTGGCATCTGCTATTAGCTTTTTGCTGACGGAACGCCAACTATAGTCTCTCATAGACTGCGAGATTGCTAGAAATACAGATGCGAATCACGAACGACTTTTTTCATTTATTCCCCTACCAGTGCTCAGTCGGCCATCCTCACCACGCAGCGGCTCTCACCAACCTCGCGTGGGCCCGCCTTTGAGGTTATATTCAAAAATGTTTTCAAGGCATTGATATCATCACTTCGCGCTTCCGCGAAGCCCTTGCATTGCGTCCGCGGGGCCAACCTGATCACACATTATCTCTTTATCATTATATTTTTGCATTGAACTGGCGCTACAACGAGGAGCCTGCCGCCGTATACATTCAGGAATCAGCAACTGTGCTGCAAGCTACTGCTTCTCTATCCAGAGGGCACTTACCTTCGTAGCATCGATGTAGATGGCGCGAATGATTATGTGATCAACAATCTTCCAATCGACGCATCGGATGAATGTGTCCACCTTCGACGAAACGTGCACGAGCTTTGTCCTCTGGACCATCAACGCCTTCCGATAGCACTCAACAAACTTTTACATTCGTTCTTCACACGCTTCCGGCGTCAGGGCAGCATTGATGATCTAGACGAGAGCATATAACATGGTTGTGAAGCCGTCTCTCTGTCCGAGGGACATCCTGATTATGGTAACTATCTGAATGACTTGACTGTTTCACTCCGGTCCCACTTCGACCACCAAGGCAAATCTCATGACCTCGACGAGGTCGTCTCTATGCACGAAGAAGCACTGCGTCTGTACCCTGTTGGGCACAAAATTCGTGATAGCTCATTGCACAACCTAGTGGGCGCCCTCCGCACCCGTCTCAACAAATGTGGTGACATTGACGACATCAACCGAGCTAACAGCCTCCATCGCAAGGCACCAACACTGAACCCGCCTGGTCAATCCACTTCGTGACGCCACGCTTGTCATCCTTGCCCTCGCGCTCAAAACCAGATATGGCAAATTGCATGTCAGCGAAGATCTTAATGAGGTCACTGATCTGTATCGTGAATCCCTTCGGGTAAGGCCGCTTGACCATCCAGAGCGTCGTGTAAATCTTTTCAATTTGAGCTCGGCGCTCTGCTCTTGTTTCACGCGAACTTGGAAGAATGGAGATGTCGATGAGGCCATTAGTCTCTGCCGGAGGCTTTACCTTCACTGCACCCGGACAGGTATTTCAGCTTCATATGGCTGCAAGAAGCCTATTTGTCTCGTTACCGGGTACAACACAATTCAACTGATTTATCGCTCGTTATAGAGAACTTCAGACTGGCATCAAGATACCCTACTCAGGGCTCTCCGAATCGCATTGCAACAGCCCGGAAGTGGGTCACCGCAGGAGAGCGGCACTGTTATACATCTGAACTGGAGGCCTACAACACATGTTTTGACCTCGGCGGTCATTTGGAAACAGGACCATCGATAATTTCACGGCGCGAAGCTGCCGCTGCCTTCAATTGTACCAGATCACTGCCTGTACTTACTCTTGGACAACATAACCCTCCTTCCCCTCCTTCTCCTCCTCCCTCCACCCTGACCGCTTTGTTTTGGTATTTTCTGTACTCTATTAGCATACGTCTGGCTTTGTAGAAGTTCTAATATATTTATACAATAAATGAATCATTAATTGAGCCCACAATAAGCCTTTCAGAGCGCTCAGTATAAATGCATGACAGGAATGGGTGAATATTGTAAGTATGGAAGATTTATGGTCAAAATTGCATAGTGAACTAGTTACAGGTAATACATCTGTCATAATTTTTTCTCACACAAAAACTAGTGAAAAGGGTGAAGAATTGGGCAACTATTTGAGCTCGCTGTCCTCAACAGCGAGCTCGAGCATTTTGTCGTCGCGCGGTGTTACCAAAACGGGAAGTCACGCTAATCCCAAAGCATCCTGATACATCTCGGCAACTGTACGTACGCGACTCTCCATGTGTGTGTAAAATCCTTTGTGTGATGAAAAGGCAGCGATTAAATGTAAACGCTGTGCAATTATATCGAAGTGAGTCCATACAAGTTACACACGATCAGGTAAATCACCTGGTCACTTGCCCTTCCCCCACGTTGCTAGCCTCTCAAAACACACTGAACTTTCGGCGCTGACGAACTGACGATCGATTTCAATAAGCAAAGTGGTAGTACCAGCTACTAGTTATTCGGACATCCTTCGAAGTTCGATATCACGCACACGAGAAGACCTCACCGACGGTCCTTTGAATTGTCCATACCTACTATCACGCTGGCGGAGACAGCATCAACAGAACTTGCTGCGGCAGTAATGAAATCAATTTTGACACCCATGTTGACCTTGGAAGGTCACAGAGTCTATTCCGCCCATATCATACTTTCCGGACAGCAAGCGAACTTGAATGATCAACGAATCACGCAATATGACCGCTCGTCGATGGGGCCTAGAAGCGGGCAAGGAGATTGAGGGGTCGCGGGACGGGAATGAGCAAACGTGCAGGCGATTGGGATGTCGAGGGATGGTCGATTTCAAGGGTGTTGGGGATGACTCGGATATAAGAGTACCAGAACTCAACACCTGTGAGGTTGAGACGGGGATCGTGAGAATATTCCAAGGCTCACGAGAGATCAGCTGCATTGATATCTCAGCGTTCAGCAGGCGGTGGCTGGTCCATTCAAGAGTATTGTCATGATGGGCGTAGTTCGATTGTCGCAAAACTCGAAGAACCTTAGTCATTTCAGATGTGGTGAGATGCTTTGAGGTCTGGGATGTCCGTTGTGCATTTTCAGCCTGATGCGCTGGAAGCACTGTATTCGCCTCGTCGTCGGATCGGTGCCCAGATTGTCACAGTATCTCGCTATCGATCGTTGAAATCTCCCAGGGGAGCTCGATAGTAATCTGATATCCTCTAGTCGTCAGGTTTCATGCGTGTTGTCAGTAGCAGGAACGACAGTAGTGGAGAAATACGGAACATTAGCGCCATCCTTGAGCGTCTTAACCTAGACGCCGACCCTTCTATCGCTGACCGAGTCCTTTGCGTGCTTACGAATGTCATTTCAAGACAGGTATGCCCGTATATTTTCGACTTTACCACAATCCAATCACGATTGAGCGCCAATTGTTGAGCTGCTCTGCAGCATGCACATTGCACAGGGCTCTGAGCCCGCATAGCGACGTGCACAGGAAGACGCCGCAAAGGACGACTGCTTAGACTGATAGGCTTGTTGGTCTAGAGCCTACAGGACCCCCAGGCTAGGTTGATGCGGAAATGACCACGACAGGAAGCCAACAAGTAAAGCGCTGGACCGTGGTTAAAACAAAATGCTGTACAATGCACATGGACATGTCAGGAAGTACATAAATGGAGAGGTTCCCAGACGCACGCACATGCAATCAGGTGAATCACTCCCTTCCCCAAGTTGCTAACCTCTAGGTAACGTCAAAAAAAAGTTATGAACTTCCAGCGCTGACGAACTGACGATCGGCTTCAGTGAACCAGCTGCCAAGTATTTAGGCATCCTTCGAAATCACTATCAACGTCCCACAGCAGACGATAAGACCTCACCGACGGTGCTTCAAATACTTCCAAATAGTACTTGCCGAGGCGGAGACACTGGTCATGACTTCCAGATCGAGACAGCCCGCAGCAGCCCCAAAGGAATCGATGTTGACACCCGTGTTGACCTTGAAGAGTCACACAAAGTCCGTTCCATCCATATCCTATTTTCCGGACTGCAAGGGAATGATCAGCGGGTCACGGGATGGGACCGCTCGGTGGTGGGACTTGGAAGCGGGAAAGGAGAAGAAGAAGAAGGTACGGGATGTTTGTAAGCAGGACTCGGAAGTAGATGCGGTGGCTGTATCAAGGGATGGTCGATGGGTTGTCATGGGTTATCATGGGGAGCCTAGAGTTTGTGAGGTTGAGACAGGGATTGTGAGAAGATTTGAAAGCCAGAGCTCAGGGAACATCAGCTGCATCGACATCTCCGCGGACAGCACGCTGCTGGCGAGCGGGTCATATAAGACAGTGCAGATACGGAACTTGCACACCGGTAAACTCATTGCTGGTCCATTCCAGAGTGTTGATTGGGTGGCCGCAGTTCGATTCTCGCAAGACTCGAAGAAGATTGCCGTCGTTTCAAATGTGGGGAGGTCTCTTGAGATTTGGGATGTCGAAACACAAACATTGGATGTTAAAGTGGGGAAAGCTTATTTCTTCATACGTCGATCTACGCCGGTGTTCTGGACTACCAAAGACAAGACCGTTGTAACTGCATTCGGCTTCACAGACTTCGACTCCTTGAAAACGATCTACGAGTTTGATGCGTCAACACTGGAGACGGTCGGAACTCCCTTCAGAGGGCACACGGATGATATTAATGGTCTGGCACTTTCATTCGATTGTACTCTCCTCGCTAGTGCTTCTAATGACAATACCATCAAACTCTGGGCCTTCGAATCCCGCCAGCTCCTCGCATCGTTCCACGCTCCTCGTCCTCGCTTCATTATCTTCTCACCCGACTCGCGCCAACTGGCTTATACGACCGGGCACGATACCAATATCTACTTATGCAACACCCCATACGGGATCCTTGTTAGTATTCAGCATGCACAACATGTGCCTAGAGTGCGCAGTCTTTCCCGTATATATTGTTATTGTTCATGCGTTGACATGTTCTTGCAGACCAGTGCTCCTATACATACATCCCTCGCTCATCTACCCAACGTACGCGAACCCTTTCTTGTCTTCGTGTGGACTACTCCATTAATATCATTATTGAAGTCTGACGCAGCTCGCCGTCATAACCCAACGATCGACTGGGCAGGAGGGGAACCCCCCCGTCGGACGGCAAGGCCAACCTCGAGAAGCGGCGGATGGGCCGAATCCCAGACTATCAGACACGCTGGAACTTCTCGCACACAGCCTGCCTACATGCGACCGCCTACTGACATGCAGAGGCAACACTACGACTCAGAACTTCAGTCATTGCCTCAGGACATCCTCAGGTACGCTCACGGAGGGCCCGCGACAGATCTCCCCGGTCCACCTGTCATAGTTCTTCCCCGTCCGAGACCTTCTCCAGTATTAAGCTCACGGCTACCTGAGTTACCCCCCTACCCCCGCAAACTGCTTCTCTCTTCTTCCCATACGGACACAGTTCTCCCCGCCCGTATCCATGAGTCTGGTGATCCAGACCCTGAGGTAATGCTCCAAAACCTCACGGGATGCGTCACCAAGGACGAAGACTATCCTGCTGCTCGTGGCGGGTTCGGAGAGATATGGAAATGTACCTATTCCATAGATAGGAGACTAATCAAAGTTCGTTGCAGTATTCCGTTTCTTCATCAGCCTAAAATTGATGATTGTGCAGGTTGCAGTGAAAGCATTCCAGGTGTACGCTACTGATCACCTTGGTCCAGCGAAGACGAAAAAGAATAAAGTAAGCGTCTTGACGAAAGGTTGCATCTAATATCACTTACGCCAGAGGTCGCTACTTCATAGAGGATAAAGCGTGAGCTTAGAATATGCGCCAACCTCAACCACAAAAATATTCTGCCCGTTTATGGTTATACATATGGGTTCGGCCCATTTATAGCGCTGGTTAGTCCTTGGGCAGAGAATGGAAACCTGGCGGTTTATTTGGAGCGTGTGGGTGCGGATCTTACTGTCCTTAGACGATTCCAGATCGTAAGTCCTCACTTGTATTTCATAATGACTATGGACTAATGGGAATCTCAGCTCAGGGATATCATAGCTGGTCTCCAATATCGTACGTGCTAGTTAGTTTAATGCTGGAACAGGAATCATAACTATTCCCCGTAGTTCACACCAACAGTGTCATCCATGGTGACTTCAATGGGGTAAGTTCACCTTCTCGATGGTTTCAATCCAATTGAGACATAAGTTCCAGCCTAATGTGCTCATCCATGGTGATGGTACTGCGTGTGTTGCTGACTTCGGTCTCTCCTTGATGTATTCAGAGGTTATAAGCGCCTCCCAGGCCTCCTGGACGTCCACACTCAAAGGAAATGTACGATGGATGGCTCCTGAGCTGCTTGTAGATCGGGAGGATGGATCGCAAGTGCGGCCAAGCGAGCAGAGCGACATGTATTCATTCGGCGGTATCATGTTGCAGGTACGTCTGGGTTATATTGACGTCTTGATGATATCACAAACTCCACTTATAGGTCCTCACAAACAAAAGTCCATATTATCACCTCTCGAATGATGCCGCCATCGTCTTATGCATAGCCAAGTCACAAACACCTTCCCGATCTCGCTATCCTCCGCTCCCTGAAAAATACTGGGAGTTTATCGAGCAATGTTGGTCTACTGATCCACGGGGCCGTCCATCGACGAAGGCAGCTGGCAGAGTGATCAAGGATGAATATTATGCGCTGTCCAGATCTCCTTGATTCTTGGACTGTCTTGCACACAATCACCTGTTTACGGTACAATTAAATAGACAGCAGTAAGCCGCACCAGAAACCACGTCAAAGGGTGGAAATCTCTCGCCGCGCTTACGAGCCACAGTGAAAGTGCCACGGCACATTGTGTAACGTCGATACTGAGCCATTTTTATTGTCCATCCGTAACCTTGACTGTAGTCAGCTGGGATGCCCCACTGCTTGAACCTGTCTCGAAGGCTGAGTGCGCCAGATTAAGCCCAATATCCTCATGAAGGTCATACGGAATGCGACGCTACTCAAATCTGTCTTGAAGGCTAACTCGGATGGTAGGACTATCAGGAGACGAGGGTCGGCCCGGGTGGAAATGGCTGGGGAAAAAGAGGAATGCAGCCCGATTAAGCTAAATAATCGTCAAGGTCAGACAAAGATACTTCGTCAGACGTCGGTCATATTGCCAACATATTACTGTAGTAGGCTAGACTTTATAAAACCGCAAATCAACATGAGTTTTGTGAAATTGCAATGCACGTGACTTATGGTTGTTTGGCAAGAGCCTCTAAACCAAACAACATCCTGGAAGCCATCGACGTGACGACGTCGGCGTACATAATGCTACTGCAATGGTGCACGCTCAGCCCTGCGGGCCCATCCAAGCTCTCTGCTATCAGATTCTCGTCACCCAGCAGAGTGCACGCGATTAAGATATTTCCCACAGACGTGCAGCCCTTTAGTCAGTGTCCAGACATCATCGCGTGAGTACAGCCATTCCTGATCTTGCTTCGCGACATAGAAATAACCATATATTCAGCCGCACGGAACCAGAGGCGTTCTTTCTTGATGTCTATTTTAATGCACAACCCGTGGGCTCACCAGTGGACGTGAAGCACAAGCTCAAGGCACCTAATGCACTCATGCCGACTGTTATACCATATGCAGGTGGTATAGTGGAATATGCAGTGAACATGGGCTCTGAGGTACATTGAATATTATCTACCTGTTTTCTCTTCCAACTAAACTCTCAGTTTGCGACTCGTTTAATGATTGTACGTGGAGACTTTGAAACAGTATCGATGGCAATATATGGCGATGTTGTTTCAGATATCCCACCCAATCCAAATACATACTCACCCCTCTCCCTACCCACACATTTATCGGTTCCCCTCGTGCCCGCTCTAGATGCTGCCAAGAGTAACGACCCGACTGCTCTTGCGAGGAATCTCCTGGCACTCATTCCCAATGCCCCCTGCCTTTCCCTCGTCATACGCCTTATGTTCTGTCTCAAGCAACCTAATGATGACTGGGAGCTCCCAGAATTTCCACATCTTTACTCCGACCTGAACGAGGAAGAAATGGACATCGATTTGGACACTGCGTTCCGATCCTTGAGTCGCCCCGTGGTGGATGACATTTCATCAGAGCAGTTGCATTGCTTTGCAAAGAAGGTGTCCGACGCTATCGGCCCCAGGGTACGTCTTCTCAAATAAAACCCATTTAAACCCATCAACTCGTTTTGCAGGATGATGCACAAACGGATCTCATTGCCGGCATCCTTTCTCGCTCTGCCTCGCAGACTCCTGAATTTGCGCAAGCTTTGATGGTAGGTCAATTCTTAGGTGCAAAACACTAGTTTTTACACCCTCACAGCAAGCGCTCGACCTCGAGACGATCTTTGATGCATCAACATTGGACGAAGATGCTCTATTTACACTTCTGGATGCATCCACGAATCCCGACATATCGCGGTTGTTGAAGGCGCCATGGTTTCTTCATGTCCTGCGAGCTGTCCTTGCGCTGCCGACTGTTACCCCCGAGATGAAGAAAGCTTGTCGACGATTAAGCGATCGGGTGGGATCATGGACAGTCTTTGAACAAGCGCTTTCTGGGGCTCCAGACGCAGATTACACTAGGGCAGCACTATTTCTAAAGGACATTGGAAAGGAGGAGAAGAGTTTTGGCATATGGCTATCATGTATCACCACTCATGATGACCTTCTTTCGAAGATCAGAGATGCGCCGGCATACGAGGGCATGTATCCGCTAGATTTGATGTCTGGCTTGAGCCCCTCTGAGGATATTACGCATTCCGAATTCATGGCATTCGTCAGGGCATACGTTGGCGTAGCTTCAGTGCTAGCTGTGTACGCCTGGTCGGACAGCCTTCCAAATTTACACTGTCGCGAGCGCACTTTGGGTGTTTTGCGTTTATGGCAAGAAATTCCTGGATATCGTGCGGTAGGTCCTACCTATCATCATTTTCGCCAGTTTCTGACAAGTGTATCAGATCATTTCCCCCTTGCTCTTGCTGCCCCAGATGACCTTCCGCCTGGAATGCATGACGACCGGGAATGATCCACCCACAACTGCGGGGATCAATGCCGAGTCCCTCCTTTTCGCACTTGCAGCCAATCCGCAAAGTTTCCTCAACCCTGATTTTGTGCGCTGCGTTCGAGGTTGGGAACCATGGAGCCTAACATGGATCAACGAGCGGGAACGAGCAGACATAGAACGCGCCGCCAAACTCGCAGACGAAGGCGTTGGTGGGGCTGTAGAGGAGCTCGTCGGATTCGCAAAAGAAGGTCTTGACGCAATTTTGAATCAAGGCAGGATACGAACTCTCAGAGTTGCTGTGGCTGTCATCATGCACGCGCTGGAGGACAATACTGAGAGCGGAACCAAATGTGGCGACTGGACGGTGTTGGAGGCTGTTTGGGGTGAACACACGCATGGACTTTTGAATTATGCCATCGATATGTTTACTCGTATCAGCGTGGAGGTGAAGCAAGGATTCTCATTGAAACCCTCTCCGTCGCCTACGATTGGCCTCGAGCCGCTCTTTCTCGTGTCGAATGAGATCTTGCACCTCATCGCGTGCTTACATGCACTCTCCATTACGACAAGCCGTGCAGTACGATTAGTCGTGAGCGGCATTCTGGACATGTACAGCTGTGCTGACGTCGCCTCCCACGAATTCATCGTGAACAGCGCAGTACGGGATGCCGCATTCCTCGTCAAGCATGCGTGTGCCAATGTACTCTATACATTTTCAAGGAGCTCACAAGATCAGCACAAGTGCGGACTGTCTGCAGTCCTCCGTACACTCTTTGAACAAGGCCTATATTTCGATAATGTTGATCCTGCGAGGAGACTTTTGAGTGCTTTTTCCTTGGTCCTTCGAGTTTTGTCGGATGATGTGGATAGCCTACCTGCGGGCTGGATGGTCACTGTCATTCCACAAACTCTAACTCCCCTCACACTCTTCTTCCGGCATCTCGAACCCGCGCACAAAGTCCAGCTGGTCCAGCGACTCGTCAGCCTCGACCATGGCATATTGGGACTGGGTGACTTCCTCGTCCAAGGGGAGGTGAAGAGACTCGCCGGTCTTCTGAAGGTGATGGCCGAGAGAGGGGTTGTCGCCCAGTGGGAAGTGGGCGCGGGACTTGAATTTGTGGCAGGGCTTGTTGAAGCTGAAGATGGTGACTGGTGTATAGCCGCATTACGCCAATCGGAGTTGGGAACCATTATGACTGGCTTACTGGATGTCAGTCTCTACTCAAAACATCTTGGAACGATTGCCGGGCGGTTGGCTGAGAACCCAGAGTCCCTAGGGATCGAGCTTAGGCTTTCTGTTGTCGCTGCGCTCCTGCGCGGGGTGCAGGTGCAAGAGTCGAGCATATGCAGGATGAACGCCTTCGGCTTGATTTCCGCTGTCCTGGAAACGACCGACGAGAAAGACAGAGATCCCGAACGGCTGCTCTGGGAAGTAGGACACGCACTCGCCGCAGTAGTAGAGTCAAACGACAACCTCTCCTCTCTCGACTCCGAAAGCGTCGTCAACACGCTCCTCCTCCTTGATTCCCCCTCCCAGTCCGATCTCCACGGGCTCACGCCCGAGCAATGGGTCAAACTCTGCACCCACTTGGAAACATCCCTACCACCCAACATGCTGCCGATGCTCCCCATCATCAAAGGTTTCCATCCTTCTCCATCCCCACTACCAACGATCACACTCCTTCCATCAACCCTCACGCTCCCGCTTTACGACCTCATCTCCCTCCTTCAACCACCAGCAACCCTACCTAGCACCCCACCACCAAAGCGTAAATCGCCTAGTCAAGACGTCCTAGGCCTCGTCGCTATTTCCCCACCAACTGCAGTGCTGCGATCGCCAGCTGTTACAGGTCTCACAAAGACCTATACGCGGAATGATTTTCGGGAGTTGAGGCAGTTACCGAGTGCGAGGCAGAATACGAGTAGGTTGCCGAGTATGCATGTTGACGTGGGTGTTATGTTTTTACTTTTACTTTGTGTTCAGACATATAACTACCGCATACAGGATTTCCTTCAAGTCGAAATGACATCGTCACCGCTCGTTCAGCCTGTAGCGACTGCGGGGGATATGTCGAATCTTTCCCCGCCGTTCAATATGGGAAAGGAGAATGGGTACATTTAGAAATGGTGTTTTTATCGTTGTCGTCGTCGAGCCGAGTCGTATTGTGATGTTGGATCGGATCATGTTGCGTTCATGCATGCGTGCGTTTGGTACATTGTTTTGTGTTCTTGGAATGTAATGTGTAAGATAAGATATGTCTGTATACTATGCTACAAGCCATGCACTGCCATAATCAATCAATCAATCATCATCATCGTCATCAATCGAGTCAAACCGCGGAATCAATCTAATGCGGACGTCGTCTTCGAATGTCGTGAGATGAGGGGCGCAGCATATCTGGGGATGGGGATAGTGATAAGGACAAGGATTGTTGTGATGGGAGTGGTGGTGAGCGGAAATATCGATCCATATCAGATTGATCGAATTCTGAAGGAGGTACAGGCGAAAGCGGCGGGTCCGATTTCGATTCCAATTCTGTTGATGATTGAGGATGAGGATGAGTACCCGTCGCCCCCACCTCTACCTCAGGCCCCTTTGCCTTCCCCCTTCCAATCCTATACATCCTTTTCCTCCTCGCCTTAACCTTCCCACCCGGCCTCTCACTTATCGCCTGCTCCTTCCCCCCCATCCTCGGAGGCACACTCCTCACCGTAAAATGAGCAAGCGAGCGTGTATAAGGCGACAATGTGTGATTCGAATGGGAGAGGGTGCTTAGTTGGGAAATGGTGTTGTTTAGGGCGGGGCGGAGGATGACAGGGTCGGGGTCGGGGTCTGTGTGTGTGGGGCTGTTCCAGGTGTCGAAGTGGTTCATGCTGGAGGAGGAGGTGGAGAGGCGGCGGGAGTTGAGGTGTTTGAGGGGTACGTCTGTGTCTGTGTCTGTGTTTGTGTCTAGGGGTGCGATGGAGGAGGGCGGGGTGTCGATGAGGCCGCTGCTCGAGGAGAATTGGGTTTCGAGGCTGGAGGGCGTGATGGGGCGTGGTGGGAGATGTTGCGTGGGGACTTCGTACCCGGGCTCTGATCGTGTACGGTGGTACGGTTCGCCGTAAAGTGAAGGTGTAAGAGGGAAATAAGGGTTGAAACTCGAATGTGGTCTGTGGGAGGAGAAGCGCGACGGACGAGACTGAGGGTCTGAACGGACAGAAGCTGCGTCTGGCAAACGGGATGTTTCCGAGGGCGTCTGGATCATGGATTGGGAATGGTATACACGCGGACGGGTGATAGTGCCACCACCCACTGCGGGCAGGGTTTCGTATTCTGTGACAGACTCCTCGACGACGGTCGGTGGTGGTGAATATTCGGGTACCGTGTCTTCCCAGTCAACGACATCGAATGAAGTTTGCTCTCCTTCGTCTGCTAAGCTTTCGTCTTCTTCGGGCTCTTCGGCGAGGTCTGCAAGCCCCATGTTCCGCGTGAAGAGGCGACTGAAGGATGAGAAGACGCTCTTTGTTGGGAGACCCTCTGGACGGAGGCCGTATGTTGGGTCAAAAATTTCTTGGTCGGGATTGGGGGAAGATGGGTCTGATACTGGCGGGTTCGTGGGAAGGGGAGTGGGGGAGGTTCGGATACTTCTACGGGCTGAGCTTGATACAGATGCGCCTGATATTGAGCGTACACGTCCGTAGGAGAGAGAGCTGACGGATTGCTGGCGGAACATGTGTAGCCCGATACCGGAAAACCCAGGCGACATATAAGCGAGATCAGGCGCAGAAACAGCATCGAAGGCTCTGCGCCGAGCAGTTGGTTTTCGCTTGTCGAGATATGGTGCCTCTACTTTTGCCTTTACCCACTGCTGACTGAGACGATGTATGATTCCTGGTAGATCTTCCCTGAACATCTGCCTAAGCTGGCCTTCGATCTCACGCTGGATGAACTTTTGGATTACGGCGATGGAGTCGAATGTGCTGTTTATATCTACGTTCTGGAGGGGGTCTGTCTTGAATACGAGAGTTATGCCCTTTTGCTTTGAGACGACTAGGACGACATAGGAATTGAGTTTGAAGTGGGAGAGACGGAGGAGCATTGGGACTACGAGAGGGTCTTTTGCGGCTAGCATGCCACGAGAGCCTGTCATGATATGTATGTCGGGCTGTTTGTGATTCAATGGATTCGCCTGATGAAGAAATTGTCAATATGACGGAACGATGCGGAGATAAGTGGCGACACTAAACACCTGCACTTTTGTCTTGAGAACGATATGTGCATCTCCTGCATAGGTGAAGCGAAATATGCCGCGAAAGTGGTCCATTGTCAAGTCACCGATATCGCGAATTTCGAGTTCTGGTGGCTGTCGGGTGGCATGAGGGAGAGAGCTGTCTTCTTGTAACCAGGCAAGGCTCACCTGTGTACCCATCTCAAGTTCGACGACTTCTATTTTGTCGGCGATGACTGGGGGTTTGTTGCCCTTGTTGAGTGCGTTATTGAGCATCTGGATAGCATCTGTGTGAAACTGGTCTGAGAAGCGTGGCCATTCGAATGTGAACGACATTTCTGTGCGTTGACTGCTGTGATTTGCCAGCCAGGTAGCATTCAAAATGTTCAAGGCGTGTTAAAACCAGGTCAGATGCGCATTTTTTGGATGACTATAAGATAGCCGTGACTGCACGTAAGGGAACGGCTCAGTCACGGAAGCAATTGCCAAACTTGCTAGTCCCCTAACCAAGATATATAGACGACGATGAGAGAGAGTCTAAAATAAATTCGATGCTGGGAGAGAAATTGCTCGGGTACCTTCAGCTGTATCTAAGCGCCATGATAATAGTGATGATCTTATGTATATTCAAAGGATCTATGGCCGACATGGAATAAGTGGGTCCTAGCTAGCCAGCCCTACCACAGTGCCACTACTCTGGACATTCAAGTCAAACCTAGTTAGCATCCAACCGAATAACAGATCAGTGCACCGAGTACCCTCATGGCATGCTCACAATGGGTTGTTTGGTAACCTAATTTAATAAGGATGCCGCTGCTCAACTCGGAGGCGACAGACCGCGAGAGAGTTATTCTTATGTTCATATAATGCACGGCTCTGGACTGAACTTGCTATGTGGCCTTGATGTGGCCTCTAGGCACCGAGCCTGCTCGGTTTGCGATGGGTTGTTTGTTTATGTTTTCTCTGGTCTTCTCGATTCAACAATTGCAAACAGCCACTACTCCGGAACAATTAACCTGATGACCGAACTCCGGATTTCCCAAGGCTTGCTGGCCAGCTGCGCACTGGTCTCTGCAGGCAGAGTAATCTGTCAATATTACTACAAATGAATGGCGTTCGCAAACTTTGGGGAGGAGGAAACTCATCTACCAACTCATCACCAACACCAGCACCTGGACCAGCAACACCCACAACGCCGCCTCCGTCAACCACGCCCTCTGAAGCATCTCCTCTCACGACAACCCCGGGACTTTTCATCAAGAAAAACAAGAAACAGTCATCCGTGGCATCATCTGTCAGTGGCTCTGCGAACAGTTACGGCTCAGACCGCTCCCCCTCACCTCCTACCCGAGTAACTTCTCCCTTACGAAAACAAGTCCCAACCCCAGTCCCAGGTCCCTCATCTCCCCGAATTCCACCTCCACTCCGATCAAGAACCTCCACCGCTTCAGAATGGAAACGCACTTCAGGACTACTCAACATAAGAGACGACCTCCTCATGAGTCTTCTTACAAGCGAAGCGGTCGTAGAAAGCCGTGAATGCGAGATCTTGAGCGGAGAAGAAGTCGAAGAGCTCAAAAAGGTTCGATTTCATTCACTCACTCGATCTGCGCCTTTAATTTAATTTAACAAACCGTCTCTTTACATAGGAACTCCAAATTCTTAAAATTCGACTCGCTGCATCGCAGAAGAAGCTCAAGCTAGAAACAAAGATCCGCGACGCGGCTTTGTCTCTTTCAAAAGTCAACACCGCGCACAAGAAAGTTTCAAAAGCCACAGATGACCAGCTGGACGCTTCAGAACGCAAAGTCAATGCTGCCCAGACAGAACTTTGGCGTGTTTCAGAAAGAGCCAGCGAAGTCGAACGAAAACTCTTGGAACATCGTTCAGGCGTGCTTGGTTTTTCTGTCGTAAAGATGGAGAGAAAGATGACGCCTAGTGCGGACGTTTCGGGTTTGAATACGCCAAACAGGAGTTCGACACTTAGCTCCGTTACCACTACCTCTCAACCGCCGAAAGCCCGATTCGACGGTGCTCACCTATTCGCAGGCCACGCTGACGCACAAATACCCAAAGCCCCGCCATCCGTCAATGATGTCGTCGCGCTCGAAGACAAGCTTCGCGCTGCAACAGAAGCTCTTAGCGCTGCGAACCAGAAACAAGCTGAAATGGCCCGCGAGTTATCCCATCTCCGCCTCGAGAAAGAACAGATTGAAACGACGATGGGTATGGAACTGCAGACTGCGGAGGAAACTGTTGCTGCACTGGAGCAAGAGTTCCCTCGCCTGGAGGAGCTGAATACGAAATGTCAGGAATTACTCGAGGAACGTGCGCAGTGGGAAGAGGGCAAGTCTCAGTTGGCTTCTCGGGAGAAGGAGGTGGAGAGGTTGGAGAGGCGGTTAGAGGTCTTGGAGGAGAAAAGCGGCGAGGCAACTGAAATGGAACGTGTTCTTTCGGACGTGCAAGCAAAGTGCGATGCGGAGCTGCAGGCAAAAGACAAGGAGATCGCGGCGCTGAAGACGGAGTGGGAGGGTGCAAGAGAGGAATGGGAGGCGGAGAAAGCTGTGATGGAGGAGGACAAACTTGCAGAGCTTGGTGCACTCCGGGACGAGCTGGAGGATGCGAGAGAGGGATGGGAGGAGGAGAGAGCTGTGATGGAGGAAGACAAACTCGCAGAGCTTGGTGCGCTGCAAGACGAGCTGGACGATGCGAGAGTCGGTGGTGAAGTACGAGCAGAACTGGATGAAGCTATCGAGGCACTTCGGACGGTGGTGCAGCTCCATGGTATCCAGGCCTCGTCGGATTCGTCCTTGCAGGGTCTTATTTCCTCAGTCGCTTCGCATCTTGAAACATTGTCGGCTGCGCTTCAGGGGCATAGCGACAGTCATGCACGCCTCGCAGATGAGCTCCGACTTCATCTGGAGAACAATGACACCCTCTCAAAGGATATGGACGCTGTTCGCCAGGAAAGGGACAGCGCACAACTCGAAGTCCAATCCCTAGAGTCACGGGTCAAGGTAACATTCCATAATTTCTCAGCACGACAAGCACTTATTCCAACCCCAGGAACTCATCGATGCCTCATCAATACCCACTGACCCCCCAGTCGAATACAAAGGCGAAGCAGCAGACATCATCGCCATTCTCCAACCCATCTGGAACATCCTCCCCGCACCCGAACTCCGCGCATCCAAACTAAACAGCAAACGACACCTCCGAAATCCATCCACCCTCTCAAATGCAGGCGGATCATCGCTATCTAAATCCACACTCTCCGACATGGACGTACGCGCGCTCAAATCTCTCTACGACACTCGCTCTCAACCACCTACTCCTACTCTAGCAACTCCGACTCAACCCACAGACCAAACTCCAATCAAAGGCACATTCAGCATCGAAGCATTCGTCTCGCGCATTCAAGCGCTTGTCATAGACGACCGAGCACTAATCGAAAGACTTATCCGGTTCGCCCAAGCACACGACCTCCTCAAGAAAAACGCAGAACGCGCTCAAAAACTTGCACAAGATAGTAATACAGCGCTTGAGACGTATCAACGGCAGGTATCGACGCTTGAGCGGCAGAATGTCTCTTTGGTGTCGAAGCAGAATGCATTGTGAGTCTTTGTTTACGCACCTATTTCAGTTGAGAGTCGAGTTTTGAACTTGTTTTTGGTTGGATAGGATGGATGAGATACGTGACCTACAAGATGCTGTCGAACGTGCGGTTGGTGAGACGCGCGAGATGGAGATGCATGCTGGGGAGCAAGCGGAGACGTGTCGACAGCTCACAGAGGCTAATAACGCGCTGAGCGCCAAGACGCTGACGCTTGCTGAAGAGGCAGCTATGGCACCTGAGAAGGTACGCAAGCAGCTTGAAGGTCAACTTGCGGAGTGCACAGAGGCTTTAAGGAAGGCGAGAGAGGAGGTGGATGGGATGAAAATGTCGGAGCAGACACAGAGGATTGCGTTGTTGGATGAGCTTAATTCCATGCAGACGGAGAATGGGAATTTGAGGGCGCAGTTGAGGGCAAAGAAATAGGCTGGGTTGGGTTTGAGGTATGCATATCGATATCTATGATAGTGTATGAACCGATGGTTTATTAAGTCTGTTGAATTCGGACATGCGGCAGCCCTTCACGGTGACGGTCCACCTGTCCACCCCAGTGCGTACCTTAATTCACCACCTTCCTCGTTCCTTTTGCCAAGAAACCTTGAGACTCTCACTCAGCTGTCCTTCCACGCTGGGGATTGCTGAAGCGAAGTAGTTCAAACCTCCATTTGGCAGAGGGGCCGTCCTCTATCCCGCCTTCGAGTAATGCATCTCGTGGACGCTTCTCGGGGTTGGTTCCCAAACTATTTAACAGGGGTGACCAAGTGCTTCGCTCGAAGCGCGCGACGGTCCCCCAACACCCACGGCTGCAAGCTCTAGCGCACAGGATATCCCACCCACTCGGATAACCCAGGTATGCGTATTCTCAACTGTGTACATCCTGATGCCCGTGTGCGATGATTGCTACTGCAGGATCCTTCACTACTCATCGCTCCTACTCCCATTCCCGAACCGAATCATTACCAGTCTTCAAATTCAGGCAGTATTGCAAAGGTCAGTTCGAGTCTCTCTCTCTCTCTCTCTCTCGATAATGTACTAAGGCCCATCATCAGACCGAAGCGCCGCCTGCCATTGAGCTTGTGACGGAAACGCTCGCGCATGCCCAAACAGGTGTTGCAGGTATCAGCCCTATCTAATGAATCGTTCAAAATATTGCTTCAATGTCCGGAGGACCTGGACTTGAACTTCATGGAATATGTGCGTGGCGCGGGACGGAATACTTCCAAGAATTGTCTTCCAGGCACTCGGGAAGATGTCCTGTCCGATATCAAGTCCTGGATCTGTAGCACGGAGGAAATGTACCTCGTGTCTTATGGTTATCCGGCACTGCAGGGAAAGGCAAATCGGCTATTGCTCATACCATAGCCAATTGGTCTCATGAGCAAGGCGGTCTGGGAGCTTGCTTCTGCTTCGATCGCACACGTACAGCGGACCGTCTCCACGAGAAAATATTCACCACGATTGCTCGTAACTTGGCTGACTGCAGTCCTAACATGCAGCGAGCGTTGGCGCGTGCGGTTCATGCTAACAACGAGCTTAGGCACACTGCAGACATAGCAAGACAATGGCAGGAGTTAATAGTAGGACCCGCCGGCATGACCCCGCCACACATTGCCCCACCTGTGCTTATCATCGGCATTGGACGAGAGTGGTGACACACATACTCGGGAACAAATTCTTCGACTACTGTCCGCAAAAGCGGACACCCCTTTCTCCCAGCCCGCTGAGCTACCAGCAGCCGTATCATCATCAGTTCCCGCCCACCCCCAGATATTCTTGACTCCCTGGATATGTCACACATCCTCCATGTCCCCATGGATGATATCCCGCCCGTGTCCACACACAATGACATTCAGTCATATATCCTCACCAGGCTCGCAGGCGTGCGCAACTTCGACCATACGCACTTCAAGGCGCTTGCTGAGAAATATGACGGCCTGTTTGAAAAATCGCCGTCGCTCATTCGGTTTGCAAAGGTTAGTGGAGTAGCAACGCATCGTGATCAAGTTTGCTTCCGATCTTGATATATACCAGGGGCACAGTAGTCAATTCCGATGTCCCAACCAAAGTTTTATCTCTTCACGCTCGAGTTCAAGGGCAAATTCGGAGTGTGATTCGCAAAGGTTTTCTTCACTCCAGCAACAAAGGACGAGAACCGGCATGAGCTCCCGAACGTCATTCGCAGCCCAATGGTCACAGGTTTGGTCATCCTCATGTGGGATTGGGAGGCAAATACCGCAGAAAATGGTGTTTGTGAATGGCGGGAAGCGCATAGATCAATGCAGCTAGTATTACACCTTATCGAACCAAATCTCAGCTCGATCTTTCACAGTTGTATGTGTTCGCTCCCTCTCCGTGACTTGACCCACCAGACCAACCAAGCCAATCCCAACAACCTTTCCGTCTTCCACAACAAACTCTCCCGTAACCTCCGATGTCCCTATTTCCGCTGTCTCGAAAGGTGTTCTGTCGCGCCCATATCCTTCTGGGAACAACGAGGTGTACTGCACCAAGAACGTATTTCCAGACTGATGCACGCCCCGAATATGAGATGACCATATGCGAGGCCATGCTGCGAACAGCTGAGGCGACTGGGGAGCACTCGACTGTGCTGAATCCACCGCAGTAAAGTCGGAGATCACGTCTTGACAATAAGAGGAGCTGCCGGAAGAACTGCAAAAGGTGATGGGGCCGTATCCAGCGTTGGTGTATGTGCCTGAGAACTCATCGAGTGCGAGTTCCAAGCCAACGACGTCACTGTTTGGAGGCGTGATTGCTTTCTTCTCCGTCGTGCTGGGTTTACTGAATCGGCGATAGGTGAGCAAAGGGGAAAGGATGATTTGACAGTGAAAAGAACAAACATAGGTGGTGATGGTTTTGACCGTAGGTTCAGAGCCGCGTCGATGATACGGTTGGAGATATCCATCACAGGTGTAGCTTTATCACCACCGTTGGCGAAAACGACGACTCCGACATCATCATCTGGAAGGAATGCCGCTAGTGTAGAGAGACCTGGAACCGACCCCGTGTGATATACGAGCTGATACCCCGACATCAGTAATCATGCTCAATAACAGATGAACATTTGTTACATCGTGCCCGAGGTACGAGTATCGGAACCATCCCATCCCATACCCCTGAATCGAGTGCTCAGAATCATCCGGGGCGCTGATGGACACGGAATACGACTGTGATGCGTTTCCATACACAGACAGCGGTATGACTGTGACGTTGTTGTGCACGCCCTTGTTGAGCCACAGTGCAACCCATTTTGACTGGATAACAACAGATGTTGTCAGTTGGTAAATAGAATGAAAGGCGAAGAGCACCTGCCATATCTACTGCACTCGATATCACACCGCCTGCGCCGGCCATCAGCGTTGCCATCTCTTCTGTGAAACACTCAGGCAAGAGCCTGCCATTGCTGGTCCATCCCTGTGTGAATTTGCCGGTTTTCCCAGCCTTCGCAGGCGAGTACGTAGAAGAGGACATTCCTAGTGGCGTAAATATTCGATCCTCCACAAAAGAGGTGTAGGTTTGTGCGGAGTAAGTTTCAACAATGTGCGCGACTGCCGTGAACATCTGTTCGTAAATTGTGAAGATCTGTTTCGCGCTTTTGCCAATACTGCGTTACCTTGTTGTTGTATGACCACTGTTCCCGGAGTTCAAAAGCTGGCCTCAGATAGCGCATCCGCAATACATCATCTTTAGGGCTGTCGTATGGTCCATACGAGTAGTCATGACTAGCTCCCGCTTAGTACAATCCTATGCTGAAGCGAAGAAATTGCGTCAGGCTTACCGAGGAAGGCCAGAAACATGAGAGAGGATGTCCTTCAGATTGGCTTTCTTAGACGCCCAGTCATCCATCAATTGCCATTCTCCCGGAAGGATGTCTTGTACTAATGTGTGCCAATTGAATTCCGTCAATGCGGGGGGAAGCGGCGTCACGTTTCTTCCATGTTCAAAGTCATCCATCAAAATTCCAAGAGCGCTCGCGCAGAATGCCTTGGACACAGACGCCATGTGGAATAATGTCTGAAAAATGCAGCTTCAGAGTTTACACAGGAAGGAATTTGAGCAGTTCGCACGTCTTCTGTTGTCTTATCCCCATCCTCTGTCATGTTTCCCCATGAATGAAATTCCGGTTCGCCATATCTCGGGACAACTGCGACGGATAGCCCAGTGATGTTCCAGATATCAAGGGTCTCTTGAATAGAGTGGGAAAGCTGTGGGGTGATAACCTGACCATTGTTTACCCAGACAGAATCAGCTAAGAACGATAGCTGAGGAAGATGGGCAAATGGCTGGCTCAAGAAGCCTAATGCTACACTCAACAGTCTAGCCATGATATTGGGAAAGGGATGGCAGAATGGTCACTCGGTGACCAGCCTTGCGAGATCTTGCGCTCGGGGTGGGATTAATAACAGACATCACGGGAGTAAGGTGGGGAAACAGAAGATAAGAAACCTACCAGGTGACAATTATCATTTATCCGGATCTTTTTGATGATCAAAGGCGTTAGATTATGTGTGCGGTTTCTGAGCGTCAATACCTTGCACGGTGTTACCCATTCCACGTTACCTGATTATTGTAAGATGTTGTTCCCAGAGTTCAAAAGCCGGAGTCAGCACAGCTGCAATGCAGCATCTTTCTGGCAGCCATATGGACAAGATAAGCAGCCTATCAGCTGATCATATCCACGAAATCTTCTCAAAGCCGCATGAAATTTGGATACAGTCTAGAAGGTATATACATAGGCACTGAATGACGGGTGTACTATCAGGCCTGGGTATATAACATGAGCCGGATATGCAAGACAGTTTTCCAGATAACAAATAACTCACATCTCGAGGCGCAAAAGTCGAATGATCCTTAGATGAGGTCACTGTCTCTTCGATGAGAAAAATCTGGAGCCAAGACAGTGTGGGTCTCGATAGGGGGGGCCTTGCTGGGCTTTGATAGTACCTAATAATCCGCAGGACTGATCAGTGTAGTAAGGGCGCGATTGTTCCAACTGGAATGCCGGCCCAGACGTCCAACGTTTGAACCACTTGAGCATTGTATTATGATATAGGGCCCCTGGGGCTTATCATCATGAACGTTGCATAGACATTTTCAAAACGCCCGGTGACAGATTCCAAGCTTAGCCTTCCTGCAGCTGAGAACTGACATAGCCTTTCTGATTGTAGGAACGGTCTAGATGGCCTATTAAAAGTTATCTTCAACATAGTCTGTAAATTTGACCTTTAGCTTCGAGCAGGGTTCAGTGAACAACGTCTGACCTACGTAGACGACGTCGAAGTGGTTGAATCGTATGTTTGACGCTGACGGGGAAGATTGACCGTCAAACGTACAACTGTAACTACGCAATGATGACATTTCTCGATTAGGCAGTCATGACATGCTCGACGCGGCGTTACGCGTTACTTGGCAGTGCCGATTGCCTGCAGTCTGTTTGCCTTGCCTCGGCTCTATATTGAAAAGCGCTCCGTTGGGTGCTTATTCCACTCCTTTCCTTCACGTTTTCACGACTCCGCACCTTCTGGGGCTCCTTGCTTTTGTCGCACCTTTGTCTTTAGAATCGGTTTGGCCTCTCATTTCCGCGTCCAATAAGTAGATTTCTCTCTCCATGCGTCTCAAATATCTCCACAAGTATGAGACTTTACATGCCTGCCCTTTTCTTCTTTGCTCATGAAATGATCCAGAATGATGGCCATCCCTCGTGCAACCTCAAACTGCGAGCCTGCTGACCCAAACAGCACCCTTACAGACCGCCTAAACACACTTCTCAACTCCTCTGGTTCAGGATATGTGTTAAACCTCTGTCCAAGCACCCAATACCTCATACAAGCCCCCATTCTTTTTGCGGCGCCCAATCAAGAGATCAGCACTCTCGGTTATCCTACTGATAACAGCAGAGCTGTCTTAGTAGTTGCCGGCCCTGTCTCAAATGGTACTGGCCATACAACGGCCGTCGATGGCACTTGCGCTAATTGTGACGGAGTGAGGTTACGAAACGTGCAGGTAAAATCATAGGCGCTTCGTTATTTTCCCTCACGCTAACCATCTCACAGATAAATGGAACGCGCCTTGGCGCCCCTCCCACTCTCGGAGGCGCAAATATTGAAATGGGTGGTCCAAACTCGGACCAGCTTATCGAATACGTGCATTCTTTTGACCCCAGGGGCTGGTCATGTCTCCATGTCGCCGAGGGTACTTTGAATTGCAACAATGTTACTGTCCAGAACAACGATATTGGACCCGCGGGATCCGATCTTTTCCAGCAGTGGGCGGATGGAATCAGTGTGGCGTGCCAAAACAGCCTGGTTCGTAACAACATGATCAACAATCCGACGGATGGAGGCATCGTACTCTTTGGCTCTCCTGGGACTCGTGTTGAAAACAACACCATCTGGGTCGAGACTGTAAGCGTACATTTTCCATGCCTTTTTGTTGGTTCCTCACGACGGTGCAGAATACATTGCTCGGAGGGATAAACATGGTTGACGTCGCACCCTTTAGCGGTGATTATAAGGGGGTTGTGGTCACCAACAATAGCATCGCTGGTGGGTTCGCCACTAGCACTGAAACAGGGTCGGCCACCAAGGGTACAAATAACGAAGATGTCATCATCAAGTACGGAGAGCTCCCTTATTTTCTCATCAAGGTGCTGACAAGAATCACTCAGAATCGGAATTGCCATTGGTCCCCGAACCTGGTTCGGGAATCAGTATCTCAATAACGTTAGCACTGGCGGGACAGTGCTTGACAATGAGCTCACTGGCGCATTCAGCTACGGCATTGCCATATCGTCTGCAACCAATTTTACGATAGAGAATAATGTCCTCGTTGGAAACACTTCTTTTATTGGAGCACGGGGTCCCAACTGCTCTACTGGTGACCCAACACCTTCTCCTGCACCGTTTGTTCTTGATATCAACAACACTTTGAAGAGCACGACCCAGTCGGACTTCCAGGATAACACCAATGGAGACGCTTTAACTTGTGTTCTCCCCCCTGATGGCGGAGACTACTGGCCATTCGGTGGCAACCCATCTTCCTCGCCTCTTAGTCCTCCCGAACCCTCGCCGTCGACGAGTAGTCACTCTTCAACTGGTACAACAGTCGGTATCGTGCTGGGCGTCATTGCTGGCATCCTATTTGTGGCCTTCCTTGCATGGTATATTCGTAAATGGGCCATCAAGCGCACAGCGGATCGCTCTCACTTCAAAGCTACGAGAAACGTCCAGAATGGATATATTCGGAGCAAGGAGCAATTCTGAGTCTTCCGATCGTACTTTCCTACTTCTATCCACTCTTTTACCACCTGTTCTCATTGTAATGCGGTGCTTTCCGCTCCTCTCTTCTGACGATAGATTATCGGGTGTCTCTGCTCCCTACCTGCATCAATCGGGACGTTACCTGTCTTTTATATTGTATTATTTATAGCGTATATCAAGCTCATATCGCCGCTGCCTTCGAGTTCCGTTAGTACATACCCCTACCTTCTCATGCTACCCATAGAGTTTCGTCCAATTTATGCTTTGATGTTGTGCAATGCTTGACGCTTGAAGGATGACTAAGCCTGCTGAAATGGTGGCGCGGGTGATTTCAATTCCATTGCCCGCAACTCTACACGATCAAGTCGTTCGACGCAAGTTTAGCCGCAAGTTCGTTCAAGTCTCGACCTCACGCAATCATGACTACGGAGAAAGGGTAAATATAAACTTCAGTCATCTAACTATTGAGCTGATAGTTATCCTAGGTTTCTTGGGGTCACACCGCCAATCTCGACGGCCGACTCGACTGAGAGGGAAAAGGAGGTCACAGCGACCTTGATGGAGGAACTGAGGAGACAGAAAACTTTTGAGAGTATGGAGGAGGCCCGGCTCAGGTAGGATCAATACTTTTTTGCTTTCGTTGAACGTCGATGCGCGGACAAAAACCGGCTCGCCGAGAATCTCGTGGACACTGCGCTATCGTTGAAGATCATTGGATACGCATTTCATGGTTCTTGGGTTGTTCGTAGTGTCTAGCCTTTTCAAGTGCATCCTTTGGAGACGCAGGCGATGCTAAGGTCGCTTTCGATTTTCGCAGGGAAACGGTGCTCGGACGTGTAGCTGCCGTCGTCAAAAAATTTGTGTATGAGGTGTCTCTGTCTCGCGGACTTTCGGAAGCAGCTGCGAACGCTGCTGGGGGGAAAATATTTACCTTCGGTTCATACCGTCTCGGCGTTCATGGACCCGGGTCCGATATTGATACTCTTTGCGTTGTTCCTAAACATGTATCTCGCGAAGACTTTTTCGAAAAGTTTGAGCCAATGCTTAGAGAAGTGGAGGAGGCTACGGAGGTATCGGTGAGTTTGATCCAATAGTGCTTGTCTCACTGCAACAAGGACTGATGATGATAATAATTAGGGTGTGCCTGAGGCGTACGTTCCAATTGTCAAGGCCAAAATCTCAGGAATACCATTAGATTTCCTGATGGCTCGTCTGGCGCTGTCATCTATACCAGATGATTTGTCATTAAAGGATGACAATCTCTTGCGAAATCTAGACGAACGATGTGTGCGAAGTCTTGGAGGCAAGTGCAGCATTCCATATTGTTCACCGATTATCCGATATTCATATGTGCGTAGGTTCACGGGTGAATGATGAAATTCTGCGTCTGGTGCCCCATGTTGAGGTCTATCGTGATTCACTTCGATGCATCAAGCTCTGGGCCCAACGTGAGATACTACTGAATAACTTTGGGTGAGAGGCTCTGCTAATGCATCACGTCCAGGGAGAGCCATCTACTCGAACGTAAACGGGTTCTTGGGTGGTGTCGCATGGGCAATTCTCGTCGCCCGAATATGTCAATTATATCCCAATGCTACTGCGGGGGCGATTGTTAGCCGATTTTTCATTATCATGTACCAATGGTGCGCCAGCTGAAGGAAGTGCTTTCTGTGTGCGTGTATGCTATTGATTTCTAGGTCATGGCCACAACCTGTGCTGCTGAAACAAATAGAAGAAGGACCATTACAAGTTCGCGTTTGGAACCCAAAAGTATGCTTTATTCCTTATACAGCAAATCAGGCGCTTTTTCATGTACTTTCCATAGCTTTATCCTGCGGATCGATCTCATAGGATGCCTATCATCACACCCGCATATCCTGCAATGTGCTCAACTCACAATGTAACAGCGTCGACACAGATGATTGTCACCGAAGAGTTCAAGAAAGGTGAGTGTACTCCTTGTAATTCTGCCTTTTGTGGTATTCTCAAGGTCGTATAGGAGCAGACATCGTGGACAAGGTCATAGTCGGCACAGCAAGTTGGTCAGAACTTTTCCAGAAACACGACTTCTTCCACAAGTATCGATACTACCTTCAAGTTATCGCATCAACTGGTACTGCTGATCTGCAGATCAAATGGTAAGCGCTCCTTCCATAACATATTTCGCAAGTCTGCAAGTCACGTCTAGGGCAGGAACCGTCGAGTCTAGGATACGGCAATTGGTCATGAAGCTTGAATACGTCGATTCACTGATTCTCGCGCATCCATTCATCAAAGGCTTTGATCAAGTCTCACATTGTGTTACGGAAGAGGAAGTCAGACAGGTTGCACAGGCACAGATCTCAGACGTCATCGCCAAGCGAACAAGAGCTGACATTGAAGGCCACGACGGGGCGAGTACAGTGCACTCGACCACCTTCTACATTGGTCTTCTTATCGAACCCAAGCCTCGTACGTCATTGATTCCAATAACGTTTCCCCGCGGAATGTGTGCGCTCATTACATTTCTGTTTTGAAGTTGGCGCTGTGGGCCCGCGGAGGCTCGATATATCATATCCAACCACCGAGTTTACAAAGCTCGTCAAGATGTGGGAGAAGTACGACGAGGATACGATGGGAATTGTGGTGCGGAACATCAAAAGGTCGTGCAATTTGATGCGGCAAGTCATCCCTTCCGATCTCACTCATTTTACTAGTTCTGCTCTTCCCGACTACGTGTTTGATGAAGGCGAGCGACAACCAAAACAGGCGCTGAAACGCCCGAAAACAGGCAAAGTGGGTGGTTTGGGTATTTTGCTCGAGCATTACTGATCTGCATTACGATGTATGTGAAGGGATCGGGCAAGTCGAGCAATACTTCACCTGATATGCCCAACAAGAAGAGACGGTTGGTACACACTCTTTCACATGTTTTTACCATTGATCCCGCGTGGCTGCGCGCTCAGCAGATCGGAGACGACACAAGATAGCGAGAATGGTATTCCGGGCTTGTCATTCTCAAGTGCAACACTTCATGCCGAAACCAATGGCCTATATGCTCCTATCAACAGGGCTGTCAGCGAAATCAAGACACCTCAACTTCCCCTCGGTGAAAACGCTGCCGTCGCCACGGGAGCGCAATAGAAAGGTCTCATCACAGCGGTGTTGGTCCCTTGAACAAACTTCACCAAGCTCTAGCCTTGCTCCAGCTTGCTCGTTCTGGGGTTCACAGACCAGCTGTCTTGGAACTACAGCCCAGTCTTCATTGCCATGGCCATCCTTGCAGGTGTTTGGTTTATTTATCCATTTTTTCTACAGGGACCGAAGCACATGGCGAGATACATTGGGCAAACGTTCAGACCTCAACAGCGCAGTACAGTGGGATGAGTGCTTCACTTTATGTCAGTTGGCTTTTATTGTTGCATGTCCCTTCCCAGCATCCGCGCTAGTTTTCATTTTAATCACTCTTCGCCTTGGCATTCAAGTTTGGCAGCTTCGATATTTTCCTTGTATTTCAGTTAAAACCCAGAGACACAATTTTGTATCGTAACTTAGGCATGAACTATAAATTTTCCGCAACGTTAAACGTGGGATGTAAGTAAATATGTAAATGATATAAACATGAACTATCGTGAGATGAGAAGCAGCTGGCATAAATAGTCTGTTCATAAATAAAGTCATGGGATCAACGTTCATGTGCTAGAGGGTTTCTTGACGAGCCACTAATCCCATTCGCAGGTGTCCGGGAGCTTCGGCGTCGGCTGGGGTTTAAACACGGAAGATCACGTTCTATTCGCGGCGAATCTGGATCACGGACGCCCATCGCAAGTTTTGATCCCAGTGCATCAAAGTTGAGATCGGAGCCGAGCTTGAACTCGTCTGATTTCCAGAGGCGCTGATAGATGTAAGAGTCAGACTGCGAGACAGCAGAGGAGGCGGGGGATTGTGATACGAAAGGTGTGCGGAGCCAGAAGCGGAGGCGGTGGGATGCGCCGGGGGGCGTTGAGGTTACAGGTATGGCGCTGGGGGAAATTGGTGAGGTTGTGAATGGACGTTATGGAAGGGGGACGTACTAGATCATGAATGTGACGATTTGGGGTTCACAGTCTAGTCTCATGTAGCAATCTTGCAGAAGTGTTCGTCCGGCGCCTCCGGCTTCGTACTCTAGGGAGAGACTGTATAGGCCGACTTCCACGAGCTTCCACCTGCATAATTCATATTGAGTGGATTAAGATGTCAAGTTAGGGAGGGCGATATAAGGGACGAGCCTTATGATGTAGCTAACGTGCGCATGACCTACGGCACCCTGATATATCAGCATGTCTTGCGTTGCATTTCGCAATACAGCAAAGCAAGCGTCTCCAACAGATCGAAAGTCAGGGTCTCTTCCGACCCAGAGATCGTTATCGCTAAATATCCGGTGGTCAACACCTGCAGTCTTAAGCCAGACGCGCAGGTTGTACAGGCAACCAGCCGGTAAACTCGTTCGTGGAGGGAAAACGCTGGCAAGAAATAAGTCTTCTGTTGAGCTTGGCATGCCGTGACTTACAAGACAGAAAAGTCCAGCCGCCGGGGGTCTATTGATAGTCTCAGGGTGACTGGAGCACAGAGCGCTCTTTCAACATGACCAGCCTTCATTGAGAGGGACAGGGTGTAGTGGTTTGGTTGATCGGGTTCGGGTTCGACGCTTTTCCATTTCAGGTAAATCATAACGATGGGGGAAATGTGATAAGAGGACGTACAGCACGGAGAATTGCAGGGGAGCATTTCCAGCTAGTAAGTTGTAGGTGTATACCACCGTCTCTTGTGTGTCCATCTGCAAAAACGACTCTGAGAAACTGAGGGCTGGATTAGCAGCCACAAAGCCACAAGGATAGGCACACACGCACCGTGTTGAAGTAGTAGCAGATCTCGCCAGTGCGAGAGGCGGTCCCCGATATCTACTATTAATGATTGACACCGCATAGATAAACGAGACCACGAAGGATATGTACACATTGGAGCAGATCAATCAGCGATGAAAGAAGCCATGCGGAGGCACAAAGTTACACTTTGCTTCCCACAGGGGGTTCGTAAACGGGGAGGAAAGCCTCTTCATCCTCCCCTCGGACAGTAGTACTGACGCTATCTTGTCGGATCACTGACCAGAGGTTTGTACGGAGATTTGCGGCCATGCTTGAAATGCAAGGATGATTATCACGTCCGTATGGAAACTGATAGAAGTAGGTTAGAGCGAGCGGCCCTTGGCGGCGAATAGGACACGTTGAGGGATATCAGCGCTTCAGCAAGGATGTACGGCCTGGATGAGCATTCTACGATAGAATCAGCGCACAGGTTTGAACAGCCTACATCAAGCCTACGTTATATTTGGTTCAGATTGCACCTGATGACAGTCCGTGATCATGATGCAATGATCAGCTGCTAATTTAATTCAAGAATGAAATTTTCTCAGAAAGGAAAGTCATACTTTTGATGCTCATCCGACGTTGTCCATGGCGCTCTATCCAGCTGCACCAGCTCTGGCGTCTACGGCAAATCCATACTCGCGAAGAGATACATGACAAGCGTTGGCCTGGCTGGCAAGTAGTTGTAGGTATTGAAGTCCATGCCCAGATCAAGTCTCGCCGCAAGCTCTTCTCGGGTGCGCAGTGTGTCCCTCCCGTTCAGTGACCACGTTCTCACATAATCCAACATGCCCAGACTCATTCACATCTCGACCGGGCGAGACACCTAATACCAATGTGTCTGCGTTTGATTCCGCGTTCCCTGGAACACTGCCGGTTGGCCTACCTCACCCGTTCTCCCCGCGTGCAACCTGACCTCGCGTTTCAGACATTGAACCCAAAATGCGTGGAGTTAGCGGTCCGAACGGCGTTAGCACTGAACTCGAAAGTTCAATACCATTCGGCGTTCGACAGGAAACACTACTTTTACCCTGACCTCCCGGCAGGATATCAAATAACTCAGCGTTACTGTAAGTTCAACTCACAATTCCGTAGAGTGTAAGCACCGACAACCTCTTCTTCTCATAAGCTCCGCTTGCTTCGGGGGGCTATATAAAACTCTCCAAAGGCGATGTTGCAGTGGGAATCACGCAGATTCAACTTGAACAGGTAAGACGGACGGAGTTTTGTATGTGAACCGAAGCCGAAATACACACAGGATACGGCGAAATCCACATTTGATGGGCTTCGACGTACATCACTTATTGACCTAAATCGAGCTGGCTCAGGGTTGATGGAGATAGTTTCAGAGCCTGATATGCGGTGAATTACTTTGATCTACATCATTCTCTTGTGGAAACTTAGTCCTGATATGTAGATCCCCCGAAGAGGCCGCAGATTATGTTCGGACATTGCAGGCCGTCCTTCGCTGTGTTGGCTCAAGTGATGGAAATATGGAGCAAGTAGGGGCATCTGTCTCCTGTTAATATGATTCACTCTTAATTTGATCTGTTGCAGGGCTCCTTCCGCTGCGATGTGAATGTATCTGTCAACAAACATGGACAGCCGCACGGCACTCGTTGCGAGGTTAAAAACCTCAACAGCGTGAAGTTCATGATGATGGCGATCAGTTAGTAAACTGTTTGCGCAGCCATTCTGAATTGCCGCTAATGTTCGAACAGCTTCAGAGGTCTTTCGTCATATCGAGCTACTCGAAAGTGGCCGCCCTGTGCCGCAGGACACTAGAGGATTTGATGAAAACAAAGCCGAAACTTTCAAGCTCAGAAGCAAGGAAGATTCCCCTGATTATAGATACATGCCGGATCCGAATATCCCTCCATTGCTGATATCCGAGGTAACAGCCTGCTTGTAATTCTGCTCATGTCACCTCAAACTCCGTATAGGAGTACATTGAGACGATCCGCAAGACCATGCCGGACCTCCCTGATGCAACTCGTGCCCGTTTACTTAATCTTGGCTTATCTGAGCGTGATACAGACGTACTCATGACCGTCGACTCTGGCCGCGAGGTTGGATTTGATGGCGAACTCGGAAAGGGCGCTGTGACTTACTTTGACTCCCTCGCCGAACAGAGGGATCCGAGAGTCGTTGTCAACTGGTTTGTCTGGTTTTCCCCTGGTTGGAGAAGTTGTATGCATATATATTTGCACCCAGGATGACGCACGAGCTTCTTGGGCAGTTGACTGCTCGGAAAGAGACCTTCAGCGATAATCCCGTATCTGTCGAGCAACTAGGCGAACTCATCGACCTGGTGCAGGATGGCAAAATTACTGGTAGGCCTTCTCATTTTGTTCGGCTTCATATTTATAAGTCACTACCAGGGACTTCGGGGAAATCGATATTGAAGCATATCATCGCCAATCGGTCTTCCTCAGCTCCCTCTGTGATCGCACAGGAACTTTCTCTTGAAGCTGTATCAGAAGATGATAACTCCACCACTCGAGCATGGTGTGTCGAAGCCATTGAAGCGCTTCCTGGAGAGGCGGAAGTAGTGCGCCAAGGCAATCCTCGAGTTCTCAACAAGCTCGTGGGTAAAGTCATGCAGCTCAGCCGCGGACGTGCGAATGCACAAAATGCACGTGCCGTGCTAGCGGATATTTTGCGAAGATAGCTTCTGAAGTTCTCTGTAAATCACATCAAATGATGCACAACTTCTCGAGTGATTCTTCGTCGCTCGGCGCAATGCAGCAGGTTCAAGGGATTAGCCGGTTCTACGAAAACAACCAGACTAGCACTATATAGTTGCTAGCTGCCTCCTCCAGAATCACACCAAGATATGTAGCATAAACAGTGACTAGTAACAAATATTACTTCCGCGTCTGGAGAATCACGTGATGTAGATATCATCAAGGCACGCGGCGCGGTGCGCTCGCTGTTTGTCCCGTCAACGTTTCAACTTCCAGAGGTGGCTTGACGCCGCTCTCCTCATTTGCCATCTGTACTGTCAGCTGTATTGTAAACTGCAGGGAGCGCAACCAGAGTCATGGGTAAGTCCTTTACTCACAGTCAAATGTCTACTTGACTCTGTCTTGTAGACACCACTGTGGCAAAGCAGCTCGTGGACAAGATTTATGAGAAGAGAAAGGCAGCCGCTCTCGAATTAGAGAAGTAGTTATGATCGCTCGCAGTTCATAATAATGTGTTGACCGTTCTCTCAGGCAGATTCGGGAATGCCACCAGCAAAGTGACCAACGTCGTATAACCCAGATCATTGAACAGCTTGTGGATATGTTCAGCAATCCGTCAAATCCCCTTCACATCAGGAATGGGGGGCTTATTGGCCTCGCTGGTACAGCCATTGCCCTCGGCGTGGACGTCGCCCCGTACATGGAGAAATTCATTGAACCTGTGCTGGCATGCTTTACCGATCCAGAAAACAGGATACGATATTTCTCCGCCGAATGTCTGTACAACATCGCCAAGGTGTCCAAGGGCGAAGTTCTTGTTTATTTCAACCCTATATTCGACGCCCTCAGTAAAGTGCGATAGCTCCTCGTCAAGTTTTGCATTTCGACTGAGCCGAACTTCTCAGCTAGCTGCTGATTCAGAGCTATCGGTCAAGAATGGGGCAGAGCTGCTTGATCGACTTCTGAAGGATATCGTGGCAGAGACAGCTTCAGTGTATATTCCGCAGTATCCAGAGACGGAGAGGATTCGTGACCAATTCGATTCTGAGGAGCAGAGTATCCTTGTCGCTTACCCCGATGACCGATCCCTAGGAGAAAATGTACCTGTTCAGAAGAAGGCTTTCTCCCTTGCGCGCTTCATTCCACTTCTGCAAGACAGGATATATGTTCTTAGCCCATTCACGAGGAGCTACCTGGTATCATGGATAACGGTGCTCGACTCAGTCCCAGAGCTCGAACTTATAACATACCTCCCAGAGTTCCTAGATGGCCTCCTGTGAGTTTGAAAGGTTTGTGGTCGAAGTTCCTCGCTGATGCACGTCCAGGAAGTACATGTCAGACCCCACCGAGGATGTGCGCGTAGCCACAGAAAACATTCTTGCCGATTTCCTACGTGAAATCAGAGACGTCAGTATGGTTCGTCAACGCAAAGAAGAACACGCGGAGTCCTCCTTTCTACGACGCTCAGAAGAGAAGCTTCCTGATATCACGATGTCTCACTCTGAACGCGCACTTTTCATCCCTGAGAGTGACTTTGGCCACGATCATGATGGAGAGTACAGTTTGAAGGACGAACATAAATCAGAAGACTACCGTAGCACCGGAGGTAGGCATTCATCCAGCGAGTTCGTTGAAACTACTCACTCTCCGTGCAGCGTTGATTCCTGGGCAAGGTGTGCGGATAGACTATGCAGCTATCATAGAAATTCTCATACAACAACTTGACAATCAACGTGAGCTGTTTTCGTCCAAGCTAACACTACATCGTTCTTATCCTTGCGTGCGCAGACGACGAAATTCAACAATCTACAGCCCTTCGTTGGCTTGCCGAGTTCTTGACCTTTGTGCCCGATGTTATGGTACCTTTCACACCCCGTCTTATTCCTGCCATACTCCCGAATCTAGCACACCATGTCCCGATGATCCAGTCGGCTGCCCTCCGGACTAACAAGCTACTTTCGAACGTCATCCAAAACCTCCCCGGGCCAGTGGAGGGCCCTTCCCGACAGAACACAGCGGACAAGTCAATTGCGGTAACAACTTCCCCAACCCAAATTCCCCAACCTTCACGGCCAACAACTGTTCAAACAACTGTACAGCCGCCGTCCAGGGAAGCCTCGTCTCCCGAGTCAATGGGCGATAATCAGCCATCGTCTTCATCCACCGTGACTCAGCGTCCTCGCTCAGGGACAATGCAAACCACTGTCACGGAATCTTCGAGCAGACCTCATTCACGCATGTCATCAAATAGTGTACCGGGTGCTCCGCCGCCGCTGCCACCACCACCACCGCCTGCTCCTGCTCCAACCCCTCCTTCGCCGGTGCAAGAGGAAGCAGACCAGTTTAATTATCAGGCGACAGTGAATGAACTGACGGTACAGTTTTTGAGCGAGCATGAGCAAACAAGGGTTGCTGCACTGAAGTGGCTCATAATGCTGCACCAGAAAGCGCCGAAGAAGGTACGCTTGAATCCATCAGGAGGATGTGCAAACTGAGGATATTATTAGATTCTTGCCATGGATGATGGTACTTTCCCGGCGTTGCTGAAGACTTTGTCGGATTCGTCCGAAGAGGTACTCAAATGTTTATCGATTTGCATCGTGTGACTCATTCTTTCGTTAGGTTATCAAGCATGACCTGCAGCTTCTCGCGCAAATATCATCTTCCTCGGAAGAGAGCTACTTCAAGGTCTTCATGATGAACCTTCTCGAGCTCTTCAGCACAGATAGGAAGCTCCTTGAGGCCCGCGGCAGTCTTATCATTCGCCAGCTATGTCTCAATCTCAATACGGAGAGGATATATAAGACGTTTGCGGAGATTCTAGAGAAAGAAGAGGTTGGTGGTTCTTTGGTGGTTCCTTGGTGTGATGTTAACTGACTGGTATTATACAGGATCTGGAGTTTGCAAGTGAGATCGTGCAGAAGCTGAATATGATCTTGATCACTTCGCCTGAATTGGCGGAGTTCCGAAAACGGCTGAAGAGCCTTGAGACAAGGGTTGGTTGGTCTCATCCTTGTTTGATGCCTTGACTGATGAATATCATGTGCAGCAAGATGGCCAGGCACTGTTTACCACGCTCTACAGGTCATGGTGCCATAATGCGGTTGCAGTGTTTTCGTTGTGCCTGCTTGCGCAGGCTTACGAGCATGCATCAAATTTGTTATCTATCTTGTGAGTTTGGGTTACATGATGCGTTTGATCGTTGCTGACGATGTTACACCAGCGCTGATTTGGAGATCACCGTTCCACTCCTTGTCCAGGTTGACAAATTGGTGCAGCTGATCGAATCTCCCGTGTTCACCTGTGAGTTCTTTGTCAATGAGATGAATCAGGGGCTGAATGTTCCGGAAGACCTGCGCCTTCAACTCCTCGAACCCGAGCGTTACCCCTACTTGTTCAAGTGCCTGTACGGGTTGCTCATGCTGCTCCCACAATCCACCGCTTTCGTTTCACTCCGTAACCGTCTCAACGCAGTCAACTCTGCCGGCTTCCTCCACATTGCCCCAAAATCGTAAGTTTACGCACTTCTCCTGTCATCATGAGCTAATGATAACAAATTCTAGAACACCTAACCCCATCGCCTCACGCTCCAAGCTTGGCCGCGATGAGATAAAATGGCAAGAACTTCTCAATCATTTCCGCGCTTTGCAAAGCAAACACGAGAAAGCGCGACGTCAGGATCTTGGGAATTCATCATCTCAAGATGATATCACCATTGCACCGCTCTCACCGCCTGCATCGGCTAAACCCCCGATGCGGCGGCGAGTGACAGGTGACCTCCCAATGCCGATTATCCCGCCGAAGCCTGCACTGAGCCCGCTGAATCCAAAGGCGAGGCAGAATGGGCTGCTGGCGAGCACGTTGCAGGGTGCGACGACGCCGGGGGTAATGCAGCAGAGAACGAGGCGGACTCTGGGCTTACCTGTAGTGGGACCCAGGAAGGGGTGATTAGGTTTACATGCTTTGATTGGTTCGGTTTGCAGTGGACATTCAGTACGTGCTTATATGCACGTGATACTCTAATGATGGATACTCAACAATGATGGATAACATGATGGGGCAGTGGTGACGAGCACAAGCCATATGATGCGACGTAAGTGACAAGCGTGTGTGTGTGAGAGAAAGACAGAGATCATGATATCTACATCCGAGACTTTGTTGGGACGACAAGGTTTGAACGGATGGTTTGCAGGTCTTCGTCTGTTAGCCCGGTATAGGTCTTGACATACGTCTCTACGCCGCCAAACTTCTCTTCCAAGAGATTGAAGAAGGCTCGCATGGTCTCGTATCTTAAGAAAGGCGTTGAGGATCAGTATTGGAGAAATTGGATTTCGCATACCGAGATGTAAGCATGCGCATTGCAGCTTCAGAATTGGCAGCGAACAAAGGCTCTTTCGAGAGTCTTTCTAGGACCTTGGCGCGGTCTGGTTCGCGCCCGACTCGTGTGAGGGAGTAATCTTGTGAGATGAAGTGGTTGTCTACGCCTGCTAGCTGTAAGGATTGAGTTGTGATGTCGAGGGGACTAAGGGCAGTGCTTTACCTTGAGAAGGATGGCAGCGATAATTCCTGTCCGATCTTTTCCCGCTGATAGAAAATGAGAAACTACCAAGAAGATGAAAAAAGAAGGATGAACGAACCCGTGCAGTGAAAGATGAAAGGAGAGTTTGGTTTGTCCCGGACATGACGTAGAATGGTACCGAATGCGGGCCCGCCGTGTTCTAGTATTTGGGAGTATAGGATCATGAAAGCCTGCAGGAGTTCGATCGTATGATAGAATATTTGATCAAGCCGCATACCTCTGTTGTTCCAGTTGCATAGAGCTCAAACCTCCTTCAGAATGGTCAGTGATAACTGGAGTGGCACGGTGGCAGCACGTACGCACTTGGCGAGCTTTTCTGGACTGTAATCCTCGCTCTTGAACACGGGCGTGGGGATGACCTCTACGTCCTCGATGGTAGGTATTGGAGAGCTATACTTCTTCATCTCCGGATCTGATCGTAGATCAAAGACAGTCAAGATTCCGAGCGAGGCCATTTTCCGTGCGCCTTGGGTTGGAATGAGTTAACGTATATCAAGAAGAATTGGAATTGGAGAATCGACCTTCTTCGGTGATGCTGGAGAGCTCTGCTGAGCGATAGGCAAAACCGGGCTTTGTGACTACGTCTGGAGTTGCGGTAGGATACGAGCCTAGATCGCGGACGTTGCATACGCCCGGGATCTGAACGAAAGGAGGTCTGGAAAGTACATCTGCCACGTATGCGGGATCGAGAGGCTCTAGACCGGAGTCGGCGGCAGTCATCGGTAACGAGATGGGGGGTTGGTTTGAAGGAGTCAGGACAGACGATTTTGACAGAAATATTCGCAAATGCATCCGTTCAAGTGCTAATTTTGCATCATAACTGATTATATATGACGAAAACCCCTATTTACCTGCACGACAACCAGCAGACAAAGCTAGGACATAGAACACTGAATTTTGCATTTCTCGTTGACAGAGCTGACATTGCAGTGGCCCAGAATGCGTCGTGCGTCGCACTACGCGAGACCATTAATTAGTTGAGGCATTGTAAGCGTGACTTTTCATCACGTGTTCTTGTCATAGATGTGACATGTCACGCTTGAGGGCAGGCTGACTCGTGTTTGATTTCTCTACGCGTCGCGATCAAAGTACTTATACTTGTTTCTACCAACTTTCGATCTCTGGTTACAATTTTCTTCAATTTCTGTAGATATGGATATCGACGAGCCATCCTCGCCGCCAGCACCCAGGTCGTCGTTGCCACCAAGCAGCGCTCCCATGGCCACCATGTCTTCTTCTAATGGAACACCCAGATCTACAGGCAGGAGACCAACGTCTGATGCACTTGCATTTAACGACGACGAAGCTCAGGAGGCGGAGGAAGACGGTGCCACTGCGAGACGGAGAAGGCGACCCAGAAATCAGCAAAACGGTGATGTCCCACTCGTTCGAGATGCTGTCGGCGAGAGCGTGTCTGAGAGCTTTGAGACTTTCTTAAAGACGTAGGTTACATCGGTATATATCTTGTGTGTTCTGATCTGTTTCTGCAGGTTCACTGAGGAGGTCGCACTGGCCTCAACACCTGCATCCGATGGCGACCTTCCAGAGGTCATCGAGGGCGAATTGATCTACATCCAGCAAATCCACACTATGCGCGAATACGAAATAACCACCCTCTATGTCGACTTTACCCACCTCCTACAAAAAGATGACGTTCTTGCAGACGCGATTCAGAAGCAGTATTACCGTTTCCTTCCCTACCTCCGTCGCGCCCTGCACAATCTCGTCGCAGAGTATGAGCCCGAGTACCTCAAGATCAATCCCACCGCTGCTACAACCGACTCTGCAAACCTTCAGTCACGAGAATTCAACATCGCATTCTATCATCTACCTCTAGTGTCTGGCATCCGTGATCTAAGAACCGACAAGATAGGCACCCTGATGAGCATCAGCGGCACTGTCACTCGCACTAGCGAAGTGAGGCCTGAACTTCTTTACGGTAGTTTCATCTGTGAAGTCTGCGGTGGTCTTGTCAACGAAATAGAGCAGCAATTTAAATACACCGAGGTAACGTTGTATTCAACAAAGATACATGGGTGTATGCGCTTATATACGTCCAGCCAAGTCTCTGTCCTAATCCTACGTGTGGAAACCGCGTCGCATGGCAGCTTCAAATCGACACCTCCAAATTTACGGACTGGCAAAAGGTCCGCATACAGGAAAATCCATCCGAAATACCCACTGGATCCATGCCTAGATCTCTGGACGTCATTCTTCGTTCTGAACTTGTCGAACGTGCCAAGGCAGGAGATAAATGTGTTTTCACTGGAACCTTTATTGTTGTCCCGGATGTTAGCCAGCTTGGACTGCCAGGTGGAAACAAAGCGGAGCTAATGCGTGAAGCGAGCAAGAGCGGCGCCAACACTGCAACAGGCGGTGTGGGTGGAAGTGGTGTTACAGGTCTCAAGAGCCTCGGCGTGCGAGACTTGCAGTACAAGACTGCATTCCTAGCATGCATGGTGCACGATGCTGATGGCAGGGTATGTATATATTCCTGTGTTCAAGTTAAAGAATCTTAATTTTCCCTTTAGGGTGGCACTAATGTTCGTGGAGAAGAAGAGGAGGGCGAGGAGGATGGACAGGCATTCCTACGTTCTCTGACCGAGCCCGAATTTGATGAGCTCAAGAGCATGATCGACTCGGATCACATATACTCCCGGCTGGTGGAGAGTATTGCGCCCACCGTATACGGACACGAAATCGTCAAAAAAGGCCTTCTTCTGCAGCTCATGGGCGGCGTTCACAAGCAAACAGCCGAGGGCATGCACCTCCGCGGAGACATTAACATCTGCATTGTCGGCGATCCTTCTACGTCGAAATCGCAATTCTTGAAGTGCGTTTCAGCCATTGATATAACAAAAATCACTGTTAATATCCCAACAGATATATTTGCTCTTTTCTCCCGCGAGCAGTCTATACATCCGGCAAAGCCTCATCAGCAGCAGGTTTGACAGCCGCCGTTGTTAAAGATGAAGAAACTGGCGACTTCACGATCGAAGCTGGTGCGCTCATGCTCGCCGACAATGGCATTTGCGCCATCGATGAATTCGACAAGATGGACATTTCCGATCAAGTTGCTATTCATGAAGCGATGGAACAGCAGACGATCTCCATTGCAAAAGCGGGCATCCACGCAACGCTCAATGCGCGCACGAGTATCCTCGCGGCAGCTAACCCTATTGGTGGACGCTACGATCGCAAGCGGACGCTAAGAGCTAACGTCGCTATGAGCGCCCCGATTATGAGCAGGTTCGATCTTTTCTTTGTTGTACTCGATGAGTGCGATGAGAAGACGGACTTGAACATTGCAAAGCATATCGTGAATGTGCATCGATTCCAGGATGAGGCTATTAACCCGGAGTTCAGCACGGAGGCTCTGCAGCGGTACATCCGATACGCCAGGACGTTTAATCCCAAGGTAGGACCAAATATGAAGTCTGTTGTATATTGCTAACCTTTTGTGCAGCTGACTCCAGAGGCTGCCGATATCCTCGTAGAGAAGTACCGCATCCTCCGACAGGATGACGCAACAGGAGCAGGGCGTCATTCCTACAGGATCACTGTTCGTCAACTCGAGTCCATGATCCGCCTGAGCGAAGCTATCGCTCGTGCTAATTGCACAGCAGAGATCACGCCTGTCTTCGTGCGAGAAGCATATACTCTTCTGCGGCAGAGTATCATCCACGTCGAACAAGACGATATCGATTTCGATGAGGAAGAGCTTGAGGGCGAGCGGGAGGCACGGAACGCACCTGCGAACGAGACCTCGGATGCGGTGGAAGAGAGCCAAGACATCGAGATGAGCGCAGCGGAGATGGACGCAATGGACCAGATGGAGGAAGAAAGCTCTTTGGGTATGGGCTTGAACCGCACCGCTACGAGCAGTGGTGCTGGACCATCATCAACGTCTCGCGCAGGCAGCATGGTGCCAGATGTTGCACCACCGCCTGCCCCTGCCGCAAAGAGAAGGATGATCATAACGCACGACAAATACATGACGCTGCAGAGCCTTGTAGTTCTGCATCTGTCTGCAGTTGAGCGTGAGACTGGGCGGGGTGTCGACCGTGATGAACTGATTGATTGGTATTTGGAGCTGAAGGAGGCGGAGATTCAAGATGTTGATGAGCTGGAATATGAGAAGGAGCTCATCTCGAAGCTTCTGAGGAAGTTGGTGAAGGTAAGAAAATCTCGTGCGGTTTTGTCTCGTCATCTATGCTCATGACTTGATAGGACAACTACCTCATTGAAGTGCGTGGTGATGTTCAAGACTCATTGCCAGAGTCGACGACGGATGGGTCTGCGCCGGCTCAGCCGTCCAGCACACAAGATGGGGAAAATGTGAGAGTGTATTATATGGTGCATCCGTCGGTGGATACGGAGGGCACGTCGTCTGTGGCATGATTTTGTTGCCATTTTTTCGACCGTCACATCTGTCGCATACGTAGCCCACCTTGTTGTCTTGCTTGTTGTATTCATTACATTTTCCTCATCGATCTTAGCCCCTAGGCAGAGCTTCGCCAAAGCATCAATGCTGACTAAGTAAAAAGAGACATTGTGTTGAGCTTTCACTAAGAACTTGTCTTTCACTCAATCTTAGTTTGACTGTAACGATGATTGCAATTGGTGCTGCTCATCGCATTATCATACATTGTCCTATCAAGACACGGTCACTACACCCCCCGCGCATTATAATAGTATTTCCCTCATGGCCATGCCAGAATGGATATCTTGTTCCCATGACCTGTTGTCCCAGTACTTGAAGCTTTGAAGCTCCGGAATCCGTCACGACAGGCAGGACTAGACTAAGTGATACGAGCTCAGGCGTTGTAACATACTTAACCGGCTTCCACTGGCCATCGTCGGGCGATCGAACTGGATGAAGTGATTGACACGATCATAAAATATCTGGACTGTCATGGCGGATGTCTCACTCATAGTACCCGTCCTGTTGGCTAACGGATCTCTTCACCACCTCAGCGTATCATCCAAGGCACTTGCCCAGGACCTTATCGGGGTACTTACCGTTCAGGAGGAAGTGATATCTGGCATCCTCGGTGAGTTCCAGGATACTGGCTGGGCCCTGCAGCACGTTCGTAGCCAACCGAAGGGTCGTAAATGGGAAGAGGCAGAACTCGAAGCTCTTGGGGATGGTGAGTAATCCCGCGCACAGTGCCTTGCTTGGTTTTGGAACTTACTACTTCGTCCTCATGACTCAGGCATCATCGACCCGTCGACTCCCATAGCTCCTTTGCTGGAAAAATCAGACGATCTAGCGATAAATGCGTCTCAGAGACACTTCTCCACGTTTCCTCTGACATCCCATTTGCATTCCCCAGCACTACGCTTGGTTTCGCTACACGCGGCTCTGTCATTGTCTCTCTCATTTATGCGCGTGCCCGAGATTCATGACGGGTTTATTTGGACGGTGTATTATGCTCGGAGTTCAATTGTAGAGGATGTCATTCGTTCTGTGGTTGAGGACTTGGGCCTTGCTAAGAGTTTACCAATGGCCGGAGGGGGTAGCATTGAGTACGTCATTGAGGAAGGCGGTGAGAGTGATGTGTTGTTTTGCAGTGTAATGCTCACTCATCATATCATATGCCTCCTTCCTAGCTTCGAGGATGTCATCTTCATTGGTATTATCTGACCTTGTCCAGGCATCCTCGGCGAATTCCCACCAGAAGCCTATATGGCGGTTCTGCGTACCAGAGGAATGGTATCTTCGCCCGCAAGCTCTTTCACCATCCTCCATGCAGCCTTCCGAAGACACCTTGAAGCGTTTTGAGGAGATGCAAGTAGAAGAGGATGATGTACAGGGTACCGCAAAGCAGAAGAAGTCTACTCTCGATGCCTTGACGGTGGATCCTGGCACCACACGACCAGCTTCTCCAGATTGGCGTGGTTCAATCACGAGTATGTTTGCGTGGCAGCAGTCGACACCTCCTGCCTCGCCACCGTCGTCCAAGAAACGCAAGAGCGTGAGCGATCCGGTCCTCGTCCAGCAACATACTGGTGCAAGCATTACGTCGGTATCGCAATTAAGTATTCCAGAAGAAGAAATACTGGAGATAGATCGAGCCGAGTTCGAACGTTGCCTCGTAAGCCTGCACCTCTCTGTCTATAACCACGGCTTCATTTCATTGATAGGATCACATGGCATTGAAAGGAGACGCAAGAGACAAGATGCACCTATTACCGGCTGCTAAGAAATGGCAGATTATGGAACAAGAACGGGCTTTCCATCCGACTCTCGACGGGAAGACTCCTCGACTATCTCAGTCTACACAAGCCACACTGGGAGCTTCTGGCGGGGGAGCTTTCCTCCCTCGTTTGGTTCCCCAGCTAACGGGCGACTCAGGAATACTGAAGCGATTCTCCATGGCGACTTGGGGCACAAGCACCGCTGCACCACAAGTCTTATCTCCCGATCCCAACCGATCTAGCGGCGAATCTGACAAAGTCGCGGAGACGATGCAACCCCTGCAATCACAGACTACTGGCAGTATGTTCGGCAACTGGTGGACGTCTTCAGGTGGAGAGAAGAGCATAGAAACAGAGAGTGCGATATCTGCGAAGCGATATGTGGACGGCTTGCGCAGAATGAAGACGGATTCTCGGCTCGTCAAACATCTCATTTCCCTCCGAGTACATCTATCTACTACAAAGTTACCGTGGATCGAGGATTTTGTTGCGGAAGATGGGATGAACGCAATGGGTGGCGCGCTCGCAGTGCTCGTCGGCAAGGGCGGGAAGAGGAGGGTCCTAGCGGACATGGAAAGCACAGTACTACTGGAGATTATCAAGTGCCTCAGGGTACTCCTCAATACTCAGGTAAACGTGATCTTTGTTCGACTAGGCTTCATACCTGATCCGTTTTTAGGCCGGATTTGACAGCGTTTTGTCGTCTTCTACAATCATTACTCATATAGCGTATTCCCTTTACGCCGCCTCTCTAAAGACACGGACGCTTTCTGCAGAACTTCTTGCCGCGATCTGTGTAGTTTCGCTCAACCAGGGTCACAAGGCCGTTATGGCGGCATTGTCAGAATACCGCATCGCCTATGATGAACTGTACCGCTTCGAGTCTCTGGTCGCTGCTTTGCGTATATCAGATGGCCAGAGTAATGACGCTGCAGCCAACGGCGCCTCCTTACCTGATGAGGATGGTATATGGGAGGCACGAACTGCTTTCATGGCCCTCATCAATGCGCTCACAAACTGTCCTGAGTCCCTGGAAGACCGCATTTTGTTGCGTGAAGAGTTTGGGCGGCGAGGCTTGAATGAAGCCATAGTGGTAAGAAATGATCTGCCTCGTCATCGTACCGCTTTGTATGAAACTGAATCCATTGTCTAGACTCTCCGCTATACGAAACCGCCGGACTCTTTACTGACTCAACTGGATCTTTACATGGAGGAGAAGTACGAGGATGAAGAAGATCTTCGAGAGCAAACGCGAAAAGCTGTGTGGGGCGGTGGGGGTCGCGGACGGGAGCGCTCTGAATCAGATATCTTTCTGGATGATCTTCTACAAAGTGCGAGCGACGTGGAGCTCGGATTTATATTAATGAGTATCTTGCGCCGCTTGTCTTCTATCGTGAAGAGTGACGCTGAGTTGTAAGTCCTCTTTCAGAAAGTTAATAACATGACTTGACGGGCGTGACAGGAACCTCAAAGTTGATCAACTAGCTATAGTGGATACGTTTTTGGATCAGATCTCTACTGCAGATGATGTGTAAGCGTTGGTTCGTGGCGTGTCTTGAAGCACACTTACTCTCCATATAGTGGCTTGGGCTGGATCCCTCTGATTACGAGGTTTCTTGATGCAGTACGGCCCATTACTGGCCAAGGTATAAGCATAGATGCCGTCGATGGTAGGGCATCATCGAAGATGAAGCACGAGCTGGAAAGTCTTCGCGTCCAAATAGATGATCTAATTCAGGAGGTGTGTGCATCCAAACTCAGTTTTGTTAATGATTTCACATATACGACGAAGAACTCGGCACTCAAGACAAGGCTTGAACAACGCGCAGGATCAAATCAGCAGAAGCCGAGTTCTCCTAGCAAAGGAGGAAATGAGGTGCGATCACTGTCATATCAGCTGTCATAGTCAAACTGATTTTGCGACAGAACAGACTTGTTCAACGGCTGATGCAGAAGGAGAAGGAAGTTACTCAACTACAGGCGGAACTTGACCGCTTGAATTCTCAAATTTCGAACAACGCGCACGATGCTGTAGGTTATTTAAACTCACTTCGATGAACAGCTGTTCACAAATCTTATTCAGGAGGAGCAAGCAAGGAAAGAACGCGAAAGGGCAAGGTTTCACTCCCTCCACGAAGAAATGAACAAAATGCAGCTTCAGGTATGTCATCTGTCCATAACCTATAAGTTGTGCGCCTGACTCTGAATCCCAGTTGGGTAAAATGAGTGACACTCTTTCCGCTAAAGACAAGGAGGTTTTATACCTTAAACGCGCTCTTGAATCAGTGTACTCACGCTTTCAAACGAGGGAAGAGGAAAGAGCTTCGGACATGGACGCTCAGCTCATTGCGAGCCGCACCATCGAGAATCTTGCCAAGCGAGATAACGAACTCACAGCACTGAAGGCGGAGGTTTCAGGCCTCAAGCAGTTATTAGCTACGAAATCAACACCTATGTCAGAAATAGAGTTCAAATCTCGGAATGCGCCCCCTCCACCTCCACCGCAAGGTTTAAAGTATAGAGCGATTCTACGAACGCCCGAAGAAACAGATGTCAGTGCAGTATCGAATGCGACCGGCGTCCCTCCGCCGCCGCCGCCGCCGCCTCCACCTCCACCTCCGTGGACTGTTCCACAGCGCAAAGAGTCCCCTCCTATGGAGTCCAAGGACGTCAATCAGGCTACCTTTCCCTCTCCTGCTCCTGCTCTTCCTGCTCCTGCTCCTCCTGCTCCTCCTGCTCCTCCTCCTCCACCACCACCGCCTCCGCCGCCTCCTCCCCCATCATTTACTTCTTCAGGTTCTGCACTTTCGTCACCTCCACCACCTCCACCACCGCCTCCACCCCCGCCGCCTCTCCCGCTCAACGATTCACTAGCTCAGTTGCCACCAGGACCCCCCGGAACTCCACTTCCACCCCCACCCCCACCGAATGGATCTGCAATCAGGATAGGAAATAAAGCCAAGGCCACCGGACCAAGATTGAAGCCATTCTTCTGGACAAAAATCAATAATCAGAACTGCGGCACCACAGTCTGGGCGGAATCGTCGATATCACTGGATTTCAAGCTAGATGACCTTGAAGCGACGTTCACAATAGATAATACACCGAACTCACCTCCCAAAACCGCAAATCCCACCCGGAAACAAAGTGTTACGACCCTTCTGGATATTACTCGCGCTAATAATATCGGTTTGTTCATCGAAATCGTCGCAAGGCAATTGACAAATTACGTTCTCTAGCTATCATGCTCTCGCGGTTTAAAATGACCTCTCCTGAAATACGTCAAGCTCTGCTAAATCTCGATGACAAACTGTCCATCGATAACTTGAAAGCCATCAGCAAGCAGCTACCATCTCCGGAAGAGGTCCGTTATTACTGACTGCCTTCTCGCTCTACTCCAACCTCTTAAATGTCCTTGATAAGATCGCTCGTATAAAGGATTTCGGAGATGTAAGCAAGCTAGCGACGGCTGATCAATATCTGAGTGTCGTAAGTGCTGTTCGCGACTCCTTGGTTTGCAATTCAAGTCAGTCTGTTAGATTATGACGATTCCGAGACTTCCGCAGCGGCTAGAGTGCACGATATATCGTCAGAAGCTCGAACTCGAGATCGAGGAAATTCGTCCGGATCTGAAAACCGTTCATGATGCTTGTAAAGAATTACGAGCATCTGCACGTTTCAAGTCGACATTACAGGTGCGCTCGGTACCGCATCTGCGATTCAGAGCCAATGACGAGGATTGTAGGCTGTTCTCACAGTTGGGAACGCATTAAATGGGTCCAGCTTTCGTGGAGGTGCCCGTGGGTTTCGTCTGGAGGCGCTCATGAAGGTAAGTTCGCAACACTTTCTTGACGACATCCGGTCGATGTGCATTGTGTTACAGATGAAAGAAACAAGGACGGCGAAGGGTAGCTCAGAGTGCCCCACTCTCCTGCACTATGTTGCACGAGTTATTATTCGTACCGATCCATCACTTGCACTTTTCATCGATGAAATGCCTAGTGTGGAATCAGCTGCCCGCAGTAAGTGGCCATTTCGTCCAACATTTTTGTGACCACTCTTATGCCGTCCCTCTTAGTCTCCTTCCCAACGTTACAACAGAATGTCCAGTCTTTACTCACGTCGCTGGATAAGGTCAAGGAAGAAATCAGTCTGCTAAAGCAGATTCGCATACCCTCCGATAACGACCAGTTTGTGACAATCATGCAGGTGAATGTTGATTATTCTCAAAGGAGCTCGCGGTTTGATGCCCGAGAAACGTCAGCCATTTTCTCTTGAAGTAGCGCAAAGCGTCGACGCGCTTGATAAGATGGCTGTCCTCGTTGGAACAGACTTACGAGCTCTCTTCTCTTACTATGGTGAAGACCTGGATTCGCCAGAGGGACCAAAGCCAGACGACTTCTTTGGGATGATTTGCTCCTTTTCATCATCTTTACAGGTACGCATCTTTGTAGCCCACTGGGAAGTTATTACTTCAAATTTTTTGGTCAGAAAGCCGCTTTGGAAATACACGATAAGGCACAGAAGAAGGCCCCTGACTTAGCTCAGGGGAAGATGACGTCTACAACACGAACTAACTCCGAAGAGGTAAGAGGACCCACGTCATCCAGCTCTGCATTTCCGCGGTTCATCGCCACACAGACCGTCAAGGCACAAAGTGATCACTCACACAACCTCACTGTCGGCACCCACGAACGTTCGGCATCTATTGGTCGTGGTGACCTCGATGAAGCCATCCGCACTTTACGAGAAGGTCGTCGGAAATCTCGAGCTACTCCCAAGGCAAGCAAGATATTCCTTGATGGACGACTTGACCAAGCATCGTAATGGCAACGTTGGCAAGAGCTCCACATTTGATTCCGCGCTGGGCTTGGATCGATCATGAATGATAGACACAGGAAACCTTGATCTGAGCTGCTCTTACACAGGACTACCGTAGAACTACATGCAACATACAGTGTGATTCAAATTAACGAACAACCAGTGTCTTGACCCCCCGAAAGTTGACAGAGCCTGATGAAGGCTTCGCTATCAACCGCTCCGTCGTTCCCACTCTCTCGTAAGGCCCATCTTGCTTCCTCCTTATCAGCAGCTGTGCGACAAAAGGTTCCTGCAGACGAGACAAGAACATGACAGCTGAGTTCTGAGACACTGCAGTTGTGACAGCGTCTGTTAGCATGGCCGACGATCTGCCCAGCCAGCTAGAGGTCTTTCCAGACTCTTCATTGCGCTCTTCATCTCCGGCGCCAGCTTCCTCAGTTTCCGCGGTGTCTTCCGGCGGAATAAGGTTGACTTCCCACATCCGAATAAGACGGTAGCTGGGAGAATCTTCCTCGTCCATACGGGGTAGAACTTGGTGAGTCGTGATCGTCATCTCAGTAAGACCTTCGGCCTTGACATGGTAGCTGATCAAGTCGTGGTCATTAAGAGTGGGAGGGTTTGTCGTTCCAATGGGTGTCATGGTCACAACCTCGTGAACAAACAGCGGCATGTTCATCTTCCCATTAGCGATGAAATGACCGTGAGGAGGGTCAAGAAGGAGTCTTTTGACATTTCGGATAATGGAGGCGGTAATACCACTGGTAAGGCCCTTGGACGTCTTGTACAACCTGATATCAGGGAGCTTTGACGAGTCCCCCTTGCGTTCAGCCGCAGATTTCGCGAAACAGCGGGGGTGCGATGCGAAGTACGAATGGAGCTCTGAAGGTTCTCCGACCCAGTCAAATAGCGACAGGTCTTCTGTGAGGTTCATGATCTCTTTTTGAAGGCGAACAAAAGCGTTCTTCTTCTCCCCGTACATGACTGGCATATGAACACCAAAAATCCCTGTAAATCAGAGGGCCATGAGACAATCACCGTACACGTGGCACGAAAACTTACCCATCATGCAGTATGCCATATCTTCGATCTTGGTCGTCCTCCTGGACGCGAGCCAGCTCATCCTCTTCTTGACTTCAGCTGGGCCGACATCTCTCAAACCAGGTACAAAATTGATGAGGACGTCACGCTCGACAAACGTGGTCTGAGTTATAATCTTGGCGACTTGAGGGTCATCCTTGTGGTTCTGCTTGCTATCGATATATGGCGTCCAATCCTTCTTGTAGAACCAGACGAGCCGAGGCGCAATGAGCTCTTGTAGCGTCCATCCGCGGGTGAACCATACACTATGTCTGAAGCTTTCTTCGTCGGTGACGTCTGAAAGGTAGGTGATGGTGACAGACGACAGCCGATACCACGAGAACATGGAGATGATAGACTCCTGGAGCTCGACGTTGTTGGCCTTGTCGATACAACACGTATCGCTCCAAGCCCATCGGAATTGGTTCTCCCTGGCGATCTTGCAAAATTGTTGTAACTTAAAGATTTCCGGTGGTGTTTGCAGATCGTAGATGCTCGGGGCGTCCTTGATGTGTTGATACGTAGGCTCATCATCAGCAGCTCCCCAACGATGGGAGAACATAGCGAATTCGAAGAAGGCATTAACAACTGTCTTCATTTCCTTCTCAGAGGCCCTGAGAATCTTCGTCTCAACTTCCTTGTAGCTGTGAGACTCTTTAAAAAGAGCGTAGAGTTCTCCGGCGGTGCACAACTTGCCCGACTTTGTGTCGATGAGGCGAAGAGGGATGGTACTGAGCGTATCGTCGATGACGCTGTCAAAAAGCTCTTGTTGTTTCTTAGCCCTGGTCTCGTCGCTAAGCGGCTGCTCGTAGGATGGGAGCATGGAGTTCGTAGGTGAGACTTGGGGGGGCGAAGTAGGAGAACCCGAAGAGGGGCTTTGGACTTCGGCACCATCCTGTTCTGGTGCTGGTAGCTGGGATTGTAATACCTCAACGACTTTCTTTCCTAGGACGTTGAGACACTTACCTCACCGGGGGATGCGTCGCCTTGAGGGTTTGACTATACATTTGAAATTGTATCATTAGCGCCAGTTGTTAGGAAGAGCAACCGACGAGGTAACTAACATCATTTGACCCTTTACCCAAGCCAAAGATGGATGGGCTTTGAACACCACGAAGAGAGCTGATAGGACATCAGCCAATCAACCCTTCGGCGGCGGGATAATCCACAGACCTTTTGAGCTTGTTGCTGCTGTGGGAGCGCAGGTTAGTATTAAGGATACGCGACACTCGGGATAAGGTTGGGCGGCGTACGATATTGACAAAGGCATTGAGGCAATGCAGTCAAGAACCTGTCGCTTAGTAGTGAACTCAGAGGCGAAGTGACGAATTGTGCAAACGATATGATGCGTGCATATCAGGCAGATACGTCTTATAGCCCACAATAAATTGATTACAGCCAAACAATGACAATTGCTGTTAACAAAGTATGAGATCTGTGAGATCTAGACGTGGGGAAAAGACAGTAATCAATGTGACGCGGCCAAAGATGAAAGCAGGTTAGACCCTGATCTTCACCGCGCTGAATTACACCAACAGAACACGAGGTGTCCTTCTGAACAAAGATTCGAATACATTTGCACGGTCATCCTGGTGACGGGTCCACCGGTTGTGAACAGTGCCGTTCATCCATATAATAGGTTTGATTTAGATCCAGGGCCATGGCGGTAGGAGCCTCGGTAAATGATAACCTGAGTGAAATAGAGTAAAACCAAGGGGAACAATGAGTTCATGATCCGGAACCATCGCTCGGTTCTTACTCGGTTCCTTCGACAAACAAAGTCCAAACAACCTCACAATGAAAAGACCCCAGACTCCATACATGATCATACCAGTGGGTCATACCTGAGTGCAGTATATCCTGCTCTGTCATTGACAGACTCGCTAGTTCATCAGCGAGGACAAAACTACTAGTGACATGCACATCAACGGACAAGTTGCGGATTTGCGGTCGCACTACTGGCACATATGCAATAAATATTAACAATGTTCAAATACTGAAAGAGATGTTATTACCTGTGACTCGACGATGTGACGAATAGCACGAATAGAAATGTTATGGACAGCGCTGCCTCCATGAGAATGCACCAATCCTGAAGTGGGAGTGCCGCTGCACCCCAGAACGACTATCCGTCAAGTTTTGTGGTCAACTGAATGTATTAAACAATGTGCTACAGTAACTCGTTGCTGACGTGGCGCTTGCTATTGCCGACGATGAACGTTGATCGTCTCGGATGAACGAAGAGACGTTAATGAAGGGACGAAAGCTGAAGGTATGAGAGATCATACGGGAGGTCACCAGGATATGTCAAGGCCGTTATACACCCCCCTCGGTGATGGTTCGACATTATGCTGCAGCTAGCGCGGAGATGCCCAGTAGAGTCTGGGGTCTTTTCATTGCGAATGAGGGATATTTGAACGGTTTGAATTTGCTTGAAGGAACCGAATAAGAACAGGGGTACTGGTGATAACAGAATCAGTGGTACCCCACAATGTCCCGAGTCTTCCGACGGATGCCAATGATAGATGAGCGCCCATCTATTGCTTTGCTCTGGAAAATCGTCGTCTTGTTTCATCGGGTGATTTCTGTCAGGTCTCGACGAAGGACGATATCAATCAGTGCACGTATGGGAGAATTGAAGTCGAATATCCTGGGGACTGCCAGTGGATGTCGCCCTCACTGAGCTATTCGGGCGCCACCGTTGCATCAAGGTGACTGATCAGGCTGTGTCCGATGTCATCAACGCTGATGACATGATGCAGTTATCAAACTCGCTGTCACGGTGCTCATTTTGAGTTCATGCGCCCTGCTACGCCACTGATCAAGGGTGAAGTGCTGTATCCGTGCTGATTCCGCGCCTGATGGTATGAATGTGGTATGCACTGACGTGAGTCTACGTGAGTTCATTGCATCGTATGCGTCGGCTACAATTAATAAACTCAGGCTATCAGTATCAGCGCAACCGATTACCAATTATTCTGCGCTGCCGGCCATAGCCGGCCATCCGAACGTTATTATTACCATTCCATCATTGATCCCATGTTTTCATTCGGTGATATCAATGTCACATATGAAGGCGAGGGAACTTGCCAACAACGCTCTTCATATTCGTCATGCCCACAGTCCAGCTAAACACCAATCATTTTAACCTTGACGTCGGTGGCTTCGCAGGTTTCTTTGGAGGCGAAGAGGCGGTTTCCGCAATGGAGACTGTGCACCTCTACAGAGGAAGACGGTGGACAGGCTGGTTCAATTCCCCAGGCAGCTACAGCGTCGGCAAGCACTATGGGCAAATCGCCAGTTCTCGTTTCTGGAACGGAATGTTCCCGGGACCTGCTAACGAGCCCACCTCGTATCTAGGGCTGGATGGAAAGCCCGGCCCTATGTATGTCGCATCCCAGTCCGGCACCTTCCTCAAGCAGACCGGTCACCTTGCATACCTGTTAATGCAGAGATGCAAGGACCAACAAGCCGTGACAGTAGTGGGACGAAGGACAAAACCGAATAAAGTTACCATCTTGAACGCGCAAGACATCAACTTCGACACTCCTCAGGCTAGTAATGCCGAACCTAGCTTCGTCGTGCATGCCCGAGATGGCTTCCACAAACTCGTCGCATTGTTCCCTATCGGCACCAGCATCGCAACGTGCATACTTTGTGCGTGGGGCGATGACTGGTATTGTTTCTCCTTGATCCTCCTAGGCATTCTCGCCAACGGCATTTCATGTTTTGTTATCGGCTCTGCATCCATAGTCCTCCAGAGTGTCGCGCCCTCTAAAAATGCACCTCCAGGTGATGGCATATTAATGGACGGCGATCATTCCATCGTCGTCCTTGGAAAAGAGAAGAACGTCATTGCCATCACGAAGGGCAAGTTCCAATTGGACTACAAGCCCTGGGCCCGTATGCGTATTAGAAAGGAGAGGAGGAATCGAGGCATTGTAGGGGACGGGATCCATGACGTCCACCACTGGCTTGGCAAGAAAGATGCAGAGGGCAGTGCGGAGGTGCAGAATGATGAAGACGCCGAAATCAATAACGAATACGGAGCGATCGGGCTCTGCTCAGTCCTCCTAGTCTGTCAGTTTCTCACGCAGTTGCTCCTGATACCACAGGGCACGCTGTTTGGGCAAGTCATGTTCCTCATTTCCTTCGCTGTGTCATGGGCGTACAATCTCTTCTTGTCGTCCATGGACAAGGAGTACCTGCAGGAGGACCAGCTCATCCAGGCGCTGAAATTGTCGGAGGATCATATGAAGACGTACAGACTGGGTACAAGAACGACCGCAGCTGTTTTCGCTTGCCTGGCTCTTCAGCCCAGCTGCGAGTCCGGAGAATGGGAGAAGAGAGGTTTTAGGCCACAAGAGATCCTTCGGCAGTTCATTCCGAACGACACGCACGTATGGGCGGTCTGGAAAGACCAGGTATTGGAACAGATGAAAAGTGGCACGTCGGCCTTGCAATCTTTGGATCTCGAGAGTTGCGGTGACCGTATAGCTGCGTTTGACGATGCCGAAAGAGAGTTACTGAACGTTTTGCTCTCGGACGCTCGCACTGCATTCCAGCAGCATTTGCTATTGCAGGCTCGGAGTCGCAGTTTGGCTAGCAGCAGGTCGAATAGTATGAAAGCAGAGGCGTAGCGAGATGTGCAGTTCTGTATATCACAAAAGGAGCGCCCCCGTTCTGCCTGTTTCCAAGGTATTGCCGCTGCTTCGTGGTCGATCCATGCAGGTTCCCCCTATATATTCAAAGCGAACGTTATGCCCACATCATTTTCATACCGGATTCGGAACACTTGTAGCGTTGGATAGTATTAATGTGACCATTGAGATAAATGCCGGTTGAAGCTTGAAGCTTGAAGTTCCATGCCTGACAAGCTCGAGCATGGACATGACCGACTATAGTGTACCTGAGGCCGTCGATACGACGCGGCATTAGATCGACAATTTCCTTTTTCGGGTGTTCCCACTGTTGAGTCTGTAATTGTCAAACGGCAAGGAGCATTATTTGATTGTCTTCATCGCGTTAGGTAAATACTAGTAGTTCGTAGTCGTGGAGTTCATAATCGTAGAGGAAGGCATGGGTACAACAAAGTAACGCGAGGCTAGCGAGCAGCAATGTAGTCGTAAGGTTTCAGCACACGATGACATTTTCAAGACCCCTAAAATTAACGGACCCGGAGGATGCATGGGCAATGATACGAGTGGTAGTTCCAACCCTCTTCCAAGGCTGCTTACCATTGGGCGTAAAGAGAAGTTGCGCAACGAATGGCTCTTGCAGCTTCCGAATCAACGCGGCAGCAGTGCTCTGGGTGAGCCACTCTGTGACGAAGTCCTTGGATTTACCGACCCAGTTGTCCTTTTCCTTGTCCTTTTCTCTCTCTTTCTCCTTCTCCTTCTCGCCATCCTTGCCCTGCTTCGGGGTGCCCTCTGTTGCAGGCAGCTCTGGCGAATCAGGGTTATCAGCAATCGGGGTATCAAGAGCCTCAGCGCCTGTGCTCCCCTGGCGTTGAATAAGTCTAGCGTCCCACATTCGTACGATGCTGTATTTGGCAATAGCGTTCTTTCCATATAATGTGTCTAGCTTATGTGTGGCGATGACCTCGAGCTCCGAGAGACCCTCAGCTTTGACGAGGTAGCTGAAGGTTCCGGGCTTGCCATTTTGGTTGGGGACAAGGGTGGCCACTTCGTGGACGAAAAAGGGCATACTCATTCTCCCGTTCGCGATAAAACGTCCGTGAGGCGGGTCTCTCAAAACGTCCTTTACAAGCTTGAGAGCCGAAGAAGACAAGCCGGTGGTGATGCGTTTCGAAGTTTTGAGCAACCTGAATTCGAATTTCGATGAAATGGAGTCTTGTCGAAGGTCATCAGATGGGGTCATAAAGCACCTGGGGTGCGCAGCAAAGTAACTGTGAAGGGTCGATGACTCTCCTAACCAGTCAAAGAGTGAGAGGTCATCGGTAAGCGCCATGATCTCCTTCTGAAGCCGCACAAAGGCGTGGAGTTTCTCCCCGTACATTACAGGCATGTGGATACCGAAAATACCTAGCAAGGGCATTAGAACAATCCATCGGCTATGATGACGCTTACCCATGAGGCAATAGGCAATGTCTTCGATCTTCTTAGTTGTCCTGCCTCCCACCCAGCTCAACCGCTTCTTGACATTGTCGACGCCGGGTTGGAATTTCTCCAAAACCTTGATTTCGATACGAGTGATGTCGTGGAGAACGGTGAGAAGTTCGTCTTTGTGATTCTTGTCAGAATCGATGAGTGGCTGCCAATCCTGCTTGTAAAATCGAATAAATCCAGGTGCGAGGAGCTCCTGCAGCGTCCAGCCTCTCTTGAACCACTGACTGTCTTTCAACTGCGAAATGTCGGAAACGTCTGCAAGGTAAACGATAGTGATTGCCGACTCCTTGTACCAAGAAAACATCGAGATAATGGATTCTTGAAGCTCAGCGTTGTTCGTCTTATCGATACAACACGTGTCGCTCCACGCCCATCGATAGCCTTCTTTCTTCGAGACTGTACAGAATTGTTGCAGCTTGGAGATTTCCCGCGGGGCATCCATCTCGTAGACGCTGCCCTTGATCTGCCAATATTGGGGTTCGTCCTTCGCGCTTGCCCACTTGTGGGAAAGCATCGCATATTGAAAGTATCGGTTAACTTTGCGCTTAATGCTATCCTCGGGGGTGAACAGAAGATTCTCAGAGAGCCGTTGGTACTCCTCCGACTCTTTGAAAACTCCGTCGAGGTCATTGCTAGTATATAGGATCCCACTGTGGGTGTCTATCAAGCGAAGAGGCATGTTCGATAATTTGTCGTCGATTATGTTCTGGAAAGTCTCCTGTTTGTGCTTGAGGATAACCTCAGGGTCTTCGACAGGGCTATCGACTCTGTTGACAGGCTCCGCAATGGTGGCGGGCTCCGCAGTGATGGCAGACTCTTGGGTGGCTGTGTCTGAAGATGGGGGCACGAATTGCATATCTGCATCCTCTTGGGGGGATTCTACCACTATGGGTAAGGATTCTTGGCGAGACAATTCGACTTGCGGGTTTCCATCGTCTTCGCCTTGCGGATTTCCATTGTCTTCGCCTTGCGGATTTCCACTGTCTTCGTCTTGCGAGTGGCTTTCGTCCTGTGAGCCCCGTTCTTCTGGCAAGTCACTTGTCTCTTCTCCTTGCGTGCCTTCCCGGGCTTGCGTCGAGTCATCCTCGACGCCGTCTACGGGGGCTTCAAGGTCCTAAAGACATTCGTACGTTAGCAAAGACGCGTATAAAAGCAGCAGGAATCACACCTGAGCAGTGCTGTCCTCAGTGGTGCGTGACGATGATCGGCGAATGAAATTGAAACGACTAGCAGAAAACTCAGAACAACAATATCTACAGTTCGTAAAACCGACCTTGGTTTTTTGTTGCCGCTAGAAGCAACCTTCAATTAGATGAGCTTAAATGTTAAAGCTATGGCACTCACGATTTGTCGACCCCCATAGCGCAAGGAAAATTTGTCAAGAAAAAGAGGTGGGGTCTATCTGATAACAGGGCGTGGTGAGATGCATTTATACATCGTCCGTCTAGCACCCATCAAGCAGCACCGACTGACGTTAAGGAACAAAGTTTTCTGATGTGGGCAACTCTCACGAAATCGCGTGTTGGTGGCTGAAACTAATCACATAATGAGGACGTGATGCTCCTGGTGCGGGTGGCTATGAGAACGAAGTAGTTCGTGCATTAGCGGATCATAACAACCAGACAACGTCTTGAAACAAACACAGCCGGTAGATCCACACGACCAGCAACCTTCAACAACTTTACCTGGTTCATATAACATGTCAATTTGATAAGCATAATCAGGGACTCTCTGACAGAAGGTGATCGCCAAGCTATAATGGTAAGCGTGTGCGCACAGCATGCGGATCGTAACTACTAACCAATAATAGCCTTATCGAAAGCGCTCGACCGCCATGGTGTCTTCAACCATTATACAGTGGCAAAGTGCTGGCAGAAATGGCAGTGTATACCAGTCATGAGATGACATCGTGATTGATAGCATGTAATAAAATCCGAAGGGCAGTCCCACGCTTAGAGCAGTCCTGACCGTGGGGGAACAGATAGGGGAAATCCTTCATGAGCAAGTAGAATGTAATGTGAACTTGTGAACTGTCATTGTCGTATATTAAGCGGGGATATGGCATCACATCGGGAGACACAATGCAAAAGCAATTCAAAAAACTGGGCGACCTACATCATTCTCGTGAGAATAGAAGGCCAAGTGTACGTTCGAACACACACCTGAACGGACTGGGCAACCACGCAATTCTTCCCGTTAGAGCCCCACGAGTCATCACATACTCGATAATTCCAGACGTCAATGACCGTCTCTCCTGCGGTGTGCTTACCATGCAACTCTACATCCACTCTAAAACGTCGAGTTTCAAAGAGCTCAGGATGGGACACATATGCGATGGTTAGCGCATCATGGAGAGGAGGACCTTGATCGAAACCAAATGTTGACTTGTACGTTCCTGCGAAGAAACTGATGATGGAAGAAAGCGTGCTTCTGAGATTAGTGGATGGATGTGCCAGCACGCCGTCTACAACGGGTAAATGGGGTGATCTCAGACGGGAATGGATAGCTGAAGTAATAATGGCTGTGTGTGTAACATTGATGGGTATCATAACAGCCTTGACTGGAGCGTCTAAGACAATCTGTGCCGCCTCAGCTGATGGAGGATCAGGACAAGTATAGTAACATTTTCAATGGGAGACGCACGGTCACACATAATATTGAATTCTATACGATCATCGTAAGGCGTGGTTCTTCAAGTCCAACTAACAAGATGTTACATACCTGCGACGGCAGACCTATTTCCGACACCCACTCCTCCGCCCATAAATACAAATTGCTCTACTGCTTCCATAAGGTTTGGATAGACGCTGACAAATAGGGCGATGTTCGTCATAGGTCCGGAGGAGACAACCGACACTTGATATCCAGTACCATTTCGCCACACATCCTTGATCGCTGTTGCCATTCCCTCGACGGCATGGATGAACGACCCATCATCTTTCCGAGCAAATCGTGCTTGAACTTCAGGACTATCAGCTGAAGGGAGCCCTACAACACCTCCTAGGCCATCTTCTCCGTGAATTTCAGGATCGTGCTTTGTGGGTCGAAGTAACGGCTTGGATGCGCCAGGATATACGAGAACATCGGAAGGTGCGGCGAATGCGTGCAGACACCTTGCAGTGTTCTTGGCAGTGCAATCAGCGGACGCATTGCCATGAACCTAGGAAGTCTGCTTAATATAGACCTGTCCAGAAGGCAGCCGCTTTGCATACTTACACTGGATACTCCAAGAAGTTTGATATTCTCTAGTTGACAGGCCATCATAAGTGCGGCGGCATCATCATGTCCCTGAGTAAGGCATCCCTATCAGCACATCCAGGTCAAACGGGAATGAATGGTCAATCGCGTACCGGATCAACGTCTAACCAGACATACTTCAAAGTCATCTCTTCTGGCTGGCTAAGTGGGACCGATGTGGTTCGATTGTAAGGGCAACAGTAGCACTGGACAGTGATCTGACTGATAAGACAAAAAAGTTAACGAGGTTTGTTAATGTTCGTGATTTCGTATTCAAGAGTCAGATGGAACGAACTTCCGTCTTGCAGTGACAGTATTCTACCATGAATCGAAGGTCGTACCAGTTTGTATCACTCTGCTCTGGGACGCCAACTAGAAACGAAGGCAAGCAGTAAAGCCTATAACTTGCACAAAATAAACAAATTGAGATGCCGCAATTGAAAAGGTGAAGACTCCGATTCACTCCGAGTTCCACTGACACTCGTGACTCGTTGCTGGAAGGACGCTCGCGGATTCGCTTCTGTATCTGGTTGTTTATTGAAGGCTTTCGATCCTAACAGTGACAAACAACGCCTGCCATCCGACTCCTCGCAGAAAGGAAAACCACTAACACCCCAGTCACATCAATGTCAAGTCAAGTAAACAGCAAGGAGGAAGAAGAGGTAGCACCCCTTCAGCGGCCACCGTCTCCCCCTCTCCATACAACATTCGCCGCTCGCGGTCTGCATGTGGGTGTAGAGGACTTGCGTATCCCCAAAGAACTTCGCATTCAATATTAATACACTCCATTGAATCAGGCACAAAACTTTCCTGCACATAAGCCGCGTGATCTACGTATACCGTCACCTCAAGCTATAACGCATGTAGCGTGGAGTTGCGATGGGAAGCGTCTAGCTGGCGTTGGAATCGACAAAATCACTCGCATCTGGACTCCGGAAACTAGTGTATGTATGTGTTACATCTCGTCATGATTCACTGTCCATACCCCAATCGCAGATGGAATCAAGAGCTGCAACCCACTTTTCTGGCGGTCACTCCGATGATGTTGACTATATATCATGGAATCCCACTCATCCAGAGTTGTTTTGCACGTCGAGTCAAAAGGACAGAAGGATTGTATTCTGGGATGCACGGCGTAAGTTTCATATGCCTCGTGCGCATTGTGAATAACCCTTACAGAACTCAAAGAAAGTCGGCACACGCAGCAAATAACTCTGAAAATCTCGCCCGTGCAAACGAACTATTCTCCGGACGGCCGGGCTTTGATATTTACTTCGGCTGGGCACCAGCTCTTTCTCTTGACATATGGGAAAGATGGTGACGCAGCAAAAGAGCAATGGCACCTCTCAGATAAGGACGGGGTTTGTTCCACATCGTCTCGACCACTTAACAAGTTACCGACGTCTTTCAACAGAGCATTGTCGCATCCACCGCCATGTTCAATCATGTCGGTGATGGTATCATCCTGACACATCATTCTGAGCATAGCGTTCGGGTCATGGACTACCCAACGCTGGTCCTTAAAGAAAGCCCTGCCGCTCACGTCGGAGGCTGTGTTGCAGTAGCGCTTGATCCCCGGGGGAGGTGCGTAGTTACATGCTTTCATTAACATGCACTAACATCGTCTTCAGATATCTTGCGTCTGGAGGCTATGACTCCATTGTTAACATGTTTGATCTGAGTGAATGGATATGTGCTCGGACAATCTCCACTTGCGAGTGAGTAGATCAAAACACGTCAATCCTCCACTCATTTCATTCCTCCAGAAATGCGATAAATGCCTTGAGCTTCTCGTACGATGGAGAGTACCTCGCTATCGCAAATACAGGTCCCTATATCGACATAGTAAGGACTCGTCTTTGATGACGTATATGCTTCTGACATGATGGGTCCAACAGTGTGCAACGGAGACGGGTACCCCATTGCATCGTGTTCCTGCATTGGCGCCGTCACCTACAGTGACATGGCATCCTTCAAAATATGTCTTCGCCTATTGTGGGCAAACAAAGCTCCGAGAGGGCGGGCCTCCTCCTGTGGCTATTATCAGCTTGTTTGGGGGCGGAATTTGACAAACGAGCTTCGGAATTACTATCCCTTACGCTGCTGAATTCGCTACACCTTGTACTAATTTTATCGATTCCATACGAAAGTCTGATGGATTGTGACGATTAGCGAGGTTTGTAGAGGCCCATCAGCGTGTTTCAGAAGGTTGTTTATTAACTGTAGGCGCACTTGTTTTCTCCAATCGTAATATTAATGGTTACAAACAACGTGATCTCGCGGTCTTATAATTGGATAAGTCGAATCTTGTTTGCACGGGAAAATCCTTGCAAGCTTCTTTCACAAATGGGATAAACGTATTTGGTAATTATGGTATTGTATTCTCAGATTTATGCTCCGTGATTCCAAAGATCAGTGTGCGCCGTGCGGTGTTTCAACGCTTCTGGTGTCAATCAATCAAACGACATATTAGCAGTGCCTTCTTGGCGCTCGCGGTAAAGTGCTTCAAGGGGAGACATCAATACATTTATTTGGTAAGGCTGCCTCGAGGACGTTCGAGTTCTCCCAGGACCCCTTACTAAGGTATGCCGCTGAACGGATCGCGCCAAGCTGATTTGTATTTGAAGACCTGCGCGAGCATGCTGTGGATCCACCGTCATTCACGAAGTCCGTGTCGATGCACATGCAGATCCCAATTAGTGGCTCATCCTTCACGCTTGATGCGGCTGGCGTAGCCGGTTTTTTCGGAGGCGACGAAACACTCTCAGCGATGGCTACGGTACATCTGTACCGCGGTCGAAGATGGCTGGGCTGGTACAACTCTCCAGGGAGCTATACGGTCGCCAAAAGATACGGCCAATTAGCCAACTCCCGACTCTGGGATGGGCTGTTCCCAGGTCCAAATCCAGAGCCAGCTGAAGCATTCGGCCTGGATGGCAAGCCTGGGCCGCGATATGTCGCTTCGCTGTCTGGCACAGACATGGCCACGGGGCACCTTGCATACCTCACAGTACAGAGAAGCAAAGAGTTGACGTGCAAGAGAGTTGAGGGCACAGCCAGCACGGAGACATTACCTGCAACAGTGACTGTTATCCACGTCGGAGACGTCACGTATAAGGACCAAGTGGAGATGATGAGCACAAACCACGCACTGCTAGCCACCATACCCATAACCATCAGCGTCGCGACATGCGTCTCATGTGCTGTCGTCGGGGACTGGCTCGGCTTCAGCCTCATTCTTCTCGGAATCATTTCAAGCGGCGTATCCTGCCTTGTGATCGGCACTGCGAGGCTCCATCTCCAGGCACCCAAAACCGTGACCCCCGGGGTGCCCCCAGGGGATGGGTTGCTTTTGACCTTTCGCGACGTCGTCGTCCTGAAAGGGTCGGAAAAAGACGTGAATGCGATAACGAAGGGGCAATTCTCGCTTGACATGCGTGGCGGACCAGAGTACCGGAACGTTGGGCTGTGCTCGCTCCTCCTGCTGGCACAATTCATGTTACAGCTCCTCTTGATCCCTCAGGCGACACTCTTCGGTCAAGTGATGTTTCTTTCCTCCCTTGCAGCGTCTTGGATCTACAACTCGTTCCTCTCTTCCCTTGAGAGTGAGAAAATACAAGGAGATCTGTTTTACAAGGCACTGCGGGTTGAGGACGAATCAATCCAGAAATATTGCCTCCATAACAGGAGAAGCCAGGCTGTTTTCGCCTGCTCTATTCTCAGCGATGGAATAGAGACAGAAGAAGACTTTGACGCGGAGCGCATCTTGTCGTTGTTCGTGCCGAACAAGACGAGGGTTTGGAATCTTTGGAGGGCCAAGGTTGCAGGGCAGTTGAAATCTGCCTCCCCGAACAAAAGTTTCCTGGCAACAGAACAGGAGAAGGAGGGTTTGTGCGATACAAATTGTAAATTGCTGGACACGTTTCTACTTGATGCACAGGTTGCATTTGAGGCGTCTCGTAACTTGCGCTCCAACTCCAAGTGCACCTGGGAAGCAAATGATGTATGAATGATCGATATACTTAGCTGTACTTATTGCGTAGCAGGACCTACTTGTATTTGACGCCCATCATGATGTGAGCCTTCTGTCAACCGCAAGATCGAGCGTCAAACAGGATGCAGGTCCGGCATGTCAGGATCCGGGGAGCGGAGGGCGTGGGTTCGAATACCAATGTGCTCAGTGCGCAGGCGCGCGAAGCTAGATTTAAGCAAGGAGGAGCGACAATGGTTGAACCACATACCAACTATGTCTCAACACCCAGTTTCAACCAATTCAAGAAATTTCAATTTCAATTTGGATGTGTCTGGCGTCGCAGGATTCTTCGGTGGAGACGAAGCCGTCCAGGCTATGATGACTATCCACCTATACAAGGCTAGGAGGTGGTCTGGGTGGTACAACGCTCCCGGCAGCTTCGCCATTGCCAAATACTTAGGCCCCATAGCAAACTCTCGGTTCTGGAACGCGCTTTTCCCCGGGCCCAACAAAGACCCAGAGGAGGTCTTTGGGCTAGACAACCAGTTGGGCCCCAAATACATTGCTTCCCAGTCCGGCACCATCATTGATAAGACGACACATCTCGCTTATCTCTTGGCACAGAAGAGCAAGGAGGTTCGCCCTTTAAATAAAGTTATGGGGCGACCCGGGCGAAAGACGCAGCCGATGACCTTGACTGTCGTCAAAGTTAATGACATGTTTGGCGTGCAGTCAGAGACTCGCCCCCAAGACTCGTCTCAATTGCACGACTCGGAGAAAACACCAACCACTATCGTTGGGGTCCTAGATCATAACAAATGGCTAGCCATCATGCCCATATTAGCAAGCTTATCTACCTGCGGACTGTGCGCATATAATCGCGACTGGTATTGCTTCGCGATGATTCTTTTGGGTGTCATTTCCAACGGCTTGACATATCTTGTTGTTGGCTCGGCATTTGTCGTCCTCAAGGGAGTCAAACCTGCGGATAACGCCCCTCCTGGGGACGGGATGCTGGTCGATGACAGTTCAAACCACATTGTCATTCTGAAGGGGGAGGAAAGGGCCGTGAACGGGGTCACGAAAGGGAGGTTTTGCCTGGAGTACACCCCTGACGCACGCTGTCGCCGCGCACCTACGGATCCACGCTCAGACCCAGAAGCACAGCGAAATGAGATTGGACCCAAAGAATACAGGAGCATTGGACTCTGCAGTCTCCTGCTCGGCATGCAATCATTGCTGCAATTGCTTCTCATCCCTCAAGGAACGCTGTTCGGCCAATTTATGTTCCTCTCATCGTTCGTAATCTCCTGGGTTTATAATTTGTACCTGTCATCTCTTGACAAGGAAAAGGTGCAACAGCAACTACTGTTTAGAACGCTGAAGGTGGGACCCATGTCGAAATTCGAGCTGGGCACTAGGACAACAGCCGCGGTATTCGCCGCGCTTGTCTTACGGCCACCTCCTGAATCCGCCTCCGCCTCGTTTGAGGCCAGCAAACTCCTGAAGTGTTTTCTGCCGAATGAAACTGCGGTGTGGAACAAGTGGAGAAAGCACATAGGACGTCATATTGAAACCGTCAACTGGACTCAAGATACGGATTGGGAGGAAAACTTGAAGTCGCTAAAAACATGCGATGACACAGAGCTCAGGAAGGAAGAGCGTGACCTGCTCGCAGAACTGTTGGATGACGCGGGGGATGCCTTCCAGGGATACTTCGAATTCTTCCTATCAGGTAACCAGGGTGTCGGTGGAGGGAAAAACGCTTCAGGATTTCGGCGCGAGTGGAGTTCTTCCACAAAAAGTCGGCGCACAGCGGAGCATGCACCACTGTCTAACTGATTGATTAAGGCGGGATATGATTCGAGAGCTTGGTTGGTTGGTTTATATATGATTGCATTTGACAGGAACTTCATTGTTAGTTGCTGGACATTCGCGTGTGCTGTGTGAATATTATTCAATATTCAAGTTGTAGTTATAGATTGCTGCGTATTTTATGCACTTACATGATTCGTCTTGTTAAATGAAAATTTCCCACCAAGTTAGCGCCTTGACGGTCCGGTTGCACTGAGGCAATGAGATCGTCAATCAAGTTGGTTTAGTGGTTAACTTGAATGTCCTCCTTCAATGTACCAATCAACCAGTCGCATATCAATCTCGATACATCGGGCGTCGCTGGATTCTTCGGTGGGGATGAAGCGATTTCAGCGATGGCTACCGTCCATCTCTACCATGGGAGGCGCTGGCTAGGCTGGTATAATTCACCAGGAAGTTATACTGTTGCCAAAAAGTTTGGGCAGCTCGCTAATTCGAGATTTTGGGATGGTCTTTTCCCGGGTCCAAATCTCACACCAGCTGAGACATTTGGGCTGGACGGAAAACCCGGCCCTCGTTATTGGGGTGTTTTATCGGGCACGGATATGCCCACCGGTCACCTGGCGTATCTCGTGGTGCAGAAGGCGAAAGAAGTCGAGGAAATTGTAGAAGTGGAAGGGAGGGAGACTACACCTCTGTCGGTCACCATAGTCGATATCAAAAACGTAACGGTGCAGCACGCGGACCAGGCGCCGATGATGAGCATCCATCATGCTCTCTTGGCCGCTATCCCCATTACCATCAGTCTCGCAACGTGCGCGCTTTCCGCGGCTTCGGGAGATTGGTTAGCTTTCGCCCTCATCCTGCTAGGAGTCGTTTCAAGCGGCACATCTTGCTTTGTCATCGGATCTGCTCAACTCGAATTTGTTTCCGTGAAGGAACCTGCTCCAGGCACGCCGCCTGCAGACGGGATACTTCTAATGCGAAACGACGTCGTCATCGTCAGAGGTGCAGAGAAAGATATCAATCCAATAACGAAAGGCCGGTTTTCCTTGAGGATGGATGGCGGCCCAGAGTTCAGACGAGTTGGACTTTGCTCGCTTCTCCTTCTCGCACAATTCCTTCTCCAGCTCCTTTTCATCCCTCAGGCAACGTCATTCGGACAGATCATGTTCATCTCATCGCTTGCAGCCTCATGGGCATATAACTCATTTCTATCGTCGCTGGAGCAGGAGAAAATACAAGTCGATATCCTATGGAAAGTGCTCGACAATCCACGAATATCGAAATTTGGGCTCAAGAGCAGAGCTGCTCAAGCAGTGTTTGTATGTTTGGTTCTCAGTAATGGCGTCCAAAGGCCTTCTGTTGATTTCAAACCAAAGAAGATCTTGCAACGTTTCATATCGAACGACACAAGGGTATGGGATATATGGAGAGACAAAGTGGCGGCGGAACTGGAAAATAACAAGGAGGAAAAATCGTTCAACCTTGGCTCTACGGATCTGCGAGGGTTCGGAAATCATGACCGGGACCTCCTGGAGTCATTGCTTCGGGAAGCCCAGAATGCGTATAGAGGTTACCAGGAACAAGTACATAAGATTAGCGACAATAGCCATATTTCTGAGAAAGAAGTACCTCGTTCGGACTATGTTCAAAGTCGTGTTTAGTGTTTGTTGTAGGCCACATTTCCCATCGATTTATTCAGCTATGCTCCAGCCAACCTGAGCCTGCTGTGACCCAGATCACATTGATACAACACATGGTGAACTCGATACAAATTCGGGCCGCATGAATATATAATGGATCATGTCGAGCCCATACTGGCGAAGGTCGACTGGCAGCTAACAGCAGCATTCCCATATGGATAACTTTGGAAATAGGGGCCGATTAGTTCAACGAGATAAAAGGGGATATCTTCACAGACGGAGGGCATTGCATGGGGAGAACACGTTCCGGATAGCATGGCGCCTAGAGCTCATACATTTCCGAGTGTGCCGAGTGCATGCATCCCGCCAGGTGCGCTACGTAAAAGAGCAATTGTGAGCCGAATTCTGCACACCAAATCGCAACGTATGTACCATGCCCCACAAAGCTCCCTTTGAAATCTATCCTGGCTATTTTAACCTCAACGTATCCGGCGTCGCAGGGTTCTTCGGGGGTGAAGAAGCCATCTCCGCGATGCAGACCATTCATCTCTACAAGCATAGAAAATGGCTGGGATGGTACAACTCCCCCGGCAGCTGGAATGTCGGAAAGAAGTTCGGATTACTCGCAAATTCCCGTTTGTGGGACGGGCTCTTCCCTGGGCCCAATGAAGACCCCGCAAAATTCTTTGAGCTTGACGGAAAGCAGGGCCCAAAATATGTCGCCTCTAGATCTGGATCCATCCTAGAGCGCACCGGCCATCTTGCATACTTGATAATGCAGACATCCAAGGAGGAGCTAGGAGTGCAGGTGCAAGGAAGGGTCACGAAACCAAATAAAGTGACCATTATCAAGACACAGCCCATTTTTAAAGAGTCAACAGAAAAAGAAAAATCGCCAGTTCGCGCGATCCCACCTCATAGTGGGCATCACACGGACGTCGCGATTCTACCGATAGCCGTCAGCTTCACCACATGTGCGCTTTGCGGGTGGACATACGACTGGTTCTGTTGTTCGATGATCCTCCTGGGCATCGTCTCAAACGGCATGTCCTCCTTGGTCATAGGGTCCGCACATTTAAAGCTGCAAGGCGTGAAGTCAGCACCTACGGCTCCACCCGGGGACGGGATGTTGATGGACGGTGATGATATCGTCCTCCTCACCGGAAAAGAGGAGAACATTGCCACCATCACGAGGGGCAAATTCATGCTCGATTATGAGCCCTGGGTGAGGAAGAGAAGCAGGAAGGAAAAGAGGAAACGTTCCGTTCCTGGAGACGGTATGGGATCGACCAACTCGAATCGAACAAGCGATGCGGAAGCAGGTCTTCAAGACAGTTCTTTAGACCGTGGTCTAAAGGAGGGTACCGTTCCAGTGAGAGACGAGTATGCTGCTATTGGATTATGTTCGCTTCTGCTTGTCATACAACTCCTCGGCCAACTGCTCTTGATCCCCCAAGGCACATTCTTTGGCCAGATCATGTTCCTGGCCTCCTTCGCAGCTTCATGGGCGTACAACTTGTACTTGTCCTCGATCGACAAGGAGTATATCCAAGAACGGCTACTCCTAAATGCACTCAATCTGGATGACCAGCATATGCGGACGTACATCCTTGGCACGAGAACAACCGCCGCAGTATTCGCATGCCTGATGCTCCAGCCTCCTGATATCAGTGCAGACAAATGGGAGGAACAGGGTTTCAAACCAGAAAGTATCATCCGTAACTTCATTCCGAATGATACGCCAGTGTGGGTTATATGGAGAAAAAAGGTATTGGATGTAATGGGAGCGCGCATTCGCAGCCAAGAACCTTGCCACAGTTGGCTCCAGATGAGCAACGAGGACATTGAGGGGTTCAAGAAGAATGACAAAGACCTTCTCGGACAGCTCTTAGAAGATGCTCGCATTGCATATGATCTGGCCACGAACGAGCAGTGGTTGGTCGGCGAGGAGAAATAGAATAATGGTCCGACATACCGTGTTACTTGTACCTAAAGATATTGACTTCTGCCATGCGACTGTAATTAACTATCTTCCGTTAGAATCGAACAGTCCGGGACATGCATAAAACGACTCACCAATCTTTACACCAAAAGGACTGCTTCGATCGCACCTTGCGCGAGTCTTTGGTAAAGTTCTTTTGTCACCGCGTTCTGAACCGTAAATAAAATCAAGATTAAAAATCACGCACCTTCAGCCAGACTTCAATGTAGTAATCAATATTTCTGAGATGGACACCACGACCCACCAAAAGACTTCACAAATCAACTTTACTTCGAGCCTCGGGCGGCGAAACCGATCAACCCTTCACAACTTCGTCTTTTCGGAAGGCAACTTTCAAGCTCCGTGTACATCATGATGCACTGCTTGAGCCGTGCCATTGTCGGGCAACAGCGTGTCTTTCTGGCCATTGATAACCATTTGCTAAATTTTAAATGTGAGTAAGACCATGCAATACGCAAGTGTCTACACGCACCCGGACCACCGAAGGGAGATAACTGCTTTTGAAATCCTCGGGTAGTACACTGTAGTACAGCTGTCACTTGCATGAGACTGCCGTTGTGGTTGATCGCCGTAAACTGCGGTGACCTTGCTTTCAAAGTTCAAATTCAAACTCCACCACCTAATTGGTTTAGCAAAACAAACTGACCGAAATAAACTATGAATACATTTGAGCGATGACCATGATGTGAGTTTCTCCGACTGGATTTCACGGAGCAGACATTCGACCACAGAGAATACGGCCAAGCGTTCGTCATCTGGATAGGCGTCCATGTTGATATTGTCCGAGTCGCGGAATCTACCGACAGCGGAATCCCTCCCATTTCTCCTAAGGCTGAACCCCGGTTTCGTCTTCATCAGGTCAGACAAGGCCTATGATATCGAAGCGACGTCTGTAATATCCACGAGGTTGATAGGTGAGTTTTCTTCTTGTAGGGAGGGGAGGGCGCAGATGCTGACGTATCGTCAAGGTGCTTGAAAAGCGATTATGTTCACCCACAACGAGACTGCCCTATTGGCCCTATTTTGATGCCGACGTGCTCGATCTGAGCGTTGCGCCTAGCACTAGGAAATTGGTGAGTATTGTAATTTATTCGCATTTCGCCAACCGGTCCCGTTTTTGAGTGGTGGAGTCGGTTGTCAGGTCTGTGCGCTTTTAAGAGTTAGTGCGCACCGAAAACCCCTTTGACGGGGACGTGTTTTGAATAAAATACGCACCATTCTCTACGCGCCTTGACCTTGCGTGCGCTTAGAAATGTGCCATACGCGGGACGGAAACATGTCGGCTGACGCGGGCCCTTTATGCTGCGCTTGTCCTTGTCTCACTAGAAATATAACGCTTTGATCCATGGTAGGAATGCTCAAGCATACGGCGGGCAGGGACCTACGCAAATTTAGTCCAAGTCAACTCGAATCTCACGTCAAGGACCAGCACTATCCAACGTCCCGCATGTGCGCAGCGATCTCACATGATACTACATCTGCGAGGCGATTCATGAGGTTAAATTACCCGTCGCGCTTGACTTGATGGTACGGCTCTTACCTTGACCTTCGTTTGCACGGTCCCTTGTCGTGATCTGACATGTTCCACTTCACGCAGACGGAGATCATGCGCCAGACTATTACGCAGGGTGCTCATTCAAGAGCACGATGACCAAGTGTCATGTGATAGAAAAGAGAGGTGCGGAAATCGCATTCTACTATGCATGGACCTGCTCTTGGCCATCCGGAGACGCAATGCAAGTTGGAAGCGTTGGAGAGACGCGCCCTTCTATTGGTAGCTGGATGGGCATATCATTCGGTGGTGTCAATTAGCCCGCAATCTCCTGTTCAATATGTTTATATTGATAAATCCTGTCGATTAGATTTCGTGTATACAATTTTTGGAAGCAATCAATACCCAGCAGCATACAAAAAAAATCATGTCCGTATACACGAAGAACATGCTCAGCCAAGGGGCAAAGGGCTCTAAAAATTGAGATCCAGCGCATCGTGTTCAATGTTTGTTCACCAATATCTTATTCTACTCTTCACGACAATCACCCTATACACTCATCCCCACAGCCTCATGGGGGATTATCCGGGCGTGTTGTGCCATTGTCAAATCTGGTCGGTGGAAGCATTCCTTTGTATAACACCAAGCTGTGCTCACTATGCCGCTTAGTATGGGCAAAAGGTGTGGACAATCACACGAAAAGGAAGTGATATGTCGGAGACGCTTTGGAACGTCCACTAAATATTAAAGCGTGACCCACATCTAGAAGGGTTCCAATAGCATAAATACTGCCCCTTGTGTCCCTCTACTCCTCTTCAACATTCATCGCACTTTCCTTCCAAACATCTGCCATATAACTTGTGCATTGTGAGTTACTCTTGTTCACTTCCTTCACCTTCTGTCGCTCATCTTGTCCTACCACAGTATAAGGCCTGGCGCCATAAACAACACATCTCAAGCATTCTATCATTAACTATGGACCACTACGCGACTCCAATGAGCCAAAGTTCCATCCCAGGCCCGTCCCAAGACGAGCCTCAACTGCAACCCCAACGTGCCGAACCTGTGCCATTCGATATGTATGCCGATCCATCTCAGTACGCTCCACTTGGGCCGGCTCCCACAGCGTACGGAATGGAGACCGCATTGTTCGATGCTGGTATGGAACCATATGGACTGCCCCCCCTCATGCCGGATATGATGGGGCCTGCAGCCGTTCCTTCATTCGCAGCGCATTTCCCCCAGTCTCAAATGGTCCCAGAGCCATTGTACGACCCCTCCTTCCCTCTTCCATTTAATATCTATTTTCTCGAGTCTCAAATGACGCCTGAGCCATCGGACCGCCCCTCCTCCCCTATTCCCTTTGGGGTCTATTTACCCCAGCCATCCCCACCCTCCACGATACAATCCCTCAACGACCTACTCCTCGAGCCTGAACCCGTACAGGAAGGACGGGTACTACGGAAGCGCAAGGCGGTAATTAGAGATGGCGCGGGACGCAAGACTCGTACGAAACGCAAGGCGGTAAATAGTGTTGGAGCGGGGCGCAAGACTCGTACGAAAGGCCCACGTCTTAACTATGCCGCACGTCCCAATTTCGTGAGTGAAAGTCATTTATTTAGTCGGAGATATCTCACTGACGACTGTTTCATCAGAAACGGGTCGTAAAGCACGGCAAGGTCGAGTACAAATGCCTTCTTCCGCAGTGCAAAAATACAGATTCGATGCAAAATTGCAGCTTACTGAAGCATATCGGATCGAAGACGCACAATGAGGGGGGCACCGGTGAGCATTTATGCCCATATTGTGGCGGGGAGTAAGTAATACAAGTCTCTCAAGTGCGACTGTGAAGCTGATACGTTGATTCTTACTAGGTTAAGTCGCTCGGACTCTTTGAAGCGTCACATGAGATCTTGTTCCGAAGGACCTGGTGATGACGACTCGTCGGAAGATTGATTGATCATATGGTTTCGATTGGAACAAGGTTCCAGATATCTCCCTCGGACAAGATCATCGGGCAAGCGTGCATTATATCATTTGGACTTCATAATTCATCGTTCATGGACTACACATTACTTTACCTGTCATTTATATTTCTCTGTCGTATCCGCCTGCGGGCATCCTTCATTCATTGCATTTCTTTATATGTCATATCGCGCGGTCGTATCTGCAGCACCCTCCACTCATTACGCATTATATTGCTCTGTCGTATCTGCAGCATTATCTCACTCATTACATCTCACACCATACTCACGCATGAACACATCAATGCTATCACTCTCTTTAACCTTGTAAAAAAACTGTCTGAACATAAGGACTTCTAATACAATTCATACCGCAGAGAAACTCGTGCGACCGTCCATCTATAGTGAAACATTGAGGATTACCGCCACTTCATATTAATGTACGATCTATGCGACCATGATATGTGATGACGGGACGACGAAGTGGAGAACGCCAGGCTTCTGTACAATGTCTGGCTTGGAAGGACTTAAAACTTGCAAGGCACGCTGCGAGGCCAATTCGGAAATATACTTGCTAGGCTGTACTGTAACAACGATAATGATCTGCGGTCCCGCCGATCACTGGAAGTAAACTTTCATGCAAATCACTGATCGGAAGTATTCACTGTAGGAGTAGGGCCCTATAGACATACTGAGTGGTCGTGTCAGCTTAAGGTCAAGCGCAGACACGAAACTGCTTAGAGAAAACAAATAGAGGACGGGTCGCAAAGGATGGGAATGGGAAACCATAGAATGATAAGAACGGTAATAATCTCGAGGTGAGAGATGACGAGCAAGGTCGCGATGCATTATGTATTGTCCTACGACCCTTAGATGTGTGAATCATGCACCGCCATAGTAGCTACATGTCAGTCACTGCAATACGAAAAAAAAAAACGTGAAGAAAGAAGTTTGAATCATCAGTTGGCGGGGAATCCAACCAAGTCGAATACATCTACATTAAGCTAACTGCTACCGTGAGCCCCAGCACGGCTGCTAGTTGTCGCGCCTTCCTGACGTGGGATGTCAACGCGCTCCAAGCGCCATCGAGGAGGCATCCTCGGTCTGCCATGAGACCAGCACGAACAATAGCAAAGGAACGCCTTGCACCAATGGACGTCTGGGAGCGAATCATTGTCAGATGATTCGATGTCCTGAAGCACCCCAGGCTGTTGGCTAGAAGGATGTCGGGTATCGTCGACTTTCCTATATTCTGGTAGTTTAGCTGCAACAAGTCGCTGTAGGATAACACATCAGCAAAAAGGCGACAAAAATCAAGAAGACTGGGTTACAGTGACTTTCCGGCCGGCTGCGACTTCAACAACTTGTGGCTCACGGGATCCGGACCCATGGAAGGAAAGGCCCTGTAGCAGGAACTGCGTGACTCTGTTCGAGTGGGGAGGCGGAGGACTTATTTCAAACTAGATAGGACTTAGTGATGCATTGCGAGTTGATTCAAAATGAAGACAAACATGATCGAACTGAGTTGGGGCCTGCGCTGAAGTCGAGTGGGTGGGAGGCAGGGGCGACGTAGCAGGGAACTGTGGGAAATGCGTGAGTTAACTATGAAAGAAAAAGAAATGAGATAAAGAGACGAACATCCCATGGATCGCGAGGCTGGCCATGTCGTACTGCGTTTGTGCTAGGAGCGAAATGAAATAGTTTGCGAACATGGCGAAGGAATGTGGGTTGCTGGTGGTCTATTGTATGCGAAGGCCTTTGATGCCTTGGAGGGTATGATATGACAGGTGATTTCGCTGGGGTACGGCGCACGACAGCGGGACGACGGCCGCGGGTTGCGTCAGACTGTAATCATTCATCTGATTGGAAACCATGGTGACATTGAACAGCGGGGTACATACCTGAAGCAAACGTCGGAGAGTGGTATCAGTCTTTGAGGGAAGGTTAGTGCACCGAAGATAGGTTCATGGTGCAGGCAAGTGCGTACTTTGGGGAGGATAGACTGTATTTCCGGTATAGCAAGCAGAGAGGACATAGTGTTGCATATGTAAATATTGGGGCCATCCCAGGGGGGCGCGAAAGCTAGTTGAAGTGAGTCTGGTGAGGGCATGAGGAAGTGTACAGTAGTAGGAATGTCGAAGGAGGCAAGGAGTTGGCGGGACTCAAAGGCCCAAAGCTTGATAGTGTTGTCATAGGAAGCACTGGCGAGGAGAGCGCCGTCAAATAAAAGTGCTAGGCTGGTGACAGTTTTCATATGCCCTTCGAAGGGAGTTCCGACCGTCTCCAGCATCGATGCGTCAAACTCGTAAATTGACTTGGCATCAAAATCTTTGGTGAAGTTGAATGGGTCATATGCATCAGCCGTGAAGTTGAATGCGGCCAAGATGTTTTTGCTTTTATTTGTCCAGAAAATTGGCGCAAACGTCATACTCCCTGCACCCCATTTCCCAATCCTCACATCCAATTTCTGTTTTTGGATATCCCAGACCTCAAGGCACTTCCCCACATTTGAGTTGATTGCGAGCTTCTTCGAATCCGTCGAGAATCGCACTGCGCCCACATAATCACCACTCTTGAATGGACCGGCCACGAGTTTGCCGGTCTCCCAGTTCCATATTCGCACTGTCCAATCACCTGACCCACTCGCCAGCAGCTTGCTATCCGCGGATATATCAATGCAGTCGATCCTCTTTGAGTGGCCTTTGAATGTCTTCACAATCCCCGTCTCAACCTCACAGGCCTTCAGCTCCCCGATTTCGTGATTTCCACCACCAGTGGCAACCCATCGACCATCTCCTGATACCGCAACTGCAAATACCTCCTTCTCGCAAACACCCCGCGCTTCCTCAAGCTCCTTGCCCGCCTTCAGATCCCATCGCCGAGCGGTCTTGTCTCGAGATCCGCTGATCATTCGCTGGCCGTCCGGAAAGTAGGCTATGGATGTAGCACCCACGACATCCTCCGACACCATTACCGGTTCCAGGATCATGTTGATGTCTAAATCGAACGGCTCCGTTGACGTGGAAGCCATGGTTGTATCTCCGCGAGCGAAATCACAGTCAAGTAGCCAAGATATCCTTTGTATGCGTGCGTTCGAAGGAGCTGCGGTAAGCTGTCCTCGTGCGTTGTGAGCCTGATGGCTGATAAGGATTTTTTATTATGACAGCGCTTACCCTGCTGAAGCCGATGGTCAGTTGAAGAGGCTAGTGAAGAGAAGAGCGATGAGATCTTGATTCAAGTTGTGAGCACAGCAGTCTTCCTTGCTTATACCCTAACGCGGTTTTGCATGGCAGTGCACATCTATTCATAATTCAACTTTGTTTCACCTTGCTTTTCACTCACAGCCTCATAGCCATTGCCGATGGTTCCTGTGTTAGAGCGTCAATTTCATTTTCCCACCAGCCAGTCCCTTAAATGGCTAAGTATCATGGCAGAGATAGCCAAAACGTTGTATGTGTAGCATTCAATTGATTTCCTAGCCCTTCATTGCGGTTTTGATTTCGACGCTAGTGGCCGATTTCCCTTGTTCCATCATCTCAACCGTCCTCAAGTCCATGCTCACCCGATCCTCTCCATTCACAAACCCACGCACGCACCATTGCAGATGTGCACGAGGACGATTATCCCGTACTCCCTACCAGCCCGCACCGCGGGTGATGTCTGCATCGATATCACATTCAGCATTAACAGTCACGTCCACTGACCTGTAACTTCACATATCCGACGCGATTACATTGGGCAGTGGGCACTCTCATGGGGACTTATCGTCAATCGACTCAGATGAGTAATGAACTGTTCCAAAATCCGTGTCTTCAATTCATAAACGAGGCGATTGAACGAAAACGAGGCTCAACAAGCAGAGGCAGCTAGGAGAGCCCAAGCTGATCACGAAGAAGCCGAGCAGTCACGGTCTAGTGTGTGATCCCAGCGCCAGAGTAGTTTGTATTCGCGGGGTATCCGTTGACGCGAGAAAACAGTTATGGTCGCAGGAGCAGGATGATTGAACGAGACAAGGTTGGTTTATGGTTTATTACTTCCGATGCCCATTTTGCCTTATTAGTCGTCAGCCCCTGACCCAATCGATGTCCAGCTGTTCGTGTATAAACCACCAGAATTAAAATACTACCTTGGAGTTCTATGGCATGGTAGTCGTCTCCTCTGGAAATTTTTAGTGTTGGAAAACAAAGCTGAATTCGTGCGGATTGAGGACGGAGTTTGCTGGCCACGTCGTCGCGTATTTTTTTTGGCTCGAATCTTTTATATTACTGTGCCCCAGGCTTATACTACAAGTTCTATGTATGAGTCGCGCGCCATCCAGATGCCATACCTCGCGAATCTTTTATTCGTGGTCCAAGAGATACATTGTTCCGTAGATCCAGCATGTAAGGAATGTGTATTGTAACAAATGAATCACCATGATGATGATAATGATAACAATAACAATGAAGAATGGAGTGTCGCGTTATGGTATCCAGTAGAACGAATGCGTGTAGTTTGTAAAGTCACAAAGTGGTATGGTGTGATAGATGGTGAGTCGATAATAGAGAGCACAACGTATACAGGATGGGTAGCGGAAGTGAAACACTAGATCTCATCATCGAAATCGAAATCAAAGTAAATGGAGGAGTAGGGTGTGGGAGGTACTTCATCTGATGACGACGAAACCTCATCTGCCGGAAGCAAAACTGGCACGTTAGTTGCCATAAAGTCACTGGACATTGATGCGGCATTTATATCAACATCCGAGTCAAAATCGAAATCGAAGGAAATGGGGGAGGAAGATATAGGAGGTACTTCGTCAATGAAAAAAGGAAGCCACTCCAACACATCAGAGCGTATGTTCAGTAAATACGCGGGTAAGCCAGCAAAAGGGCCCTCTTCCGATGACAACGAAACCTCATCTGCCGGCGGCAAAATTGGCCCGTTTGTTGTCGCAAAGTCACTGGACATCGACGCGGCGGTTATATCAACAATGTCGCCTTCCAATGGTAGATCGGCCCCAATCCCCATGTCCAGGCAGTGATCAAGATCAAGGTCCTCTGTCTCCGTAAACGTCGAAGAAAAATCAAGGTCTTCGGCGGCCTCTGTGACCATGACCTCTGGTAATTGAGGTGAAGAAGGGACATGGGTGGTCTCCGTAACCATGGCCTCCGGAGAGACGGGATGTACTATGGTATCCGCAAAATTGGTGGTTTCCCATGACATGACATCCTCATTTACTGGGGACGAGATTTGCACGTTCTCTATGGCGTTTGGTGTCGCCGGGCCGCTGTAGATCGATGATGACTGAGTGCCCCCATCTCTTTGCCCTGCGTGTTCTGCGAAGTGCATCTGAAAGGCATCAGGTCTGGTATACCGAATCATAACAGTCAATAAGGAGACGAGCATATTGAGAGTGGGGATACGCACATTGGCGAACGAACAGGGCAAGACCCATTACTTTTCTCTTTAGCATGGTTATGCTTTTTCGACCCGATGTGGCGGGCGTAAGAGCTGGCAAGGATGGACTCGCCATCAAATAAACATTTGTATTTCTGGCGTCCCATTCCATCGAGTTCGGGGTCGAGTGTCTGTCCCAAGGACTAAGAATACGACCTCGCAATATGAAAAGAAAACTCACAAAGTCTGGGTCGTTTTTTATGGCGCTATCGTCCATTTTCACTCGCTTGACTTCGCGGTCTTCGCTGTCTTCTAGGTCGTCTGCTACGCGCTTTTGGGTGGCTGGGTTCATCTGGAGGTAAAAGTAGATGTAGTTATAAAATGTAGATGTGGAAGCTGGAGATCGTTCGCAGTGGCAGTAGGCGAAGTGGTAAGAGATAGAGGATGAAGGCCACCGAAGCAATATTTATATGTTTGTGGAGGACCGCTTTGAAAGTGCGGCGTCCACACCTCCTTTCAGAGAAACTTATGTGGACGGCGGTCTTTCACTCAACGGATTCGGCCGTGCGCCCACACTTGAGTTGTTCAATTTTTATTAAAGTCTACGATGCAAACACGAGATGCGCACTGTGTATATTTTTCCCCTCCTGAGGCTAACAATCCGATCGAAGCATCACAGTATATTTTCTGTCTCCGCGAACCATTGAACCGTAGATCCAGGCCCTCTCGCACGAGCGACCAAATCCATCAGATCTCCATGATTCATATCGGTGCCCGTGCATATGTATTTGACATTTTCTCCAGGTACTGCGGGCAGTCATTGACATTGAAAAAATATTCAACGATCTAATTGACAATATTTATCATGATAGATACATTGGACAGGAGATCACACCGATAAATGTATATAGATCCAACCACCGATCAAAGGGTCCATCACTTCAACGGGTCCAAGACACATAGCGTCTCTGGGCCACTCGGCACAGGCTGCAAGAGTCCACACGGACATCGAATGCGATCTCCGCACCTTATCAACATGCAACACTATCACAGAACAGTGAGTCGTTGTGCTCATGATAGGCAGATACAACTTACTCCCACAAAATCAGAATGTTCCTGTTACATTCACATCGATTTACCATACTCGGATTTGCAATCCAGGGAAGCGTCTTTGCCAGGTCTTGACTACCGAACAAAAGGATTCCCGTCGCAGGTAATTCACGTGAATACCGAAAAGTTGGCGGTCCACGTCTAACAATGCGTCCCCAGTAAACGCACCGCTGTGACATTCTGCGCAAGCTCTTAGCATCTACAAGCGTAGGGTTGACTTCCTGTATGCGGTGGAACATGTCAAAGGACCACGCGAGCAAGGTCAAGGTAAGAGACGTACCAAAGTCCAGCACGACGAGTAACTGTCTCATAAAATAACCTCGCAGAGCAGATGTACTATCCTTTGCGGAAGGTAAGCGGGACATGATTTCATGTTGTGGCGCAGACCCAAGCACAAGGACGATCGAAAGGACCAAACGAGCGCTGTGACCTGGGTCTGGTACATGAAGTATTCTGCACCATACAAAGCTGCACATGCAACTGTACCTCCCGGCACTGCGAGGTGTCAGGGCATGATCACCCAGATAGTTGCAACAGCGTAAAATTGGTGCGAAACGATTCAGACTGAAAGATCGTAACCTCTCCTCAAACACCCGAATGAAACAGGGTTTTCGCAGAAGAAGTAGAAACTGTAAGTAGAAATAACGCGAGATTTGGTTTCCTCACCCCGATGCATTTGTTTGTCGCAGAATTCTGTGGTGTACAGCGAGAGGGCGAAGTATTTGCTCAAGAAAACATGTTTCGACATCATGGAAACGAGCGAGTAGAGCGTGACAGCGTCGTACACAACCTGTGTTTGACATTATTTGGTACACATGTACAACGTTGAACTCTTTTCTTTCAAAGTTAGCTTCCAGCTGATGTATATATATACATCGATATCAGTCCCTTCCCTCGATGTTCGTTTCCCGATTTCCATCAGTACTGGTAATACGCAGATACCCTCGCCAACCTCTGCCCCGCATCAATTTCCGCACAACCTCTCGACGCACATTCACCACACCGCTACCACAACTCCATTATGTGTCCTAGGTCATCCCAAACCTGGACACATCTTGCCGCACCCCAACGATGATGATAACGCCCTGGCTGCAGCGGAGAGAGAGAGTGGTAGAGTCGGAGGGGACGGTGGATATGGGTCTTTCTGATTGGTGCTTTCATAAGGGTACGTACATAGGTGAGTGTTTCCTTGTGATTGCAATTGAAAGGCTAACTTATTCAACAACGGTTGTCAAAAACGTGTGCCTCTGCGTAGATTTAACCAATTCTTTCAGTTACCCACTACGTCGCGTCTGCATTCAAATCACTCTCGTTCGGTGCAGGCCATAACTCAGTACTCAGGTGCGTTCATATATGTATTCATGCGAGGATTTGGGCGTTGGCCGCCGTAACCTCATTTTAACTTACAATTTTCAGTCTCATTCTGCCCCACAACCGCCTTGTTTTCGTTCGTCTGCTGCTCCCACTACTGTCACACAACCTACAACCTGGTGGCCTCTTCGTCCGGGTCATGTGTCGCGGCCCATTATCGATGTTCCTCTTGCACAGGATAAAGAGCTACGTTAAGTTGCTATTTCTCCTCCAGAACCACCATCTACAAGAGCACATATTAATGCTAAAGATGGAAGCAGCTGCTTGTACTTTGTGAGTTACCTGTAGATCATCGATCAGCTTAAGGGCGTTCCCCGGTAGTTCAAATTCAATCGTATTCCATGTCGTGTCTCGTATGGTCACTGCACCCGATGTATCACTTCTCGCTGTTCTATCAATGACAAGCGTAAAAAAAATTATACACGTCAATTTGGGATGGAACGTTGATGCCTGATCCGCTCGATTCATCACATCGCAAACCGCATGGGCGGCATTTATGGACAGTTGATCTGCCAGAGAAGAAGGAATGTAGTTGCTGGTTCGTTTTCCCAAGAAACGTTTAGTCCCGAGCTCTTACCACAAAATGGCGGGGGGGAGGGCCTACATTTGCGATACCTGAGTAGCATACCGAGCTAGTCATCCAATTGGTTGTACCGTAAACACATGATTGTATTAAAGGCAGTTCAAGAATCAAGGAGATCTGGATAGCGCATAATATTCATTCCTGATTACTCCCTCAGCTGCCTCTGTCGATGGACGGTTCCGCGGATCTGTAGACCAACATTTCTCAATAAACTCCCAGTATTTGTCGGGCAGCGGAGGATAGCGCGATCGGGAAGGCATCTCTGACTTCTGCATAGCCCATATGATGGCGAGATCATTCCGGAGGTAATAATAGGGAGTACTATTGGTGAGGACCTAAATGCGGAGGTAATGATCCCATTGAGAAGTTGATATTACCCCAGACGTACCTGCAACATGATACCGCCGAATGAATATATGTCGCTCTGCTCGCTCGGCCGTGCTAGGGACCCATCCTCCCGCTCTGCGAGCAGCTCGGGAGCCATCCATCGTGCATTTCCGTTGAGCGTGGACGTCCAGGAAGCCTGAGAGGTGCTTATGACCTCCGAATACATCAAGGAGAGACCGAAGTCGGCAACACACGCAGTACCATCACCATGGATGAGTACATTAGGCTGGAGATTACACTTCAATCAAGCTGAAACTAACGAGAATGTTCGAACTCACACCAGTGAAGTCGCCATGGATGACGCTGTTAGCGTGAACTACGGGGAATGGATATTACTCCTGGTCCAGCATCAAACTAACTAGCACGTACGATATTGGAGACCAGCTATGATATCCCTGAGCTGAGATTGCCATCAGTCTGTAGCCTTTACGAAATACAAACGAGGACTCACGATCTGGAATCGTCGAAGGACAGTAAGATCCGCACCCACACGCTCTAGATAGACCATCAGGTTTCCATTCTCCGCCCAAGGACTGACCAGCGCTATAAATGGGCCGAAGCCGTAAGTATAACCATAGATGGGGAGAATATTCTTGTGCTTGAGGTTGGCGCATATTCTGAGTTCACGCGTTATCCTCTGCGAAGTGGCGACCTCTGAGGTAAGTGACATTAGATGAAATTTTTCGGCAAGACTCTTACCTTGATCTTCTTCGCCTTCGCTGGACCAAGTTGATCAGCAGTGTTCACACGCAATGCTTTCACTGCAACCTGCGCAATTGTCGATTTTGGACTGATGGAGAAACAGAATACTGCCAACGAACTTTGATCAGTTCCCTATCTATGGAATAGGTGCATTTCCAGATGTCTCCGAACCCGCCATGAGCAACGGGATATTCGTCGTCCTTGGTGATGTATGCCGTGAGATTTGGGAGCATCACTTCAATGGGTGAACCACCAGACTCATCGTTACGAACTGGGAGAACTGTATCGGTGTGGGAAGGGGAGAGAAGGAGTTCACATGGCCTCTGCACCATAGGTGTGACGGGTATCGGCGGGCTGCGGTGCACTGTAGGAGGACGACTAGTTGCGTCAGACTGCAATGATAACGATGTATGAGTGGTGTAATGAGTAAAAGAATGAGGCACGTACATTTAGTAGATCATTGAGGGTTGACCTCTTGCGGGCAATGGTCTGTAAGGGAATATTAGCAGACATTTTCGGGGAATGCGTACACGGACCTGATCAAGCACATTGGGTGGAATATTGCATATGTGAATCTTGAAATCACGGTGTTTTAAATCGTAAGTCGTGTAAGCTAGTATGCGCGAGTCGGGTGAGAGGGCCAGGGCAACAAGATTCTGAACGTCGAAGGAAGCGAGGAGTTGGCGGGACTCGAAGGCCCAGAGCTTGATGGTGTAGTCCGAAATCGAGGAGCTAGCGAGGAGTGTGTTGTCGGATGAAAGTGCTAGACCTGTGACAACATTGGTGTGTCCTTCAAAGGGAGTTCCCACAGGCTCCAACGTCCAGGCGCCAAACTCGTAAATTGTCTTGGCGTTATCATCTTCCGTGAAGTTGAATACGGCCAAGATAGTTTTGTTTTCATTTGTCCAGAAAATTGGCGCATACGTGTCAGTCGCTCCAAGGCTATGTTTCCCTATGCGCGCATCCAATTTCTGTTTTTGGATATCCCAGACCTCAAGGCACTTCCCACGCGACGAGTTGATTGCGAGCTTCTTCGAATCTGTCGAGAATCGAACTGCGCCCACCCAATCACCACTCTTGAATGGACCGGCCACGAGTTCCCCGGTCTCCAAATTCCATATTCGCGCTGTAAAATCCCATGACCCGCTCGCCAGTAGTTTGCTGTCCGCGGATATATCGATGCAGTGGATCGTCGTTGAGTGGCCTTCAAATGTTTTGACGATCCCCGTCTCAACGTCACAAGCCTGTAGCTCCCCCGTTTTCAAATTTCCACCGCCAGTGGCGACCCACCGACCATCTCTTGATACCGTTACTGCCCGTACCGCCTTCTCGCAAACAGCCCGCGCTTCCTCAAGCTCCTTACCCGCCTTCAGATCCCATTGCCGAGCGGTCTTGTCCCAAGATCCGCTGATCATTCGCTGGCCATCAGGAAAGTAGGATATGGATTGAATCCGCTTCTCATGACCCTTCAAGGTTGTTGCCGGTATCAGAATAGATTTCGTAGCGGCTGCCTTCGTCGATGTGGAAGCCATGGCTGCGTCTCCGCGAGTGATAGTGAAGTTCGAGAAAGGTAGTCGTTGTATGTGTTCCTCGGTGAGGTCTCCTGGCGTCAACGTGCTTTGTGACTGACGTGAACAACGATTCAAAGATGGGTCCTCTGGTAAAGCCAAACATCAGTTCATTTGCGCTGGAAGTTCAGAGGAGATTTTCGTGTACCGAAAGGTTAGCACTTTGGCAGCGAAGAACAACTTTGAGAGTGATGGATTCTCGAATGTGAATGCAGTTGTTGGCCTTGGGCGTCGCCTTGCATATATCTATTTATATGCCCTTACACGCCCCCTCCGCAAGGGCACCTGTGCATCATGCCATGCATCGCATTTGGTTCTCATTGCTTCTCGGCTCACAGCCATCATCAAATCTATAATCAGTGCTAACGCGTCAATCTACAGGCATTCAACTTTCATCGTTGCTCGCTTGTAAGTTTCGTTTTGCCCGCGTGAACATTTACAGAGACCACCTTTCCTTTCGCATCAAGCTATTCTGAATACCCGCACACACAATGTGGATGTTTCAGCGGCCATTTTATTCGTCTTTGACCAAACATCTTATGAATTCACGTCACTTTCGATTTTTCAACATTTTTGACGCCGGTATCAACCACTTATTCATAGGATTTAAGATCACCATTTCCATACATCTGCTTGTAGGAAACTGGAAGCATGGCAGTAGAAATGCAACGTCTAAACCGTCGGCATATATCATGGAAGAGGACAGCGAAATTAAGTAGCCAGCCCAGGTGTCGATAACAGTAACTGACGCAATGGTGGTCGGAGACGCGTAGACTGCGAGAACGTGTCCGTGTCGTACATAGTGTGGCATGTACATCTCTACCAGGTGCTGGCGAGTTCGATTCGGTGTCCTGTGCAATTCCATCGACATCCAACTCCAATAGCACCAGAACGAAAGCCTGAGGCGTGCGCTACCACCTAAATACATTGTATTAGAGCATGATTTAAATTATAATTCAGCGTGAATTTGATGAGAAAACGAGAAACACAGCGATGATTGAGAAGAACGGGCCTCCGCATCCTGAATGACAGCGGGACTGCCTACTCGCCAGAGAAGACTGGCACAACCTTGCTCTGCGCTCAATACACATATACCATTAGCCCACATCTTGAAAAACAAGGTCACGCTGTGGTCTACTCACCAGAGAAGACTTGCTCTGCACTCAACACGCCAACGGCAGGTCTAGCGAGATAGCTGTGCTATCCTTTTCGCAAGGACACAGCTAACTCGTGGAAAGATCAGTATTGCTCTTGTCACGAACCTGAAGGGCAAGGGGTACACCAGCCAGCATACACGATGGAAGGCATAACAGTCTGAGATGCATCTGTATCTCTGTACGTCCGTTGCTGACCGATATCTGATTTATTTCCTGCGTTCGAAGCCGCAACGCGTTGTGATTTGTGAGTAGTCCCAACGTTGATAGTAATGGTGATCTTTGTAGATACTCGACTCACCCAAAAGTGTATTGCCTGTTACAGCCGATTCGAATCATTTGTTCATCCGCGCTGCAAGTTCAGATGAGGTTGAATACACTTTGTCCTTTATAGGGGAAACTACTGAATACGAGCCAGGTGGAGATAATAAATTGCGCGTGATAAATGGCATGGCATGTCACTGTCGCTGGCGAGCTGTATTAGGTTTCTGAATACTATCAAACGCCTAATTCAACACACCACCGCCAGAACAGCCTGAGGCGTGCACAATTAATAACGATTTAGAATGAATGTGATGCGAATTGTACTTATTAGCAACTGATCAGCGTATGGATTGGTGCGGAATGTGCATCGCTAGCGCTGGCGAGTTGGGTTGGGTTGCCTGTGTACCTAACTCACCAGCGCCAGAATGACAGCATGAGACGTGCCCGATCACCTGGTTGCATTTAATGTTAGCTTTTGGTTTGCAATGAGATGTAACGTGTACCTATCAGCAACTGAGCAGTGTCGGCAGGCAGGCAAAGTGGAAATTGTTCGGGGTCATCATGAAAGCAGCACTCGAGCGTGCTTAAAGCAAAGTCTTTCCATTACCAAAAAACCGCCTCATACGAACACCCTGATCAGACTCACAGTCAGCATAGACTCGCACAATCTCGCCCATCTGACCTTGAACGCCATGATGGTTCATAACCTCCTGAGACACTGGCAACAGCACAGCGGCTAGAAAAGACACAAAGTTTGCATAGGTGTGTTCAAGGCCCAGCAATGATTTAAAACATCACTGCGGTAGAACGCCTCGATGACAACGAGAAGCGTGAGTTACACGTCAATGTAATTGAAGTGGGCGTCCGTGTCTCATGCAAAGCAACAGCACTGGCGAGTTGAGTGTGATCATTGTACATCGCTCAGAAACGCTACCTGCAGCAACTAACCATGTTCAGAATGAGCTGGGTACGCGAGCACCCAAACACGTATTGCCCAACAGCTACAGCTATTCAAAACGAAGCGTGGACTTATAAGCGAAATATGTGTCGGCGAATGAAGTCTGTAGTGAGAAGTAAGTCTTGAACACCACAAGAATAAAAGAGAAACGATTGAACAGCCTGAGGGACGCCGTGGTGACCAGAGGGACAAGCACCTCCATCCATAAGTTGACATTATCTTACCCGTCTGATCTTGGACCATACTTGAAAGCTCATAGGTTATAAGTACGGGGAGAACGACGGAGAGAGAAAAAACTTGACACACCATCAATACCGCAATGTGGAAGAGTTGCTCTGAAAAATTAAATCAAAGCGTGAGCGCCGAAACGGGTGTTCTGCCAGTGTGTGTAAGAAAAGTACGTACCTTGTCGAATTTTCATGTTCCTTGAACAAGTGTACGCGAGGAATGGTAGGTTAGATTTAAAATATAAGAGATGGACGCAACACCTGCAATGTTTAAGCATGGAAAAGAGGCGGATGGACGTGTACTCGTTTTGAATGATTCCAAGTTACCGCGTATGGTTGTGCGGCGACAAGCCATGTTTGTGTGTCGTTGTTGATATGCCGTGACTCGAAGTTTTTGAGTTCAACCGTGCTAGTGAGCGCTATAGCTAGCGAAGTTCCAGACATCGAAGTTCATACTTTAAAATTCGATCAGGCTTCATCTGACGCTCATCTGTACATGCCCACTCCCTCTACTTCCCACGCGGACTCGCCCATTCCTGCTTCGCCCATTCTGACCCTAACCTGGAGGTAACAGACTCTCCCATTCTATATGATATGACATCTGAATCGTTACACACTCTGTCCCTCAGATCTTAGATATCAAACGCCATATACATACACCCTCGTCCACCTCCACATCATCTGCGTTTCTCTACCACTGACATCCCTCACGCTCACCACTTCTTCCGGTGCTCGATCTGAGCGTTGCGCCTAGCACTAGGAAATTGGTGAGCAATGTAATTTATTCGCATTTCGCCAGTCGGTCCCGTTTTCGATGGGGTGGAGTCGGTTGTCGGGTCTGTGCGCTTTTGAGAGCTTGTGCGCGCCGAAAAACTCTTTGACGGGGATGTGTTTTGAATAAAAATGCACATCATTCTCCAACGCATCCTGACCTTGCGTGCACTTCAGAACGTGGGGACGGAAACATGTCGGCTGATGCGGGCCCTTTATGCTGCGCTTGTCCTTGTCTCACTAGAAATATAACGCTTTGGTCCATCGTAGGAATGCCCAAGCATACGGCGGGCAGGGACCTAAACAAACTTAGTCAAAGTCAACTCGAATATCAAGTCAAGGACCAGCACTAAGTAACATCTCGCAGGTGTGCAGCGATCTCACACGACACTACATTTGCGATGCGATTGATGAGGTTAAGTTACCCGTCGCGCTTGACTTGATGGTACGGCTCTTACCTTGACCTTCGTTTGCATGGTCTCTTATCGTGATCTGACATGTTCCGCTTCACGCAGACGGAAATCATGCGCCAGACTATCACGCAGGGTGCTCATTCAAGAGCACGATGACGAAGTGACATGTGATAGAGAAGAGAGGTGTAGAGATCGCATTCTACTATGCGTGGACCTGCTCTTGGCCATTGGGAGACGCGATGCAAGTTGGACGAGTTGGAGAGACGCACCCTTCTATTGGTGGTTGGACGGGCATATCATTCGGTGGTGTCAATAAGCACGCAATCTCTTGTTCAATATATTTATATTGATAAATCCTGTCGATTAGATTTCGTGTATACAATTTTTGGAAGCAATCAATACCCAGCAGCATACAAAAAAAAAACATGTCCGTATACACGAAGAGCATGCTCAGCCAAAGGGCAAAGGAATCTGAATATCGAGATCCGGCGCGTCGTGTTCAATGTTTGTTCACCAATACCTTATTCTACTCTTCACGACGGCCACGCTAGTCGGTCGTCCCCGCAGCCTCGTGGGGGATTATCCGGGCATGTTGGCCATTGTCCAATCTGGTCGGTGGAAGCATTCCTTTGTATGACACCAGGCTGTGCTCACTATGCCGCTTAGTTTGGGCAAAAGGTGTGGACAATCATACGAAAAAGGAAGTGATATGTCGGAGACGCTTTGGAACGTCCACCAAACACCAAAGTGTGACATACATCTAGTCGGGGTTCCAACAGCTTAAATACTGCTACCTGCGTCCCTCTACTTCTCTTCAACATCCATCGCACTTTCCTTGCAAACATCTGCCATATAACTTGTGCATTGCGAGTTACTCTTGTACACTTTCTCCACCTTCTATCGCTCATCTTGTCCTACCACAGTATAAGGCCTGGCGCCATCAACATTACATCTCAAGCATTCTATCATTAACTATGGACCACTACGCGACTCAAATGAGCCAAAGTTCCATCCCAGGCCCGTCCCAAGACGAGCCTCAACCGCAACCCCAACGTGCCGAACCTGTGCCATTCGATATCTATGCCGATCCATCTCAGTACGCTCCACCTGGGCCGGCTCCCACAGCGCACGGAATGGAGACCGCAGTGGTTGATGCTGGTATGGGACAATATGGACAGCCCCCCCTCATGCCGGATATGACGGGGCATGTAGCCGTTCCTCCATTCGCAGCGCATTTCCCCCAGCCTCAGATGGCCCCAGGGCCATTGTACTACCATCCTCCATTTGCACCCTATTTCCCCCAGCCTCAGATGGCCCCAGAGCCATTGTACAACCCCTTCATCCCTCCTCCGTTCGTACCCTGTTTCCCCCAGCCTCAGATGGCCCCAGGGCCATTGCACGACCCCTCCATCCCACCTCCAAATGTACCCTGTTTCCCCCAGCCTCAGATGGCCCCAGGGCCATTGCACGACCCCTCCATCCCACCTCCAAATGTACCCTGTTTCCCCCAGCCTCAGATGGCCCCAGGGCCATTGCACGACCCCTCCATCCCACCTCCAAATGTACCCTGTTTCCCCCAGCCTCAGATGGCCCCAGGGCCATTGCACGACCCCTCCATCCCTCCGTTTCAACCCTTTTTCCCCCAGGTGATCCCAGGGCCATTGTACAACCCCTTCATCCCTCCTCCGTTTGTACCCTATTTCCCCCAGCCTCAGATGATGCCTGGGCCATCGCACCACCCCTCCGCCCCTCTTCCTTTTGGATATTTACCCCAGCTTTCAGAAATATCGGGCGCGGGACGCAAGACTCTTACTGTACCTCCCAATGTGCAACTGATCGTACAGCACGGCATTATCCGGTACAAATGCCTTCTTCCGCAGTGTAAAAAGTGGGGTACAATGCCAAGACCAAGCATGCTGAAGCATATCACTTCGAAAATGCACACTGGGGACGACGGTCAGTTTAAATGCGAATACTGTGACAAGGAGTAAGTGCCACGCGTCTCTTAAGTGTGAATGTGAAGCTGATACATTGATTCTAGCTTAAGTCGCTCGGACTCTTTGAATCGTCATTACAAGTCTTGTTCCAAAAGACCTAAAGGACCTGGTGATTCGACCTGAAGTTCGAACGAGTCGTCGCAAGATTGATTTATCATATGATTTCGATTGGAACAAGGTTCCAGATATCTCCCTCGGACAAGATCATCGGGCAAGCGTGCATTATCTCATCATTTGGACTGCATAGTCCATCATTCACGGACTACACATTACTTTATCTATCATTTAATTTTCTCTGCCGTATCCGCCTGCGGGCATCTTTCATTCATTGCATTACTTTATATCGCGCGGTCGTATCTGCAGCACCCTCCGCTCATTATATTGCTATGTCGTATCTGCGACATCACCTCACTCATTACATCTCACACCATACTTATGCATGAACGCATCAATGCTATCACTTTATTTGACCTTGTAACAAAATTGTTTGAACACAAAGAATTCCAATGCAATTCATATCACAAAGGAACTAGTGGGGCAAGCGTGCGTCTATAGTGGGCCCGCTACTAGTAGTAGATCTGTAAACATTAATGTGTTTATATGCCTGAAGCATATGATCACAGTACTAGCGCGAAGTTCCACAGGTTTTCTTATGAGAATCACCGCCACTTCATCCTGATGTGCATCTAAATCTATGATACGTGATGACGGGATGACGCTGTCGGAGAACGGCAGGCTTCTGAACAGTACTGTGTGGCTGGAAGTACCTCTGCATGCAAGGCACGCTGACGAACTCGGAAATACACTTGCTAGGCTGTACTGTAATGACGATGACGATTTTCGGTCCCGCCGATCACTGGAATCAAAATTTCATGCAAATCCCTGCCAGTGATCGGAGGTATTTGCTTTGGGGTAGGGGGCCGTGTAGACATACTCAGTGGCTTAAGGTCAAGCGCAGACACGAAACTGCTTAGAGAAAACAATAGCAAGGAAAAGAGCACGGGAAGTTGAATACAATCTACATTGAGCTAACTGCCACCGTGAGCCCCAGCATGGCTGCTAGTTGTCGCAGCGTCCCGGCTGGGGATGTTAATACGCTCCAAGCGCCATCGAGGAGGCGTCCTCAGTCTGCCATGAGACCAACATGAATAATAGCAAAGAAACGCCTTGCACCAATGCACGTCTGGGAGCGAATCATTGTCAGATGATTCGATGTCCTGGGGCACCCCAAGCTGCTGGCTAGAAGGATGTCGTGTATCGTCGACTTTCCTATATTCTGGTAATTTGGCTGCAACAAGACGCTGTAAGGCACCAATCAGTAAAGGGGGCAAGTATATGTGAGAAGATCTACGTTACAGTAAATTTCCGCCCGGCTGCGACTTCAACAACTTGTGGCTCATGGCCGGATCTGGACCTATGGAAGGAAAGGCCCTGTCGCAGGAACTGCGTGACTCTGTTCGAGCGGGGGGACGGAGAACTTATTTCAAACTAGATAGGACTTAGTGATTCATTGCGAGTTGATTCAAAATGAAGGCTGACATGATCAAACTGAGTTGCAGCCTGCACTGAAGTCAAGTGGGTGGGAGGCAGGGGCGACGTAGCAGGGAACTGTGGGAAATGCGTGAGTTAACTATGAAAGAAATGAGATAAAGAGACGAACATCCCATGGATCGTGAGGCTGGCCATGTCGTACTGCGTTTGTGCTAGGAGCGAAATGAAATAATTTGCGAACATGGCGAAGGAACGTGGGTTGCTGGTGGTCTATTGTATGCGAAGGCCTTTGATGTGTAACGGCTGGTCTGAGTTCGATGGGGAATTAGTTGTATCTAGGCGCTTCTCTTTGGAGGTAGAAAGTCTTGAGAATATAGAAAGTTTCTGATAGGATCGAGTCCGTTCTTGGAGCGTGAATTCAACGGATGGATTTCTGCTAAAGTACGAGCGCACATTTTGCGGTATATAAGTGTTTGGGATCCGAACGATTAAAGCGAGAGTCGA